CTTACATGAAACTAAATTCGCGGAATACCTGCAGAATATAATGCAGCGGCTATCAGCGTATAATTCGAATAATGATAATTATCAAGCTGATGTGTTGCTCAAGGTGAAATCAACTTCAGTAAAATGTGTGTTGAATTGGATTCGTTGGCTGATAATTGGAGTAATTCAACCAAGGCACAAACAAAATTGCAAAATCGGTCTCTTGACACTCCTTTTGAGATTGCAACATGGTTGTAACATGATTTGGACAATTGTCCATCGTTCACTGTATTCTGAGCGTTGAACTTGCCTTGAAGGTGAACAGAACTAGTAATAACTTAAGTGTCATTGGAGGTGACCTCCCGGTCTCAGTCTGGAATTATTATATCACCGCGCTAATATTTGTTCATAGTGATTAATATGGCGGCGGCGGCTAGAAAGACAGTCAGAAGGTTCTTCAGTGTGTGCTGGTGGTGCATACAGTGGATACCGTATCCCGATGATGAGAAGTGACGATGGCGGCGGAGGTAGGCATCAAATTCCGATGGTGTTCTAGATTCGCTCATGGCGTAGACAGAGCCCGGTACAGCTGCAGTTATTCTTATCTTACTGCGAATTACTGCACCCGAGTCGTCTCGGACACGATGCGACACGTTCCTGTCAACAAGATGCTCTGCCCCGTTGAGGATACTGACAATTTCCTCCAGGTGCCCTGTCCAATTGAACGAGGCGGTGTTGTAGTTTGTATTGCGAGCCAGAACTGGAGAGACGACCAACTCCAAGAGTAAGGAACTCCTCAACTTGACCTCTTTTCCGGCCTTGGTATTATTACTAGATCTATTGTTGATGTCGGTGACTTCTTCATTGATATCAGCCACGAGGAAGGTGTTCACGCCTGGTCCCGGCCCTTCTGCACCACGGTTGGGCAGGGGCAGACTTACATGGATCCTCTCCACCCGTCTCCTGACAATGGACACTATCTTTTTCCATTTCCGACATGGCGACAGACATTTCCACCAGAATGTGACGCATTGAGGTGACCGTCGAGGTGCGGAATGGCTGCTGCCCATCCTCCAATGAGATTCAATGTTGACTACTACCATAATGGATGTTGACCACACACTACGATCATTGTCCGACCTGCCGCATCTCAAGCGGTCAGCGTCAGCCTTGATCGTCTCGCAGTCCGTATGCGCCAAGGCCGAGGCTCTAGTCCACAGGATCAGCTCTCTGTCCGTCTGCTCTATGGTACAAATAGGAGCAGGTAGCTGGTTGCGATGGTGGCACTGCCTCGTTGCCACGCTAACGCCCTGGCTCACTCTACTGCAGGTGATCCAATGATGAGGCGCTAGTTGGCCGCCCTGAATGGATGTGGCAAGGCTTCTCTGATGCATCATAGCAATGGCCAGCATTTCAGTCTGGATACACTTGTTCACTGTGTCTGCCCACGTGCGCGCTGCCTTCATTTTCCATCCTAGAGCATGAGTCCTCATTGTGGCATTGTTTAAGTCGTGAATTGCACGATGGTTCTTAGGACTCCGAGTATAGCTCAATTCGGTGTGCGTGGAGTTGCAGGGAACATCGTTGAACAACCAGGGCAGACCGCACATATGCCTCAAGTCCTGAACACACCGACCATAGATGTTGCAGCGACCATTTGGTACATCGCAGGTTTCAGCCGACAGGCGGTCCGGGGCAACGGCGGAACTCGACGGAGAGGGACCTATCTCCACTTTACTTGGAGTCAGACTTGAGCGTGGGTCACAGGAACAACTACGGTTGGGCACTTTCCAGTCGTCAGCGTTAAAGTTCTCTACCATACACATCATCCAACATGCTTTAGACCCATCCGAGCAGCGCCATCGCTTCGGCGAAATACCATCTAAGTCCTCTTGAGTCTTGCAGGTGGCACGTTGACGAGGCAGATGAGGAGATAGTTGGAAGCAAACTTCTTCACCAGGGGCAAACACGCTGTGTTTGCCACGACCAACATCATAAAAGGGGCATGAAATCCAGGGACTTACAGTGGGCAGTGCGGTTGTTGCGGCAAGAATTCTTCCCACAAAATGACCTTCCACTGCTATGGTGATAGGGTTGGCTGGTTCTCGGAGAGTTTGCACTGGTATTGGTGAGGAGCTTCCAGCAGGCTCAAGCACGCCTACAAAAAGGTCAGTACAGGACGCTGGCCGGAACACTATCATCATCAGTGGCCATAGAACACGGAGAAGCGAGTTGCAGAGGAAGTCGCGATTTGCTGGCAACATGCTTCCTTCCTGTGCATTTGCATGAATTCTGATCACTCGCTGGCAATCAGGAACATGCGGATGCTCAACTGTTCTCTCCTTCTTCAGATCTGTCGTTACTTCTCCTACTGCAGGGACCTTTATGTTTCCTTCGACGTCTCATCAGTTGGTGCTAGCGAGGAAGGATAAGGCCCAGGCGCTCAATATACGGACTCCATTGCTTTTGTCCTTGAGCGGAGGTGGAGGTGTCGTATTGTCGCGCTGAACATGCTTTCCTGGCAGCAGCCTGGACAGCGCCAGACAGAATCCACTCTGTTGTCTAGTGTTGATAATGCTGCTACCACTAAAACGGGCACTAAATAGCTCTCGTGTAGGATAAGAAAGTTTTCCGACCATCAACCCTGTCACCACCACTAGGAACCTGACTGCAGCGTGATGCCACCAGCAGTCATGCAGAAGTTTCCCCCTGGTATTGCTGGTACTGCTGGTAGTCGCAAGGCACCTATACACTTGTAGCTGCATTAGTTTTACCTTCACACGTCCTGGTATCGCATGGCCGATGTGCAAGAATTCCTCCGCTCCACTCCAATCCACTTGTAGCTGCGTGAATCTTACCAGTCGGCTGTCATGTGGATTGTTGAGTGTGTCCCTGCACCGCCTTGCACACACTGCCACTTCATAAAGCGCACACGCGAGGTCCCTTCACCATGCAACACCTACCGGCTTTGCGGTGCGTTTGCTATAATTGGAGCCCGATCACTGCTTTGTGTTTGCGTTCTGGAGCTGGACTGGCGAGGTTCAGTGGTAGTGACGCGGCTACTATGGTACGGTCTCTGCATCGACTGTTCTAATCGGTTAAAATGCTGGTGTTACCAGTGATGGGTGGACCGTTAGTGATGTGCTCAAGTCAAGCCACTCATTGTAATGCTCATCGTCAAGTCAAGTCAAGCCACTCATTGCAATGCTCATCGTCAAGTCAAGCCACTCATTGTAATGATCCTGTGCCATTCTCATCATGGTAACCTAGCACGCTAACTACTTAGTAAGGCTCAGAAAGGCGCGTTGAAAGCACAAAGTAAGTCACACAGCTATCCTACTCAAATGCTGCGGCGCAGTGTGTTTGTCCGAGTGATATCGACTTCAGCTACAAGACATCGACAATGACAGCGCCTGGAGTTCTTCTTTGTGAACGTTGGCCATGCCGCCAAGCCTCAGTCCTGTTCCTACATGTTGCGACGTACCGATTGGTAGGTCAGGAGGATTGTGCATCTGGTCCTTGTTTGCCCAGCGCAGCATGCAATACAGCCTTAACGGGGTCGATGCTGCAAGCATGTATGACTTGATGTCTGCATGCGTCTATCTCGTAACCTTCCCATTAATATTTTGTCTTCGAATGTATCCGAGTATACGTCTGTGTGACGACTGACAATAACATGGCGTATACATGTACATGTACATGAAAATGAACAATACTGTCTTAAGAAGTTGAGTGCAGCCTGCAGTGCAGGTCATGCAGCACACGTTACTTGCCGAACGCCGGTGTGTGTGCAACAATGACAATGTGGATTCTTTCTTTCGCTGTACAGCATGGGCATAGCATGTCCTTGTGTACAACTGTACGTGCTTTAATACCATGAGGACACGAATTGAACTGCCGGCGGGGACATGCCCCTACTACTACTACTAGTACTACGTAAGCGGCAGTAATAAGGCCTCGGTCACACTATGGCAAAAATGCTGCGTCAGCGTCAGAATCATGAGCTTTTCCATGGCAACTGACTCAACGCGGGAAGTTTGAGCGTCAACGCTGCTGCGTCTGACGTGGGGAAATCGGCTGCGTTGCCGCTGATGGGAGTGACGCTTGGCGGAAAAACAGTATCTTTCAAGTAAAATTAGTTTCAAGACACTTTGCTTGAGTTGAGCAGTTATTCGACATTCGTCTCTTCAAGGTTTGTTTTGTTCCCTCTTTTTGTTCGAGATGAGTCCGTGGACCTACGAGGCCGAGGCTGCTCTGCTCCGAACCTGGCGGAAGAGCGAGGCATTTTCTGAGAAGAAAATGATGTCGAGAAAGGACCAGTTGTTTGAGTGGGTCATCGGCCAACTGGAGCCTGTTGACTTGGGAGTGTTGTGTTGTCGTCAAGAGCCCCAAAAAGGACAACCAGCATGGCGAAGTCAGGAGAAACACAGCTGCGATGCGGACTTTTCTTGCCTGATCCATGACACTACAACTGAAAATGGCTTCAAATTCGGAAAGAAACAACGATCGTGAACGCGTGGACCTTTCGTCTTCTTGCATTCATCAAAAATCAATGAAAAATTCGAAAACTTTTTCCGACAATTTTTTTGTATAATAAGCAAAAGGCCGGTTTCTGAGGGAATCCGTGTCGTCATTGAGTTTTCATGGTGATCTTGTGACGTAGACAAATGCGTCAAGCCGCGGCAGTCATGAGCTGCAAAAAAAAAAAAACACTGACAGTCACTGTGTGACCCCGCGTCTGCGTCAAGTGCTGCGGGTTGACGCTGCGTCCAGCTTCAAACTGCCGTAGTGTGACCATGGTGACCGAGGCCTAAGCCCAAGCCTGGATTAGGCTGGAATGAAGATTGAAGCCGGCCTGGTCCTGGAACAGTGGAAGTGGCCGTGTGCACATAGTAACTGTATCCATGACATCGGGTTAGTCACTCAGAGATATCACTCATCAGCGTCCCCGGTGCGGCCCCGCCGTCTGGTATTTTTGTCTTTGAGTTTGACTTGCACAAGCAAAACATATCGACAGACAGTGTATGTTACTATGTACCTGGTGTACGGCCATGGCAGTAAATATTTCCCTGTTGAAGCTGGATACAAGTGTATCTGAAGTAAAATTTGTGTCCACCCTGGCTGTTGCAGGCACAGTTAGGCACATACATGTATCCTTCTTAGCTAGCGATTGAGCATTCGTCTGTCAGGCTCAAGATTTCTGAAGTCCGTGGCGATCGGTCTGAGTCGTTGCTATTTTGGTCTCGTTCGCATAACTAACTACTTCGAGACAAACTGAATGATCCTTGAAGTCAGTTTAGCTGGGCCGGGAGCGGTGGTACGAGGACTCTATTCGTAGTGTGCGACCCATAATCATTGAGATCGAGGGTTGGAGGATTGGCGACGCAGATATGGCGGAATACCCGGGTGCCGAGTATAAGATGTCTTCCTATGGCTCCAAGCACTACACACCGGGGCAGAAGAAGGAACAATGGACACAGGCTTGTGAGGTAAGAATGACAGCTGTACATGATTCTTTGACTGAATAGAAAGTAATGAACAGTAATAATGACTGAATGGACTCGGACACTCGGATGGAGAGCGAAGGATAAATTTATAGTAAAGAAAAAAGGATCACGAAACTACAAGTTATGCTATAATGTCCACTAACACCACCAGTTACTAAGCAATCAGCTCCGGCGATAACATTGCATGACACTGACCGAAGGTACTGACGTTCTACAACTAACTGGCTAACAGCTCTAGCACATCTTGGATGCGCACTCCAACAGCCTTCCAACTTGGAAGGTACTAAGTTATAGAAATAACATGAGGAGGAGAAGGTGAGCGCAACCAAGACAAGCACGAGCTGAAAGTCTCGGCTGTGAAGGACGTTGGCGGATGTTCATGCATGTCGATGACGATACTGGCAAGACCACTGGACAATACGGTCAAACCACGATTCAAGGACGCAAATATTTCTATAACTTAGAACCTTCCAAGTTGGAAGGCTGTTAGAGTGCGCATCCAAGATGTGCAAGAGCTGTTAGCCAGTTAGTTGTAGAACGTCATTACCCTCGGTCAGTGTCGTGCGTTGTTATCGCATGAGCTGATTGTTTAGTAACTGGTGGTGTTAGTGGACATTATAGCGTAACTTGTAGTTTATCGGTCCTTTTTCTTTACTATAAATAATGACTGAGTTTGGCTCTACCGAGCCCTGAGAGAACCTCAGCGCTACTACACTGGTCTGGACGTTTGATGATTATGCCAAGTTTGATGATTATGCCAAGTTTGATGATTATGCCAAGTTTGATGATTATGCCAAGTTTGATGATTATGCCAAGTTTGATGATTATGCCAAGTTTGATGATTATGCCAAGTTTGATGATTATGCCAAGTCTGGCCCAAACCCAACCATACATGTGTGTGTGTGTGTGCGCGCGCGCGCGCGCGCGCGCGTGCGTATGTGTGTGTGCGTGTATATGTGTGTGGTATGTGTATGTGGTGTGTGTATGCATGAACTACACAGAGAGAAGAGAAAGTCAGGAAGCTCCACAAGGCTACAGAAAAGCAAGCGGACCGAGAAGCAGACAGGCATCGGCAGCTGCAAGAGACTGGGAAACTTCCGACCGAGAAAGAGATGAACGTCTTTAACTCAGATGCTAAGGTGAATTTCACGGCTCAGCCCTGCTCATACCATGGTTTGAATCAGTGTGGAATTGCCGGATTCAAGAAACTTAACTGACACGAAAGGAGGTCGCACAATAGGCCATTCATAAGCTGTTGCAAAAGAGGCTGCATGAAAGGCTGTTTAATGGCAAAGGAGCAAAGGAGGCTGCCGGGCAGCATTCGTGTGGGACAGAACTCCATCTGTCCCCTGCCAGGTAGGCCACACAGCGTAGAAACCGTGGCGCGAGGAAGCATTAGGCAAGGCTAAAGCAAGAGTGGTGTGCCCCAGGCTCTAGTCAGGGCCTCTGTATGATCGGCATTAGACCTTTGGACACAAGCTGGGCAAGCAGCGAGCTGTGGAGGCCATGCACACATTGATAGACAAGGCTGTTATTATCTCAAGATTATGACGGGCGATGGGCGTAATGATTTGGGGGCATTGACAGATGGTGGCTGTTGGATGACACGGTGGGTAAGCAAACGCTATCTTGAGCTTGAAGTAACAAATTGACTTGTCACGCAACGTTGCTGAGATTGTGCACACGAAACAGTTGCTTGCATAACTGTTCCATGGTGGGCTGTATAATACTAAGATGGAAGGAAAGCTACACTCTGACAGTGAGATGCTGCCGTGTCCTCCAGTATGCGACAAGCTTGCGGTTGATATCTGCAGTAACTTTCCCTGCCTGCTGCTCGACTCAGAACTGAGGTGCTGGTCAACCATCACTGCCAGATAGAGGATATATTGATAAAGGGGCAGTGAAGGTAGGGGGAACTGTATTGGTTTTTAGGTGTGCAATTATCGTATGAGCATCTTGTGTCGGGGTTCAGTTAGAGCCTCCAATTCACGGTTGCGTGTGGTGAGCTTGCACTGCTGTGAAGCTTTCTGACAGTCGATTCTCGATTGTGTTTAGACATTTACTGTAGGCGTGCAGTCCTATGTCGTCAGCATCGACAATGGTAGATGTTGGGCCAACAATGCTAGATGTTGGGCCAACAATGCTAGATGTTGGGCCAACAATGCTAGATGTTGGGCCAACAATGCTAGATGTTGGGCCAACAATGGTAGATGTTGGGCTAACGACTGTTACGTGTTAAGTGTAGATAATGGGCCCAGGACAGAGCCCCCCCCCCCCCCCCCCCCCTGCAGGCCACGGAGTTGCCAGAGACTATTGTGGAAGGGTTTGTCCCCTTCTGCCAAGGGGTACTCAAGTTGGAAGCAAGCTAAGACATGCTCATGCCATGGAAGTCCTTGTCTGAGTGTTGCTCAGCGGTGACTTTCGTCACTGTGTTAACCCAAATTCTGCTTCGGCTAACTTTCGGGCCTTTTCGTACAGCTGCTGAAAACTAAATAATGTTCAAGGCCTGGCTTTCGGGCCTTTTCGTACAGCTGCTGAAAACTAAATAATGTTCAAAAGGCCTGGCTGCGATATCAGAACATAAGTTTGGACTGTGTGATAAGAAACATTGTCCCGTGTGCCAGTGGATGGGTGGGAATTCAGTGCGCCCTCCTCTTATGGAATATTTTTTATAGTTGAAAATGAAAATCGCGGACATGTATTTCAGTTGCACTGCTCGGGACAAGAAGTACTAAAGATATTGAAAAAGTCCTGGTAACTCTAGCATGCCAGATGCCCCTGATGATATTATCTGATTGTGTGTTTACAGGTAGGGACTGGTCATCTCTATGATAAACTATTCAACGCTGAATCGGGGTACAATGCCAAATTGAAGCGTGATGACAGGTGCTTCGACACGAACAAGCTTGACAGATCAACGGTTAGTTTTTAGCATAAATTTAGGGAGGCTGACTATGAACTAAGTGAACCATTACATCTGCAATACTGTATGATCTTGTTCAGGTAATACTGATCACTATCCACAAGTGATATGTAATAGTATAGCACAGGGCCGTGGGAAGGTATTCGACATTGGTGCAGGCGCATGAGTAGGGGGGGGGGGGGGATTTTAGGGAAATTGGGCCCAAATAATCCATATTTCATTCCTTCAAAAGTCACAAGATGAAATTATTGGTGCGGTTTTGGCCGGAGCTGCCGCACCGGTTCCGACGCCCCTGTAGCCAGGAAGCCAGGAGCCAGTTTGCATCCCTGAATTTCGGTGTCATTTGCGTTTATTTAAAAGTAAGTCCTCGAACAGAAGAGCTGTTCAGTTCCAGCACTGTGACAAGTTCCAGCTTCTCAGCGGCGCCTGGCAGCAATGATTGCTCACTTTGATCTCAATGTGCCTGGCAATGATTGCTCACTTTGATCTCAATGCGCCTGGCAGCAATGATTGCTCACTTTGATCTCAATGTGCCTGGCAATGATTGCTCACTTTGATCTCAATGTGCCTGGCAATGATTGCTCACTTTGATCTCAATGCGCCTGGCAGCAATGATTGCTCACTTTGATCTCAATGCGCCTGGCAATGATTGCTCACTTTGATCTCAATGCGCCTGGCAGCAATGATTGCTCACTTTGATCTCAATGCGCCTGGCAATGATTGCTCACTTTGATCTCAAAGTGCCTGGCAATGATTGCTCACTTTGATCTCAATGCGCCTGGCAGCAATGATTGCTCACTTTGATCTCAGTGTGCCTGGCAATGATTGCTCACTTTGATCTCAATGCGCCTGGCAATGATTGCTCACTTTGATCTCAATGCGCCTGGCAGCAATGATTGCTCACTTTGATCTCAATGTGCCTGGCAATGATTGCTCACTTTGATCTCAATGTGCCTGGCAATGATTGCTCACTTTGATCTCAATGTGCCTGGCAATGATTGCTCACTTTGATCTCAATGCGCCTGGCAGCAATGATTGCTCACTTTGATCTCAATGAAATGGTGGAATATGTTGTGTAACGAGGCTGGTTATCAGACATCAGTCAACATTACCAATGTTTGCTGCACGTCTTGAACAACGTTACACCAAGACTGAGAGATAATTTAGTTCGACCTGAAGTGGTAACTTGAGACATAGACCAATAACAAAGCCTCTGTGTGTGTATGTGTGTGTTTGTGTTTTTGTATGTTCCACATATGTATTGCATGGCAGGATGAAAGGGATAAAGGTGTGCCAACACTGTCTTCATCAACGTATGGCAGAGGAGAGCCACTGGAACTTCCATCACGGGACCATGTCCGCGTGCAGATCATGAAACACTCCTTCTACCGGGCGCGCGACACAAACCTGGGTGATTGAGGAGAAGTGGTCGTGGTTTAGTAGGTATGTTGGCATTGTGCAGTAGTTGGGCCATGATGCCCACCATCAATGTTAACAGAGAGTGTAGCAGATTATATTCCTGTACTTCGCCAGGCTAAACTTTTCATTACCTGGAGGAATATCATGTGACAATGTTGCCAGGTATATGCAAGTTAGTGTTCACTCAGACTCCCCTCCACTATGTGGCCATCTACAGTCACACGTTGTTTTCTTTATCTTTTGCTACATACATACTGCAGTGACTTAGTTGTGCTATGTGCTGGTGTTGACAGAAGATGTCTTTTAGATCCCTGAAAATCATTGACACCCCCCCCCCCCACACACACGCACTATCCAGCTTGTCTACTTGATTGACAAATTTCTCTCACTCCGTCCGAAATCTTGATCCTATACTATCTCAAAATCCATGTCATATTTTCGTTCCATGAGCTGTAATATGACTTGCATTGTATGTTTCTGAAGTGTTTTTGTCAAAGCCAGTCGGTGTTCATCTCTTGCTGAGTCACCAATAAATTTGCCGGTATTGCCCTGGAGTTCTTATCTACATTCTCGCCGGACTTGCTGTTAGCAAAACGGCTAAACCGTATGTTCTGCAGCACAACTCATAATCGGTATAGTGCGGCATGTACTTCGAAGTACAGTCGTGGTAAGTGAAATCCGACACTTGCCATAGGGGACAGCGCCACAAATGGACATCAATGATTTAATGCACTGTTCCAAATGTGTACAATAGAGCCGTATGCATCCCAAACAGGTCGAAAAATCACAGAGTAGATACGCGCGTACACGGTTCACCGACATGGTACACATTAGGAGGAGGGTACCCAGTCCCCATTCATTTTGCGATCACCTTTGAGCAATTGAGGTGAACCTTGACTGTGATGAGTACGATTACTGTCATAAGACAGATACAAGTTGTATGTAACACATGTACTACGTATGCAGGGCTGCACACTGCATGCACATTGCATGGTGCAGTCCCTTATGCCAAGTGTCGGATTTCACTTGCCACCACTGTACTTCAAGTACATTGTATCTCATGGGCACATCATTATTATAATTATTGTATTCTCGCCATTTCTCGGTTAGTTTGCACAAATACGTGTGACATATTCAACGGTTGATCCATGGTAACTACCTACAGTAGTTGGGCATTCTGTCGCCTTTTGCCATCCTGACTCATGTCTTTGTCGCAACATTCACATTGTACGCTTGTTAGTGGTGCAGTGCTGAATCGGTCTACACCGATCAAGTGGTACTGCAGCTGCTATACTTCTGTAGGTCATGACGGTTGGATGAGATGCATCCATGGATACACTACGACTGCAGTCAGTGGCGAGCGGGGTCATTGATCCAGTCTTGCCGTATTACTATTAGCGCACTAAAGCACTACAATCTACAGATACGTTCCACCAAGAGTACATAACCCCCCAGAGTGTGCAACGCCGATCCAGCTCTGTGTAGGGTCTTGGTCGAGCGGAATCGAATCTTCTGATGTCATGCGTACACTTCACACCAGCGCAAGGCCGGTCTCGAGGCAGGGCACCATTGTTTTTGATCCAAGAGTACCCGCGACTTCCCGGGTTCCCCTCGGATGTGTACGGTATTATGACGCAAAGATCCGATTCCGCTCGACCAAGACCCTATGCAGAGCTGGATCAGGCGTTGCACACTCTGGGGGGTTATGTACTCTTGGTTCCACTGATCTGTACACGATTGAACTGAACAGTACAGCTACATGTAGTATGAGTTTGGGGTACTATTACTAGTATTAGTATTACTGGTTGGGGTACTATTACTCTTTGGGGTACTATTACTGTTTGGGGCCGTATCTAACCTGTCCCCGGGGAAAATTGCGGAAAAAAATCGCAAAAAACGCGGGGAAAAACGCGGCATAATATGGCATAATTTGCGGTGAATTTGCGGTAAATATGCGGTAAATATGCGGAGAATAATATTGATGTGCGGCAATTTTCAGTGAGTATGTAGTGAAATCAATCAGTTACAAGTCTCTGGTGTAAGCACTCGTCATATTTGAGTAAAATTCAAAAAGCCGCCACGATGAGACGTTGCTGACCGAACAGTGCACTGTGTGTACGTGTAGTGCAACAAAAAAGTTCAAAAAACGCGGGAAAATCGCGGAAAACGCGGTCTTTTAAAAAATCGCAAAAAACGCGGAAAAAAACGCGGCCGCGGAATTGCAATTTTCCCCGGGGACAGTCTAACGCAATCAGTTATTATCGTAGTGGCGGTACATCAGATAATATGAACGATCATTTTACTAGTGCATGTCAGTATAATTTCTCAGTTTATACCGTAATACTAATAGTAATCAGGTAACTAATTAGTTATCAAGAGTAAATCTTCTCTTATGTGCTGGTAACGTTATCAAGCTAGGCTATGGCCATATCAGCGGCATCCGTGATGGTAGCCTCGCGAGTCGTGAAAGCCCCTCTCTGGTTAGCAGTGGTTACTAAGTCATGGTAACTGTGACACACTCAGTGCTGCTCAGTAATTCAATATTTTAGGTACGCCGCTGAGACGCGGCAAAAGACCTTTAGGTTAGGTGAACAGAAATTTTAGGTATAGAGAAGCCATTCCACATCGGATGACTCACGATGTATGTTGGTGTTCGTGCGGCTATTGGAATCAAGTATAGGTACGAAAGACTCGGATTCACGAAAGTACCGAAAATCAAGGTACACCAAACATTGTGAAATTACAGCCTCGGTATCCATGTCCATAGTAACCAAATCGTAAGCGGCTGTCCATACGTAAAGTCACATGGAATCCCTCCCTGCAGTTCAGTTTGCGTACCGCAAAAACCACTCCTGCGACGATCTTCTCGCTCTGGTGGCAAATGATTGGAGTCAAAGTCTAGACCAGAACGAGTATGTAGCTGCAGCTTTCCTCGACATGTCCAAAGCCTTCGACACTGTCAACCACAGTTTGCTCCTCCAAGAACTGTTCGAGATTGGTGTGGGAGGGGTCGCACTGCGTTGGTTCGCATCATACCTTACTGACCGGCAGCAGAGAGTTGTCACCAAGTCTAGCAGAGGTGCCTGTTATTCTGCCTCCAGAGGTGCAGGGCCTGCTGGAGAGCCGGGTCAGCCGGGTCACGCGCCCGGCTGGGGAACTGCACGACCTGGCTGAACAGATAACACCGGGTCCAGTCTGACCCGGCTGAAAAATGTCTCAAACTGACAATGGATTCATAAAATTCCGGTATTTTACGACTAGCGGACCCCATCTCTTGCAAGTCTAGCGCAACCGTACACACTACAGTCTACAAGCGACAGAAACTCGGCTAGGGTCAACTGCGGTCACGTCAACTGGTTCGAGCACGATCTGGCCAGTTAGCGGCGAGCAGGAAGTCAGGACATACAAAGTCGATGGGGCAGGCAGTCAAAAGCGTTACTTTGACACAGTTGCAATTTTTCAGCCGACTGGTGATTTGGATGATGGAGCCCGCAGCGAAGAGAAAAAGATCTCACCTTTCCAAGACTCTTGGAAGAAAGGTCGACCCTGGCTGGACTACGACCATGCTAGTCTATCCATGTCATGCGCTTTGTGCAAGACGCATTTCCAAAGGAAGATGAGCGGCGATGGATTTGGTCGTTCGTCCTGCTACTAGCAATAATTAGAAAACAGAATTCCTTTTTTTCAAATTGTTAAATCAGAATCCAATGGAACTGCTTTGCATTCTTCACGTAATGTCGTTTACCTTTTACGTTTGCGGACTTTGATAGTTCGCCTTGTTCTCTAAAATTTCCGATTTCCGGTAATAAATTCGCCTTTCTGTTTCCTGCGTTTTGAGCAGGCTTTTTGGTTGTTTTTCTGCCGGATGATCTGACCCGGCTTGACCCGGCTGGCCTGCATGCGCCAGGTACACTCTGACCGGGCTGTGTTGAATGTCTAGAGCAGGCACTGAGGTGTACCTCAAGGATCTATCCTTGGACCTGTCTTGTTCAATCTTGCTGTCCGCAAACTGCCAGAGTGTGTTGCTAGTACCAAGGTCCGTCAGTTTGCTGACGACGTTTCTGTCTACAAATCCGGAAGGGATCCACAGAAGCTCACTGCAGACTTGGCCAGAGACGTTCTGTCAATCCGCAACTACCTCCGGGACCACGGCCTTAAACTCAACGCGGAAAAGACACAGTTCATCATATTCCGCCCAAAGTCCAAGGCGGTCCCAGCTAATCTCCAATTGTCAATTGACAGCACTAGCATTCCGCCTTCAGCCACCATCAAATACCTTGGCCTCCTGTTCGATGAGCATCTTACGTACCGAGATCACATCACGCTCCTGGAACGCAAGATAGGCGCTAAACTCGCTGTGTTCAGGAAAATCAAACACAATCTAACACCTGCTGCCAAACGAGTCTTCTACTGTTCCTTCATTCAAGCCCAACTTGAATACGGCTCTAATGCATTTGCGCACAGCCTCCAAGTCTCGCAAATGGACCGCATTACTCGCATCTCCAACCGTGCTGTTCGGATTGTCTTCGGCTACCCGAAGTACTACGATGCTTCTCTTGTTCTAGCTAGGAACTATCTCGCTGCTATCTCCCTTAGATATCAATTTCGCCTGTTTGTACTGGTGTTTCGAGCCCTCCATAAGTTGTGCAGTCCACTACTCTCGACCTGCTTCCTCCCTCGCACTGCCACTTCACAAACCTCAGCCCGTACACGCTCTCAATCCACTTTGTCACTTAGTCTTCCTTTAGTTTCTCGCCGCTATGGTTTATACTCGCTTAGCTTTCTTGGTTCTGATCGTTGGAATGCGCTTCCTGCTGATATTCGCACAATCTCCTTGCTCAGAAACTTCCGTTCATCTATTCAACAATTCATAGGGTACCCTGTAAAAAGGCCCTAGGCCTGTGGGACTGCCCTATTCAAAATTTAATAATAATAATAATAATAATCTACGTGGAGACAAAAGTTTAATAATAGCAATGAAAAGTATGAATGCCGCAGACATCACCACGCAACATGACAATTTGTTCAAGGTTTGGTTTTGTGTGTTTCCAAAATCGATTTTCACGTTGCGATCATCAGTGGAAATACGCAACTAAAGAGATCAAGGGAAAAACAAAGGTTAAAAATCCAAAGAAGTGTGACACATGACGGGTAACTTGTGGTAAGTATTACAAAAAGTGAGAACTAAAATAAAGAGTAAGTGTGACAAACGGGCATGAACAGTGCAGAAACAACTCATGAACACGGGGTGCAAACTCACGAAAATAACCTAAGTGCTAAAACATGTTCTTTTTGCTTACACAAATCGGGCTTATGCGTACGAATACAAACAGCTTCAAGGACCTTCAACTGCTGGACATAACGGGCACGACACAGTACAGAGAAGTGGGAATCATCATACACACTCAAACAATCGGGACGAGATAACAAATGCAAATACACAGCTGACTTCTTACGAATTTCACCCTCATCAGCTCCATCACCTTCCCTGCCACCTGACTCCTCCTCGTCCGTTTTATCACCATCACCACCAGCCGTCTCACCGTCATCCGCCTCGTCTTCATCCGCCGCCTCGTCATCACCCGCCTCGTCGTCATCTGTATCCTCGCCGTCATCCGCCTCGTCGTCATCTGTATTCTCGTCATCCGCCGCATCATCACCCAACTCATATTCACCACCAGTCAGTCGTCTGATACCATCCATGTTCTCCTTCCTACGTCTGTCCCGTGCCACTGTCCTTACCTCATCTACGTCCCGAGATTGTGTTCCGTTTTGCCCCCGGCTTCCGGTCTCCTTCGATGCTCCGCGTGGGCCTTGGCCATTCCTAGCATATATTTCGGTTGAATAATTGGCGGTCGACCTCCGTGGTCTCTGGACCCACGGATCAATCGCCGGAGGGTGCTGCGGTGTCCGCACAGCCGGATACTGTGTCAAAGAAATGGGCTCAATTTCTGTGATTGGCGGTACTGTTGTTGTTGCCAACTCCTCCCCAACCCCAGCCACCAACGGCACTGGTGGTGGCTCCGGCGGCGGCAAGGGCAACGGTGGAGAAGGCACATTCGGTTGGCTTAGTGATCCACCACTCTTCCTCTGCACCGTGTGTTCGACTTGCTCTGGTTGTGTCGGTGGTAGAGGGAGCGGGTTCTTGCGTGGTCTTCCCCGCTTCGGGCGCTTCGCTTTTGCTGCGTCCTTGAAGCTGTTTGTATTCGTACGCATAAGCCCGATTTGTGTAAGCAAAAAGAACATGTTTTAGCACTTAGGTTATTTTCGTGAGTTTGCACCCCGTGTTCATGAGTTGTTTCTGCACTGTTCATGCCCGTTTGTCACACTTACTCTTTATTTTAGTTCTCACTTTTTGTAATACTTACCACAAGTTACCCGTCATGTGTCACACTTCTTTGGATTTTTAACCTTTGTTTTTCCCTTGATCTCTTTAGTTGCGTATTTCCACTGATGATCGCAACGTGAAAATCGATTTTGGAAACACACAAAACCAAACCTTGAACAAATTGTCATGTTGCGTGGTGATGTCTGCGGCATTCATACTTTTCATTGCTATTAATAATAATAATAATAATAATAAAGGCTGTATTACATAATAGTTGTATTAAAATTTCGGTGCCAGGGACTTGTCAGGTTTCAGGTGTTGAAATGTACACTATTGTCTGTAGTAGGCCTTTCCCAAATCGGCCATTTATTTTGGCCTACCGGTATTCGGCTTTTCGATCGGCTGAAAAATCGCCAGAATCGGCTGAAAATCTCCGTAAAAGGTGGAAATTCGGCTCTAAAGTCGCAGCCACCTTTCGCAGACTGATAATGGCTACAGAAATAGTATTTGCATGCTATTGAGGCACAAAAGCATCAATTTTCGGTGAATTCAGTGCGAAAATTGCGTATTCGGCTAAAAGATCGGTGATTTCTTCCAAACCACTATTTTCGGCCAATGTTTCGGCCGGCCGATTTGGGAAATGCCCACGGGCCGTGACGCAGGCGCGCACGAGCGGTAGTACTAGTAGTAGTAGTAGTAGTAGAATTTATTATTTTGATAGGGAAGGCCCTACAGACGTTGCCGTCTTGTTACAGGGAACCCTAAGTGCTCTTTACAGAGCGAAACAAAAACGGATAGATGCTCAACCTGACGACCGGTCATGCCCAGTTGCCCACGACCCTGCAAAAACATGTACATGTATATTCGGCGATTTCTTGGTAAAATCTCAGAATTCGGCCAAAAGATCGGCGATTTCTGAAAAGGCTACTTTTCGGCGAATTTTTCGGCCGGCCAATTAAATTATTTGGGAAAGGCCTAGTAGTATAGTCTGTAGTGTAGGCAGTGGCGGAGGCAGCTTCCGGTTCCGCGGAGCGGTGCGGCCGAAGGGCCATCTAAGGGGGGGGGGGGGTCTGGGGGTCGTCCCCGAGAATTTTTTTGGAATTTAGACGGCAAAGCCTGCACTCTGGGCGACTCCCTGTACAAAACCATACATCGAAACTTTTTCTCCCCGGTTTTGGACGTTCCACGTGGACCGACTTTTTGGGAAGTAAGTTGGTACGGCCATGGCCGTACCACGTACCAGTGGCGCCGGCCCTGCTGCTGCTGGCCTGGTAGGTGGCCAACATTTCCTTCATAAACACTGTCTGAGTACGAGTGAATACCAGCAAGACTACATAACCCCCCGGGGGCCCCAGTTATGTACTCTTGATACTCTTGATACCAGCCATGTCCAGCCATCATCATTTTTTTTAAAGGTTTTGAGGGCAGTATTCCTAAACCAGAAAAATAATAATACGTAGCGCAAAATAAAGAGAAGGAAAAATAATAACCGGTCAAGCGCTATGCATGCTAATACAAACAGAAGAAAAAAAAGTCAACATGTCATGTAGTCGTACTGCATGCATGGAATGACTTGTTGCATGATGAGCACGTGAGCTAACAAAGCAGCCAAACAGCCAAAGAGGCTTTGCAAACGCGTTCCCTTCGTCGAGTTTGTATGTCAGGAAATTTTCGAAATGGGTTGAACGCATCTCATGACAATCATGATCTTTCTGATTGAATACAGAATACGATACTTGTACTGATTTTTCTTTTGGCTATGTTTGTTGCTTAGTCCAGAACGTTGCATATTTCCCCCCGCATTGGGTTATAGTTTCTAGTGCGTCGTGATAGAATCCCTTGTGTGGCTATGGCGTGGCTAGTGGCATTCTCTCAGCCCTCTCACAGGTGTCTGAGTTTGACCGGATTAGTAGCATTGGTGCTGTTCAGTTCAGTGGCTGCAGTTAGTGACAAGTCCAAGTTCGACAAGATGGTCAGGTTTGAAAGCGGCTCGTATCGGCTAGGAACTGATGAGAAGGATGCTCGAGACGGGGAGGGACCTTCTCGATTAGTGTCGGTATGGCCATGACAACACAAGTCACAATTAAAAAAAAAAAGGTTGCATCCATTAATAATTAAAAACTTGCTTCACGGACGCACGTCAAACCTGCGGGAGGGTTATGTACTTTGACTGTGCTCATTCCTAATACACTCATATATCTCTTAGGCTGTCATCACACCACAGTACAAAGCGCTGTGTCTACTTCCACGCAAGGAGTTTTTGGTCGGTTGTCATGATGATCCGTATACGGGGTGAAAACGGTAGCAGAGGAAAGGGGAAACGTAGATGTGGTAGGGAAAGGGGGGGTATACGACTTTTTGGATGAACGTGCGTATCTCCCCCAGCCTTTTTACGAGTGACCTTGTACTTCGATGTACGTGCGTTCAAATTTCTCCAAAAACGTGACTGAGGTATGCGTCAAGAACCGTGCCTGTCTGATGACACAACCACCCGTTTTGGTTTTTTCACCGTAGATGTAAACGGGAGTCGGAGAACGACACATCGTCATCGACACATCGTCACCGTCACCACACTACGTTCACTGACTCCCGTTTACGTCTACGGTGAAAATTCTAAAACGGGTGGCGTGTCATCACACAGGCACAGAGTTTGCCCCGTACTCCGTAGACGTGGTCACGTTTTTGGAGAAATTTGAAAATTTAAGCTCACATACTAGGTCGCTTGGAAAAAGACTGGGAGAGATACGTACGTTCATCCGTTGTAGTTGTATACCCTCTCCATGCCACGTCAACGTTTTCCGTTTCCTCTGCTCCCGTTTTCATCCCGTTCATGGATCATCATGGCAACCAACCAAAAACTCCTTACATAGACGTAGATGAAGTGTTTTGTACCGTCGTGTGATGACAGCCTTATCCGTACCCCAAAGTTACAGGCACGGGCCACCTTGGTCCACCGAGCACCCGGCACCAGTGTATGAGTTTTAGTGGAAATATTACTACTCTTTGGAGTGTGGAGAGCCAATTTTTGTGGAAATGGTGACGTGATATGCCAGATCTCTGGCCCTTCCCCACTGATAATGTATGTGAGATTCAGAGTTAGGGACATTCCGAAGTTATTGGCAGTCACGGCCTGGTCCCATGAGCAATGAAAACTGATTCAGTGAACCGAAGGCGAAATATGTGGAATAGCATACCCGTACTTGCTCACACAAAAGCAGGTGTGCTTATATGCGAAATGTTGCTGTTATATGCAGAACCGAGAGGTTATTTTCCTCGCATATACCGGTGAGCACTTTCTTATAGTATGGATGCACTGAGAATCATAAAATGCACATGGCCCTTCACGGGTGCAGAGACCAGTCTTCATACACTTTCATGTGTGCTGATAGAGCTTGCATGGGCATTCCCTGCCAGACTCGGGTGAAAACTGAAAAGTTATTCTAACATACCGATGTGAGTTTGTCAACTGGTGAATCATGTAATAAACTACCCGGTGTTAACTGAAATAATTGATTGATTGTTTTGTTCATATTTTAGCACATGTGCTGGTGGTTAAGTGGACGCAGCATGTGCTTATAATTATGCGAAGAAGTTGCATATTTAATGCCATATTTGGTCTTGATGAGCTCAGCAAGGGAACCGAATATGGACCATATACTTCAAAGTAGTTGTACAGAACCATGTTTGGGCTGTGGCTATCATCATGTCTGTGTATATGTGTATGTGTGTTTGTGTGTGCGCCGCGCGCCCGCGCGTGTGTGCATGTGTGTGTAGTACCGTCACTGTGTACCGTAATTCCGCGCATATAAGCCCACGGGCCTATATCCGAATATAAGCCCACCTCCGTTTATAAGCCCATGGGCTTATAAACAGACACAAATGCAACTCGCGTGTCGATAAGAATTTTTCACAATCTGGACCCTCCTACCATGGTACAGCAGGTCAGTGCAGTTTACCAGTAGAGTATGGTAGACCCACTATGAGTACGGACTTGTACTTTTTCGTGAACCTTCAAAATTCGAATATTGGCCTATGGGCTAAAAAACGAACATGTTTTACTGGATATTTTATCCCCAAACTGCATTATTTCACATATAAGCCCATATAAGCCCATGGGCTTATATGCGCGGAACTACGGTATGTGAGTGTGTGTGCACGTGTGTGTGCGCATGTGTGTCTGTGCCCACGTGCACTAGTTTGGTTGGTCCTAATAGCAATAGTGCTGGGTGTGTTGCCATCAAGCTTTTGTGTGTGCTGGGTGTGTTGCCATCAAGCTTTTGTGTGTGCTGGGTGTGTTGCCATCAAGCTTTTGTGTGTGCTGGGTGTGTTGCCATCAAGCTTTTGTGTGTGCTGGGTGTGTTGCCATCAAGCTTTTGTGTGTGCTGGGTGTGTTGCCATCAAGCTTTTGTGTGTGCTGGGTGTGTTGCCATCAAGCATTTGTGTGTGCTGGGTGTGTTGCCATCAAGCTTTTGCTACTTGAACTGGTGTATTGTACCTGCCACCTTTGTTTTTAAAATATACTTACCTGTTGACTAATAAGTTACTTCTGGCGAGAAGAACTCTTGTGTAAATCAATGGTGCAAGTGCAGCCCGTAATTGTCAACCCAGAGTGTGGGGATTGCAGGGAGTGCTGGCCATTGGGCAGTTCAAAACCAATTGTCGTCTTTCTCCCCTCTCCCAGGGAGACGCGCGTGACCAATTTCTGGCAGTGAGCAGGTACAAGTGTGTGTGTGTGTGTGGGGGGGGGGGGGTGCATGTGTGTGTGTGTGTGTGTGTGTGTGCATGCGTGTGTGTGTGTGTGTGCACGGGCGTGTGTGTGTGCACATGTGTGTGTGCGTGTGTGCGCGTGTGCGCGCGCACGGGCGTGTGTGGTAGTGGTAACTAGTACTAAGTAAATGTATGGATTTTCCATGAGATTACATAAAATTTTCCATGAGATTACATAAAATTTTCCATGAGATTACATAAAAGGTACAAGGCATGCAATGGTAATAAAGTGCACTGGTGATTTGAGAAATTTGTGAAAATGTGTATTCTCTTCTTTCTCTCCACATGCGCAGGTAAAACCGTTTGAAATGGATCAGTACTCGGTGACAAACGAGCAGTTCAGAAAATTTATTCGGGACACCAAGTTCCGCACAGAGGCCGAGAAGTTTGGCTGGAGCTTTGTACTGGAGCCATTTGTGTCAGAAAAGATCAAAGCTACGATCAAGGAGAGTGTGCAGGTTAGTTGTGCTGTTGTTCAAGCATCAAGTAGGGATGTGTGTGTTGTTACAGTGTAGAGTAGGGCCTGGTATAGCCAAGTCACACCCAAATTCTGTAATTCTGAGATTGCAGCTACCATGCACCAATAATATGGCAACAAGCAAAGTGATTTGCCCATTGACAGCATATTCCAGTGAGTGCGTTCGATTACACACTTGAATCGATTCATGAATCGATTCAAGTGCATTCAAGTCGTTCGATTTTCATGTCATGAGCCCTGGAATCGATTCGGAATCCATTCACTCTATTCACATGGGGTGATGTGAATAGCGCGAATCGATTCATGAATCGATTCGCGCGTGCAATCGAACGCACTCGCTGTGGGCTCATAAGATCCTTTCATGGCGGCAGTTGAAACCAGCCAATCAGCCACAGATATTCTTCTTACACTCTCCAAAACCATGCTCTTCCACCAAGCTGCTATTCAGGCTGATGATGGCTTCACTGTTTTGCACTTCACTTGCCTTGATGAATATCATGTTACGATTGCAGGGTGCCCCATGGTGGTTGCCAGTGAAAGGAGCGTACTGGAGGCAGGTGAGTTCCTCTATGTGTGAACTGCAGTTTATGTCATGAGTAGACACATTGAGTTGATGTTGATACCCGTTATGTTTTACTGGTGGATAGAGGAGATTGCGGGTCTTGGACGGGACCACTTTGTGATGGGTCTGATCTTCTCCTCTCCCTCCATGTATACACTATATTTGTGCCATGATCCTTTAGGGTGGTGGCTTTCCTGCAGATACAGGGAAGACTCTGTCTGACTCTTACGTGATCTGTGGAAATTACTCCTGTATGTTTAGATCATAGGATCAGAGCGTACCTCACTTCCGCAATTCCGATTCTTTCATAATCATTTATCTGTTTTAGAGCAGATCCATGTTAGTAAGGTTTTGACTAAGGGATAAGAATGTCAGATATGCAGAACTCGCCAGAGGTGATGTAACGTGAACAGCATATGCTCATCACCTATAACTTTTTGTTGACGTCACCTTTTGGGGACGCATGACGCCAAGAGTACATGACCGTACATAAACCAGAGTGTGCTGCTTCGCATCTTTGTTGCATAAAACCGATCCCACGACGAAGTTATTTTGGTTTAGGTCATCAGAACCATAGAAGCCAGCCATGCCGTAGGTTCAGTGCTAAACCACCCTATCACGAAAGGGATAACGGGAAATCAGCGTCCGTTATTTCACTATTTGTACCACAAGCAGCAATGGCCGATGGAAATTAGGGGTCGTCCGCAATTATCGAAAGTTTTTTCCAATCCGTAGTAGCTTCAAATTTTTCCTCACCCACCCACCCCCCCCCCCCAGTCCGTAATAAAATATTATTGATGGACACACAACCCAATACTCGTCCATTCCTTTTTCGCTTCGGCAAAGAATACATCCTTGTTCGTCGTCTTGGACAACTGCCACAAGCAATTTATTGTTCTGTAATAATCAGAGTCACCAGCGGTTTTGAAAAAGGGCTGCTTCTTCACCGCCTTTCCAAACAACGTCGCCTGTCTGGACATAGTCAATAACAGTCGTCAGCGCCAGCGCTAGACGGAAGGACTCCAAAGGAGTGCATGGAAGACGGTACTCTGGACGAAGGAGACAGTGAAACTCAAAAATAGAAGGGTCAACTCGCCGTCGAATGCGCCGAACTGTATGATCCCCGGCCAGGAGCAGCCAAGGAAGCGCGCGCGGGGGCGCAGAAACTGCCAGAACTACAAAAATATTTGTAGTAGACAGTTCGCGCGCAGCCGCGCGTGGAAAACAGGGGCTACACGTAGACGTACACGTGGCACGCGCACGTGTCATTTCGGAAGTTTTTCAATCCGTAACTGGCCTTGACCCACCCACCCACTTTCGAAGCTACTACGGATTGGAAAAAACTTTCGATAATTGCGGACGACCCCTTACCTTGGTGTTACTGTAAAATGACTAGCATGTGAAGCGGCGGTGCTAGATGCAGCTAAGGTTACAAGTACAGTAAAACCTGGTGTAAGTCACCTCTGCTTTTAGCGACCACCTGCTTTTAGCGACCACCTGCTTTTAGCGACCACCTGCTTTTAGCGACCACCTGCTTTTAATGACCATTTTTCCAGGCACGGACAGTTCTACACAGAAACTGCACCGGATACAGTGACCACCTGGCTTGCACGGCCAGCGACCGACTTTGTGTGTACCAAGTGCCATCTTGGCTGGCAGTGTTGACAGCCACAGAGTTGAAGTGCGCTCTGAAGCAAGCGCATGTAGTGAACAGAGTGACAGTGCAGGATGCCCAGCATGCACTTGAGTGAGGTGTGCTTTGCCTGAACGAAGGCATTCTACACGCCACACCTGTCAATATGAGTACAATCACGGAAGTACGTGTACAAACATGCACATGTATGTACACAATCCGATATGCCACGAATGTATGGGACCTGGTTCTAAAGACCACCTGGCTTTAACGACCGCATTTGTTTGTACCGTAGGTCACCGTAGGTCACCGTAGGGTGGTCACTTAAACAAGGTTTTACTGTAGTCACTGTTCATGTACCTAAACAAAAACTTCGCTGTGGGATGATTCTCCTGGACCTTCACACTCTGGTTTATGTGCTGTGCTCTGGATGACACATGTAGTACGAAGCACATGCTGGGCGCCGACCTTTGCGAGCTTGTGTTTTTGGTGCTTTCAAAATGGAAATTTGTACTTGTAATTAGGAGTGAAACGGTTCGGGTAAGGAACCGGTTTTAGAACCGCCAGCTGAAAAGAATCGGGTACCCGTTCTGTCAAATTTCGAACCGAAACTCGAAAAATCTCGTTCTTGTACAAATACAATCATACAGTCATGTACACGTCAAGTCTACTCAAGATGTTAAATGTCTTACCTTACGATCCCCACTCTTCCAAAGAGTTCTCTGGTCATTACGGAGGATTAGCAAGACGAAATTCGCGTTCGCGTTCGCAAACATTTTTCAGTTGGCGAACTGGATTGCGAACTTTCGCATTTTTCGTTCGGAAAAGTAGTCGGAACACGAATCGCGGATTCGTGTCAGGGCAGTCATAAAATTGACCACACTGTACTGTCTGTGCACAATGTACGTCGTGTCAACGTCATGCATGTGCGAATTCTGTTTGCTGATCCTTCTCATAACGCGAATTCCGTCACTGAGTTGGACTTTCCTTGGAGAGCGAACGCGAACGCGAATTTCGTCTTGCTAATCCTCCGTATTATCTTCTTCGCACTTGGACTCTCCGATGTCTCATTCTTGCTCGTAAAAATGTTTTTTCTAAAGAATAATTGTCGCGAACGCATTTTGTCGGTCTGGAGAAAAGAGTGCATGGAACCGATACCCAAACCGTGGGAAACAATGCTGGCATTCGGGTACCCGAACATGAAAAACCTGGAACCGTTTCGCCCCTACTTGTAATCCCACTACTGTAGATTGTTATTCCACTCATTGTGCAGGGTTAGTGAAACCTAGCCACGCTCACATCCCACTCATTGTGCAGGGTTAGTGAAACCTAGCCACGCTCACATCCCACTCATTGTGCAGGGTTAGTGAAACCTAGCCACGCTCACATCCCACTCATTGTGCAGGGTTAGTGAAACCTAGCCACGCTCACATCCCACTCATTGTGCAGGGTTAGTGAAACCTAGCCACAGGGGCGTAGGAGGCAGTTTAATATTGGTGCGGCGAAATTGTGAGAGGGGGTCCGGGGGTCGTCCCCCGGGATTTTTTTGAAAATTGGGCCTAAAAGGCCATATTTTAATGCTGCAGAATAATATGAGAAATAAGAATATGCATGCTGATGATACACCGCATTGTCGATGTAAAACATGGTACCTTTACAAGAGTCGACAAGCCATCAACAAGGTTGAAATGTTAAAAAAAAAAAAAAATTCGAAAATTATTGGTCCGGCGACCGCCGGGCCTGCCGGACCGGTTCCTACGCCCATGAGCCAGGCTCACATCCCACTCATTGTGCAGGGTTAGTGAAACCTAGCCACGCTCACATCCCACTCATTGTGCAGGGTTAGTGAAACCTAGCCAGGCTCACAACGCCACTGAAATATACACGTAGCACATGACCCGTATGGTATGATTAATGATCTCCTGAAAAGTAGACGTCAACCAAAAGCACACCATGGGCCAAACCTGGGGTGTTGGACACTCTTGTTTGTGTAGTCTTGTTAATACCAATAACATGGACTGCTGCAACCCTCAAGCAGTTCATGGGTGGGTTTTTGATCTGTTTTTGGTGTTGTTTTGCTTTTTCATAGCCGTTTGGCCCTGGCTCGTCGATCAAGGAAATGATGCACTATCCCGCAGTGCACATCAGCTGGAACGACGCCACCGCCTACTGCAAGTGGGCAAAGAAGAGACTACCCACTGAGGCCGAGTGGGAGTTTGCTGCTCGTGGTGGTGGCCAGCAAGGTAACTCCATAGTTTTTTTCTTACTTTTTACCGACATTCTAAATCTCCGGTGGAAGGACCACCCGTTTCCTTGTGCCATAACTGGCATTAGCAATGTGTGTGTGTGTGTGTGTGTGTGTGTGTGTGTATGTGTGTGTGTGTGCCCAGCACAAGTTGCTATGGCTTCTGCTGTAGCATCGCTATCATCGCCTCCGGCGATGGGCGTCCAATGGTCAATGGTGTGTGTGCCCACACTCCTTTTGCTTGGTGGATTCTTTCGTGGACAGTGTTTTTCGTGACGTGAAATTTTGAATTTTTTTCTTTCCTGTTCATTTTCAGTCGTTGTCACTGTAGCTGTCAGGTTGTTGTTACAGTACAGCAGTCGTCCATTCTGCTCCATTGTTTCATCTGTTTTGCCAGTTCTGCTAGCTGATTCTCTTCATTTGCCACTGCCCCTCATAGTGCTCATGCTTGGCTGGAGGGCGGCGTGACCCGTTTAGGGTAGCTGTATCATAGTAGTAGTAGTGTGTGTGTGTGTATGTGTGTGTGTGTGTGTGTGTGTGTGTGTGTTCTATGTCTCATATTCTTGTGTGCATGGTGTGTGTGTGTGTGTGTGTGTGTGTGTGTGTGTGTGTGTGTGTGTGTTGTTAGTTTAGTCTCAAAGTAACAGCACACCCTGTGAGTTCTGCATTGCTGGATATATTATCACTATTGTGGTATCCTATCAGAGCAGCATCTCTCCCAAACACCCCAATCGTTGATTTCTAGCTTGAAAATGGACTACAGTTGTATCATGGCATGATCTTGTCATGCAGAACTGAACCGCAGAACTGCTTGCAAAATAATGTATGTTACCTTGCAAACATATTATTTTGTCAGTGTATATGTGCATGCTTCGAGGAGAGCTTTGTATTTGAAATCTCCTTGTTCCATCAATTTTATTGGCATCTGGAGATGGGGCCAACATAGCCTGTCCGGGCTTGAGGTTGATTTTTAATGTCGAGAAATGTGCAAATAAGTACTCAGATGGTGAGCCAAGGAAAATATTAATTAAATGGAAACAAGGAAAACGGTGGGGCACAAGTTGTGCGTTAGAGTCCACCAACTAAACCAGGTTTTGTCAGACGTGCACAAGGTAGCACCAGACTGACAAGGAGTACTGAGACATTCCACGGCAAGGACATGCATACTTTCCCCCATAATCCCCAGTTATCGACCCCCCCCCCCCCCGCGTATTTTCTGTATTCTTTTGTTTTTGTGGAGCGCTTCAATTGCAATGAAGCCGACACCCTATGGTCAGTTAAGCTGCCCCTGCCTCTCCCCCACTCCTGCCATTCCATATGTCTCATCATCAAGGCACAGTGGAATGCTGGCTTGGTACGGCCATGAACCTTCCAAGTTGGAAGGCCGTTGGTTAGCACTGTCGAGCAGTGCTCAAGCTCACTTCCTTGCCGTGGAATGTCTCAATACTCCTTGTCAGTCTGGTGCTACCTTGTACACGTCTGACTGTTAAAACTTGACCTGGTTTAGTTGGTGGACTCTACCGTATACTTTGTGCCCCACCGTTTTCCTTGTTTCCATTTTTAAAAATATGGGAATGCTCGAAATTGATATGCCTTCTCATATGTACATGTGTCCTGTCTGTTTTGCTGATAGGGAAGAAGTATCCTTGGGGAAACAAGTATGAAAAGAAGCGCATGAATATATGGCAGGTGAGGAAATCGATATTGTAATGCTATGAAGGGGAGATCTGGTATCTGGTGATTTATGTTTGTTAGAATTGTCACCCTGTGGTCGTTGTGTAGACCGACGGACAAGAAATAATTATACTCTGACGAAAATACCGGGTTGGGAGATTTATTGAAAGGCTGAAAGACAGATTCTGATCAACTGGATAAATATTCTCTGGATAAAATACTTCTGATTGTATTCTGGACTGAGAGAGAAGCCTAACTACTGTAACATGTAGTTCTCTGTGAAAAGAAAAATCATCTGCCTGGACGAAGGAGCACCTGGTTTCTTTTTCTCTGTGTGCTGACCTCTAGGTATAGAAAAATAAGTATGGCGGTTGTACGCGAGAAAAATCTCATGCAAAAAACTACACGAAGGTACGTCCGAAAGTACGCAAAATAAAGAATTTGGAATCTCCGTCGTGAGATTCGTGACACTCCCACAGGCAAGAGAATAAGAAAGAGGGAGAGGGAACAATGAACCGTGTCGGTACACACGATCAGATACATGAAAAACGCAATCCGAAGTGTGTCGGCAAAGGCACGAAGACAGAAAGAGAGGGGAAACATGCTAGAATGTTAGTTTGACGAATGAGACTAATTCCTTATCTTTCATGTCCTTGATACCCTGGCGACAACGGTCAGCAACACGGTGCGTAGGTCTGGCGACTGGCTGTGGGTTCCTATTAACTGGAGTCTGCCGAGCTGCAGGTTCTGTTGGTGGCGTTGCATTCTGTGGTATTGCAGGCTTTGCTGTTGGTGTTGTTGGTTCTGGCATGGTCTCGAGTGGGTAGAGCAAGGTAACAGGTCTTCTGATCAGTCGGTCCGTTCCAGACACTCTGACTGGCTGATCTGATCTCTTGATCTGAGCTGCTGTGTACCTCCACTATTCGACCAAGTTTCCATGACTCATTGAGGCTCTGGGTAGGTGAGAGGTTTGGCTCGATTTTTGCTTGTTCTGCGAGCTAGTCTGAACACGATCAGATTCTGAATGTGCTGTGCCCTGTTCTTCTGCGACTCTTAGCTTTAACTGTCGCAGTGAACTGACTTTCCACTGAGTTGGTTTTCGCAGTTCAAGCTGCAGCATGGTGTGCTGAGGGAGTTTGTTCAGCATGAGAGAGACAAAGATGTCTTGACCAACGTCTTGACCAAGTGCTGCGAGACCGCGCAGATGTTCCTCGAGTTCGTAGTGCAAGTTGTGTAGTGAGTGTGTCTTGTTAGACGCGGATGGCAGATTCATCCAAGCAGAATACATAGTGTGCGTGTATGGATTTCTGTTTAATCCATATCGTTCCTTTGGCACATTCCACACTACCCGATGTTTGTCTTCCGATATCCTGCCACAGCTTCTTTAGCCGACCCCACAAGGCATTCTTTCAGACTTAATTTTTGAATATCAGAAATACGTGAGTTGTGGACAGTCGCAACAAACACATCGAAACACTCTTGGGATTTCAAAACAGAGCCATCGAACTTGGGTAGGTCCAGCTTGGAGAGCTTGGTCTCAGGTGAGACAGTGTGGTGAGTGTGTGTAGTGGGTTGCATCACGGCTGCCGTATGTCTTCTTTTTTACGGACTTGCAACTGGTTTAGAATGGATTTGAGGAAGCTGGTGCGATGGTTACAATCTACATCTAGCAGAAGCAATTTTTCGAAGTCAACCCCCGGAGATAACAGGGATCAGCTTGAAGTTTTCTGAGAGTATCGCACACCCCCTCAAAGACAACAACAGAGTCATTAAACGTATTAATAAATATACTTTTAAACCTCTTCCATTGTAGTCTCCAGATCGTCATCGGACAGCTTGCGCCAGTCATCATACAAGAGACTCGCATGCTCATCTCGTTCCAAGAGGTCTGCGTAAATGTGACTTCCCTCAAATTTTCCAAAGCAACCCAATGAAATAGTGAAGGTACTCACAGTAATATGTTTGTATTATGACCTGGATACTGAATGAATATCGTAGTGTATGCACTCATATTATACATGAATACCAGGCTATAGAACGCTTCAAAATGGGCTTGACCACTGCCTTTTAGTTATACAAGTCTATCCCTCCAGTAACTTGCGAAGATATTTCGGAAATATCGCGGAAAAAGTTGCCAGGTAAAATGCCACAAATTGCGGGGAATATTGCGGATTTTGTGAAACGTTGCGGGATTATTGTGGTAAAATTGCGGAAATTGCGGAAATTGCGGAAATTGCGGAAATTGCGGAAATTGGGGAAATTGGGGAAAGGCCGATATTTGGTACTTGTACTGTAGTGCGGTACGATGTACGAGTCGTACAGCATAAATCATGTACGAGTCGTACAGCATAAATCATGTACGAGTCGTACAGCATAAATCATGTACGAGTCGTACAGCATAAATCATGTACGAGTCGTACAGCATAAATCATGTACGAGTCGTACAGCATAAATCATGCATGAGTCGTACAGCATAAATCATGCACGAGTCGTACAGCATAAATCATGCACGAGTCGTACAGCATAAATCATGCACGAGTCGTACAGCATAAATCATGCACGAGTCGTACAGCATAAATCATGCATGACAAAACAGAACGTGTGCTGTACTGTACTCGATTGCGACTGTGATCAACTGCCTCACAGGTGCTTGCAAGACAGCTTTCCTCCATCCTCGGACAACGCTCAACGCGAGCCTTATTTTGTGACTTGTCAGCCGCTGATTTGCCCAGAAACTTCTCCATTCTGGTGTCGATCTCACAAGAAAACTACTGACGAGCTTGAAGAACTAAACAACATCGAAGAAAGACTCGAATATCGTGGTTGCTTGTCGAAATATCGCGATGCTTTTCAAGTATCAAGGACAGTTTTCTACAAAACGTGGATGATTTTTCAAATATCGCGGATATCGTGGACTTTTGTTCAAATCGCAGAAAACAACGCGGCTGCGGAATCCCAAGTTTCTGGAGGGAGAGACAAGTGCACCTCTATCTCTCCCTCTCCAAGCCAGCCATTGACAATGCACATCAAACGACTCCAAGAATAAACGGGTTCGGGGACTGGTGAAATTTGGCATATGGCTTCCATGGTAGAGCTATTTTCAAATTTTCATTTCTTGTTTCCTGTTTTGTTGTAAAGGGTGAGTTCCCTGACACCAACACTAAGGAAGATGGCTACCATGGTGTGTGTCCTGCAGATGCATTCAAGCCTCAAAATGAAAAAGGTAAGACTCATTGTTCATCAGTTTGAGGCAATGAAAAGGGAAAAAAAGGTCTGGAGGAAAATTGACTCTCACCACCAGGACTCGACTCCCAGTCAGGGACCTTTGCTATAGGCCAGTGGTGCTCCAACTACTGAGCTATAGTCCACATGGTCGTCAAAGCTGGTCCGGCTAGCCCGACTTGAGCCGAACGAATATTCCGGCAATTTTTTGCTTTTCATTATTGAAATTCACTGGAGTTAAATGAATACACTTTCAAGTTACTGGAGTGATACAATCGTATTATGTTATTCCCGTAGCTATGCAAAAGACGTTTAATACTTCAGTAACGTCTGGCGCTAGCCAGGGTCCACACAGCTTTAATTCCGTGTGTGTTTGTGTGTTTGTGTGTTTGTGCCGTCGGCATGTCTGCATGTTATACATTTTTCATTTCTCCTATTGTTTTCAAGACATACTGTAACCTGGGATTCGAACCCGCACTATCGACCTGCATGCATTCCCCCGATACACTTCGCATACATACTCATTCATCCAAGTTGCTTCACGTTATGATCTTGCATTTGAAAGCCCTATTTGAATATTGCGGCCAGCTGTATGTGGCCAGCTGTGTTTGATGGTACGGTACGGGACAGATACGGGATAGCGCCAGGCGTGACACAAACACACAAACAAACAAACAAACACACAAATACCAAATTAAAGCTGTGTGGACCCTGGCTAGCGCCAGACGTTACTGAAGTAACGTCTTCTGCATAGCTACGGGAATTAAAATTTAATATGATCACACAATATTACGAGATCAGCAGGTGGATACTCTCGTACATGCACATGCAAACAATACAAGCGATTTTGAAGTAGGTAGCTGGGAAGAAAGGACTGACGGCTAAACATCAGCATAATTACACATGGTTTTATCGATCGCTAAAGAGAAAGAAGAAGAAGAAGATGAAGAAGAAGAAGAGGGCATTGAAAAAAAGAAAAAAAGAGGACATTGAAGCCGCGGAATTGGAGCAAATACATGTACAGTGCATACGTGTACTGTATCTGAGGAGGAAAGACCACTAGCTGTTAGACTAGCTGTTAGACTAGCTGTAAAAAAAATGTGCATGTACCGCGACTGCACTGCTCTGTCCACACAATCCACTTTCTCTAGGCTTCTCCATCCAGGACTTAGTGATTGTACTGCAACATAATCGCCGCCTCAATGTAGTCCTCCAATGCTCGCTCTTGCCTATCACTGAAGGAGTTTTGGAGCAGGCTGAAGACTCGCTCTGCGGCAGCTGAACTGGGCTGAACTAGTAGCACTTTGCGCAATGCATTGCACCAGCTCTCGATATCAGTATGGCCTCGCCACCAAAGAAGAGGATCAATTCCAGCATACGTATCCTCGCATGCAGCTAGATATGCTGGCAAATCTGTTCTCATTGCTTCGACCTCCGCCTGGGAAATGAAGGGGAATGCAACCAGCGCCTCAACATCCTCCACATCTGGTCGCATCTCATTCACTTTGCCTGGTTGAAGAGCCGAGCAGCGCGGAATGCCTGGACGACAGGAAAGAGAGCGCCACCATTTCCAAATCTAGCGTTGAAGTAGCGAACAGCTGGGCGAACACATTCATACCCCACCTCCATCCATGCTTGGTGATGAGCTACATTCATACCCCACCTCCATCCATGCTTGGTGATGAGCTACATTGCCGTTAGCCAGGACGCGTCACGCAACAGCAGCTGTAGAGGGCAGCTGTAGAGGGCAGCTGTAGAGGGCAGTTGTAGAGGGAAGCTGTAGAGGGCAGCTGTAGAGGGCAGTTGAAGAGGGTCTGTGTTGGTAAACTGCGTCAAAGTACTCACTTCCTCATATGCATTCAAGCACAGCGCCGCATCACCTTCAAGCCTGTATGTAGCTTGTACAAACGGCTCGCCAAACTCAACAGTGACAGCAAGCTGAATCTGAATCCTGGCCCTCGCTTCAAGATCTGCGATGGACTGCTTCAGACGCCTCTTCGTCACACTGTTGTCTTCCACATCACTGATGAACTTCATCACATCCCCAAAGAGGTTATGCATCTGCTGCATCACCTCCCACTTGCTCCACCAGCGGGTTTGGTTGTAGGAACACATGCTAACGCCTGTCTGTGCTTTCCCATTGTAGACGGCTTTTGGGGCTATGGGAGAATAGGGTGATCCAATCCATTACGAAGCCTTTCAGGGTATCACCTCCGATTGCACGACCCACGTTGTCCAAGGTGTGGCTAAAGCAGCCAACATCCATCACCTGGGGATACAGCGGCTTGATTGTCCTCATTGCTACGTCATTTACAGAAGCCCTATCATGCATAATGGTGACAAGATGAGGCGAGTCGATCTGAAATGTTACTGCGAGGGTGAGGAGAAGTCGATGAGCAATCTGTTCTCCCGTCATAGTCTCCGCAGCAAGCTTCAGTGAGATCAAACGCTGGTATATCGTAAAGTCGGCTCCTATACACCGCGCAATAATAGCCATTGCCTCGCAAACATGCGTGGTCCCACCGAACACAATGGAGATATGCTTGTGATTCCTGTCCATCAAGAAGGCCTTCACCTCAGCCACTTCCTTATCTCGGATCATTGGGATGAGATCACTGAGGTGTTGACTTCCAGTCAAACGTAGGCCATGTTGCTCGAGAGGAGCCGGAAGTGTTCAAGCTTGTTCAGAGGAATACCACCACTCATATAGGTTTTCAGGCAATTAACTCTAAACACCAGTACCTCATCAGAAAGGGTGGAGCCTTTTGACTTCGTCTGCTCAATGTAGGCGTGACCATCAATCCATGTTTGAGCACGCTTCGCACTCCGCTCACTCCTTGCCTTCTTTCCGAGTTCGTGCTTGGAAGACCTGATGTGCTTCTGGAGGACACTTTTCACCGTCGATACCTCATGTCGGCATGTTTCACAGAACAGCTCGCCGCTCTTTACACTCAATCCCTCCTTGGGGAACTGCTGAACTCGTACAGCCGGCCCATGACTCCTTGGTGCTTTTCCGAGAGTTGGCGGCTTATAAACACCTCTTGTTTTGGAGCCAGAGTTCAGTTGGATTTTCCTCTTCTGCTCAAATCAGATGGAGTAGGGGCAAAGACGATCGGAAATTGAGGGCGCAGCAGTAGTCTCATGTTCGCTACCGGAATCCTCACTGTCGGAATCCTCACTACTACTGCTGCTGCTGCTGCTGCTGCTGCTGTTGCTGCTGCTGCTGCTGCTGCTGCTGCTGCTGCTGCTGCTACTACTAGTACTACTACTACTACTACTACTACTACTACTACTACTACTACTACTACTACTACTACTACTACTACTACCAACCGCTTCCAAAAGTGACGGGGCATCACTCGCCATGAAGGTTTGCATGCAAACGAACCTCAAAGCTTGAGAAAGGAAGTGAAAAGTGGAACCAACTGAACTATGAAGATAAGGAAAGCATGGGCCCTAGGAACTAGGGTGCAAAAAGGAAGGAGCCTGCATGACGCCAAAACTAACTTGGCCACATCTTCGAATGCCTTTGGCAGCCATTTTGTTGCCATGGCAACGGGCGAATAATTTTCGCACATTGGGTGATTTTTGAATCATTTTAGATTGTTTTCTAGATCTATCTTTTTTGGAGAAAGGCATCCTTCCCCACAAAATCAAGTTTTACATCCACATCTTTCCATTATTTTTTCGCATAATGTGGAAAAACCTATAGTCGGGGATCCAGGACAAAAAAAAGTGTCTAAATCTGAAAGTGGTCTGCCACTAGAATCCGAGTAAAATCGAACTGTACAGGTGGAGAGAGTACCTGTTGTGGAGTCGAATGGTAGTTGTTGGCCCGTCTAGATCGGGGAAGGAGCTCCGCGAGAGGCAATTATTTTAGTTCAGCTTCGTCGGTCACTTGAACTGCTCACCTTTCGTCTCGGGCCGATTCTGAGTTGCGTAGAGTACGCACATGACAACCAAATGCAGTCAAATTTGAAAACTCAAAGCGAGTGTCTGATCTGGTCGGCGACTTCACTTTGTTGTTGATCATATTCTTGGTCAAGAAGTTTACTCTCGCTCTTGTAGATGTAAAGCACAGGGACTTCGTAAGCCTAGCCTAGATATCGTTTGGTCCTTCCACTACCCACTCGCAATGGCAGCCAACAAACTACCCGTCGTGTCGTGTAGTTTGACACCGCTTCGCGAGTGATCTCAAATGTTTTCTTGATTGGAATTTCGTTGATACGATCGATACGAGGGACACCTATCATTCTGCGAAGGTAAGCTTGGACCCTTTCCCTGCTTCTCTCTCACTCTCAGGCACACACACCTTCAATAGCACTGGATTAAATTAGAGTTAGAGTAGAAATGATATAAACGCATTGTAGTCACTACTACTCAATCGAAAATTAAATAAATAAATACTACAACTGTAGTCAGGAAGACATGTCCAGTGCTGTGCAATTCATGGACAATATGCCCAGTTTAATATGTACATTGGAATAAAATGTAGGATGATAGCGTCATCACTTTAGAAGCCAAGCTATGTACAAGCAGTTTATATACAATGTGTGAACAGGTTAGGTGTGTTGACAGCCATAGCCATAATTCACAAACACAATGGGTGGCTTGGACCAGGGGAGGACGGTGCAGTTGCCAGTGTCTACAGCGAGTCGTCAAACTCCTTTTCTGGATCCTCATCAGAATCTGAGCTGGAGTCAGACTCTTCAAAGTCGTCAGCACCAGTACTTTCCTCGCTCTCACTGTTTTGGTCGCCTTCACATGCAGTTGTTCCCACATCTGCGGCACCGGAGCTGTCGTTCTGTTCGAGTACGGCCCCAAACGGATTGGCGCATGAGCAGCACGAGCAGATGTCCGTGCAAGCCAAGGACGCCTTCTTGCACGAACAGTGCTGACTTACGCAGTGCCTTGTCTTGCACCCACAGCTCACCAGTTTTAGTATGTCAGCAGGAGCGACGCACTGCAGCATCCAGGAGATGGAAAGCGTGCCGTCAGTCTCCGACTGCCAGCCATGGCCCACTGGACTCGGTACTTCTGGCATCGCAGTGGTGGCGCTCCGCCAAATGTGGGCCTGGTAGTTAGCCCTGGCCACATGTTGATGGAGAGCGTCGCGTGAGGGCGGTAGTTTGTGCGGAGCACAGGATGTGGCCGCACAGAACTTTTGGTAGCGCAGGCTGTTGATGTCTTGCTGGCCAGGGTTGCCATACAAGGCACACGCAAACCACTCACATTCAGAAAGCAGCTGGTCATCCGATGTAGCATTGACACCCAGTGTCGCCAGTGCCTCTGCCATTCGCGTGCTTGACAGGAGCAGCTTCAGCGGAGCAGTCTTTCCCTTCCCAGAAAAGGAACTGACACTGTCACACCCAGTAAGAGCATGCAGTCCAACAATTGCAGACGAAACCAGGGGGCCCAGCTTCTGTGACAGCTGGGTAAGGTCGATGAACCGCCTCCGTTGCTGCGTGCCAGTCTGGAATATGAGCCGACCGGGAATGCTGCTAGCGGAGCCAATGGCAATCACGGCTACATCCGTGTCTGGCGACCGAATGACAACATCTGGGAATCCTTGCTGCACAGCATCAGCGGCATGAAGGATCAGCCGGGTGTCTGCTTCCTCATGATTGCTGGTCAACCTGTGAACATGATCAAAATTGTAAAAAGAGCAAAATGATTTCCCGGGCATTCAGAGAACGATAACATGGCTCTGCCAGATTATGTGATTTTCATCACTGAATTCAATCCATCAGCAATATCCTACTTGTACTTGTGGGACCAATATGCAGCAAATGTTTTATACCACTTGCTTGACAATAGTCAAAGTCGCAATAAACATGACATTGTACTGTTTGTCTTTTATAATACTAACCTGGACACTGCCTGGTGCCGTGAAAGTGTCCATTTCCCTTCTTCTTCTTGCAACACGTAGCACTGCTGTCCCACTGTTATGAATACACTGCGACTGACACCCAATGTTGCCTTGAGCTCCGGTGTAGAACTCCAATGGTCAGCGAAGAACTGGATTAGGCCGGCCTTATTCGCTCCGCTTGCCATGAACCGCTTCCACTGAGTAGGAATAGCCTGGTCTGGACGTTGTACTGCCACTCGCAGGGGCTCAGTTGAGGCCGTTCGCTTTGAGCGCTCGCACGACTTAATCGACGCAGTGTGGTATTGATCTGCTATGAAGTCAACTCGTGCTGGAGGTGTAGCTGGAAGGTAGGAGACTAGCTGCTTGAAGACTTGTTCGCTGAGCTGTCCGAATGTCGGTGGCGCAGATGTGTAGCTCTGCAGTAATGCCATCGCGTCGACCATAACGGCAGGACCACGCGGAACTGACTCCAGTGGGTCAACTTTCTTCTCAAGAGCAAGCAGCCGCTTACTCTTTGGAGTCTTCACAAGGGATCCGTCTGCGTTGGCCAGGGCCCATGGGACTGGTCCAAGCTCATGCTGGAAGAGTTCCTTCAAGTCGAATGACCTTGATTGAGCCATAACTAGTAGCCGGCCGAATAAGCTCCTATCTGCCACGATCGCTGTTGTCTTGGAAGACTTCTTTGCTGCAGATTTGGTTTCCGAGAACGTCTTCAGGTTCAGCCGTAATATCGGTGTGAAGAAATCAACTGCCTGTAGGAAGAAACAAGTCACGCATGCACACACACACAAATGGGTTGACAACTTAGAACGTAGTGCATGGATTACGGAGTACAGAACGGAATTATAACATCCCCTACAGCGTCACTTTTGATTTCAATGTGTTTGGTAACAAAGTATGTCACCAAAACATGCATCCTATCATATATCCACACGTCAAGACTTTTAACATGGTGTGCTGCAAAATCATAACCGTCTTACCTGACTCTCCAAGCGGTCTGCCACGAACTTGCTCATTGCACTCTTTCCCTGCGTGTGACTGGATAGGAGATCGGAGGTTGCTTGAGCAGAACAGACTTTCCCACTGGAGAGGCTGATCAAATCTTCACCAAGGAACGGATGGCTGAACTCTGCCAACCGCTTTTCGAGCTTCCCATAGTCGCTTTGATCCCGTTTCATTCTGCTGTCTGTGTTGTCCTTGTGTGGACGTGCTGTGCCATCATAGTCCTCCGCTTTGACGAGGTCGTTACATGCACTTGCAACAGCCGCTCGCTCGTGAGCTGTGAGCACCCAGCGGTGAACAGTTCCTTTATAGGACAATTATACAGAAAAGGGAAGGAGAAATACATCATCATGTACATGTAATCCACAACTGTTCAGGATCACATTAGAGTCGAATCATTTCCTATTCGTGATGCAGGTGGGCAGCACTGTGTTTGCATAGTGTACATTGGTTGCTTACTGTTTGATCTTGCATGTGGGATCATCAGGAAGTATCTCCCCATCAGTGGACATGTATGTTCTATTGGATAATTTGAAGTTTGGTCAGTTGTTACGAATTTTTGCCCTTACCTGGGTTGCAACTGAAGCCAATGAGTCCTCCATGTGACTTGCTTTGCCGGTTGATGGTCTGTTCAATGCACTGATCAACAGCCACCTTCGAGAAGCTGTTCGTAGACCTTGCAACAGAGAAGCAACCTCCTGATAGGGCTTTGTGGGCAGGAGGGTTGGTAGCAGGCAGTTGACGCATTTGTTGCCAATACAGCGACAGGTACCTGTGAAGCACAATGTAATGAGAACTCAATTTAGGAGAACTGAATGATTCGTATTTGAAGCAAAATGTTTTAATTGCGTCGGTCACACAGCTGATAACTTAATGAAGGGCCCAAGCATCTCACCTGGAGTAGTTCTGTCGATCGTATGCAAAGAACCATGGCAACATGTTCTCTATGCATGCCAGATGTAGCGACCAGTTCCCTGTCCGCGTAGCTCGGATGAATTGAAGCAGCAGGCCAACCATGTCGAGGTATGTTAGCCAAAACTGGGCCATGGGTGATGCTGGGCTGGTGCGTTGTAGCTGAACATGCTTTCGGTACCCTTGCTCAAGTTTCTGGTAGCTGGATGAACTGGTTACTGACTCAGCACCATCAAATATACCAGATGTGCGCAATGCTGACAAAGTTCCTTCAAGATCGCTTGACACCGTGTCTCCTCCACCTTCAATACATGAACACACACGCACATGTACATAGGTCAGAAAATTAGAACACAAAGTGCTACATGCAGACCACTGGAGTGAGAACAACAGGCACCATTTCTCAAACTACTTCACTTCGTCTAGTGTGCACAGATGGAATGCAATAAAGAAAGTTTGCAGCACAACTCCTATGTTTCTGTCCCCTCACCTTCAATGCTGTCCTCGTACAGCTTCCAGTTCACTCCCAGCAGACACTCAAAGGCAAGCTTATGGAGGCGAACACCGCGGTTGTAATGCTTGCCGGCCATCACCTGCTTGCACGCATTGCTGCCAACTACGCCTGACTCGACGAGGAGGTCTTCCAAGCCAGCACTGCCAAACCTCTTCCCAAGAACAGCAAGGAAGGCACACGACGTATGGAATGCACCCAAGCGGAGGACTACATCCTTCAGCTCAGCATTTTTCCAGCAAACTTCCACAGCTTTGGCATAAACTGCTTGGTCGGCGGTGATGATACAATGTGGCTGATTCAGCTTCTTCGATGTGCGGAGGGACCGGACAACAAGCTCATAAACTGTGCTCATGGCTGTAGGCGATGCTGGGATGATCGGCAGGTAACCGACTGTTGTTGGTGTCCCTGGCGCGGTTGACTGGTTCAGTTCAGCATTGAAGCCGGACCATGCGGGTACCAGTTGTGACTCGTCATCAGGTCTACCAAACTTCGGTGATACCGTCTGGTCTGCGCGCAACAAGAACCAAATCAGGTCAATCGATGCCACAGTGAGAAATGGGTCAATCGAGCCTTGTGCATCAGGAACTGGATGGGCCATTGGAGGAGGTCTTGGTCTCGCACCGCAGTTGTATTCTAGGCTCGGAACTGCAGGTGGGGCAACACTTCGCGGTCGGCGTTGGTTACCTGGCTCGGCACGGCTCGTACTTTCTGGTGGACACGGATCGTCCTGGAAGGGCAGCGAGTGCTGGAGCACAATGCCGTTGGTGCAGTGTGTCGTCCCTTGGCCACTCAGAGTTTCCTCGTTGAGGTCGTTATTGTCCCAGCAGAAATGAACATCACCTCCATGCTGGGAAATGCCACGGGGTACTACAACACTGCTGGCTGCGGAACTTCCTGCTACTTCGAGAGAATACCCGGTTTCTACTTCTCGCAGCTTTGAATACGATATGCCATGGCCGAACTGGTTGAGAAGATCCACCATGTGCTTGCTCCTCGTGTGGTGGTGGACAGTAAGCGCCAAAGCTACGTGCTTTGGTGTCAGAATAGATCCACGAGTTGCAGCATACACAATATCCTCAGCAATTGCCAAAATCTTGCAATGGATGTCGGCAGGGACATGGACACGGGAGTCCGTCAGGTCACCAATGTCACACTTCTCAGGGCCGACAATGGTCATGGCAAGCACATTGTAGAGGATGTCTGGCACTGGCGCATTCTCATTTACGATATCACTGGCATGTGGCATGGTGGGTATTGTGGGCTGCTGATCACGGATGGCGTTGTTCAGAGCCATGGCTGTGTGGAAGGCATGTACCTTGCAGCTGCTATCAATAGCTGGAGGTGCATCTTCATCCGCCATATCATCTCCAGCATATTCGTCGGCGCACTGCTGGGCTGCCTCAGCCTTGGCTACTGCTGCACCAACTACTTGTAGCAGTTGTGATTCTGTCAAGGAGCTGCTTACAACGCTCTCGGGTGACAATGGACCAGGACGGACGAAGTTGATGCGTTTTCCAAAATGCTCCAACAGGCGCTTCTTCAGCAGCCATCGTCGGTATTGACTTGCAGCTCCGAGCTCTGCCAGCTTGGCGCTGTACTTGGACGTCAGGCTGTCCATACGCATCGCTCGTATTTCTGTCTCACTGAAGAGCTCCTTCTCCATGCATACAGCTAGCCACTCAAAGGCTCTATCGTACACATTGTCGTCTGCAACTGCCGTCGTCTTCTTTGCCTCCAGTGCTGCCACCGTGCTAGAATGAGTGTAGTTACGGTAGCAGCAGAAATGGTAGCATATGTCCGATGCTACACAATCAGGACTGCCCTCCTGGAGGGTAAGTAAAATCCGCTGGCCTGCTTCATCTCCACGTGCATTTGCCGCACGGATCAGGCTTTCGCCAGCACGGAATTCTGAACAGAGGGTAAGCGGTTCAGCTTTCCGGTTCTTTTTTTTTGTTTTTTGTTGACATATTATACACAGAGTGATGTCGATGGTTGTCACTTTGCTTCGTGTCATAACACGCTTCTTGGGAGGTTCATCCTCACAGGCATCTGCGTCACCCACCTCCTCTGCGTCAACATTGCTGACAAGGCCACCACTCTCCTCTCCCTCAAAACGACTCAGAGTCTTCTTGTGGGTGTAGGCTGCATAGCAGCGCCTATGGTACCAGCCACGCGGGGTGCTCTCATCCGTGCTACACTGCTCCTGGCAGAGAAAGGCCCATGTGCCGTCCTGGCGAATTTTGGCAGCAGATACCACTCGAGACCAGCTGGTGTTCGTGAAATTTACTTTCTCCTCCTTTTCGCTTCCTTCGATCTTCACACAGTGGCACAAACATGAGCCCCACGAAATTTCCGAAACCTGAGTACTGGCTGAAGCCACTAAATGCCCAACACTACCTGGACTTTGTGCACAGGAGGCACAATTCTCGTCTTCCTCCATGCTTACTCGCGTGGGATTGAAATTGAAAGACCTCGTGCTTCCTCAAATAAGTTCCCCGGCCAGCGTCGTCATTTTCTACGGCGTCGTCATTTCCTAAATTTTTCAAATGTTTGTCGTGGGTGCGCAATGTGTGCATGCTCAAGCCATGCGCGTACGGACGCACGGCGAAAATAAATTTGCGACCTCCTTGAGAACGCTTGAGAAGGCTTGCGAAATCGTCGACGAAAACCCTCTCGCCGCTCGTCTCCTTCCCCGATTCAGAAGGGCCAACAAACAAAATTGACCTTCTATAACCATCACCTATCAGCTCTGAAAGCGGCAAATACTCGGAGTGAAGTGGCAGACCCAATTTTATTTTTGAGCTTCGGATCCTGTACTACTAGTGCATACCGTAAAGTCGCGGATAAAAGCCGGGCTTATAAGCATATAAGCCGCTTTCTGCATCAGGCTTTAATGCAAACCAGGCTCATGGCCAGCAATCGAGGACATCTGAGAGTTGTAATTTTTGTACTCCTCCGAGGTGTGATTTTTGGCGTGCTGGGCCAAGCACAAGGAAGCCATCTGCAAAAAAACGGCAGAAAATGGTTGTTGTTTGATCCTTTGGTGTAATCTTTGTTTCTAGTCGAAGCTAGTTGCTGTTTGGAGCAGAAACGCTGAAATTGACTATTTTCTGCATGTACTCATACATGTACTCATGTACTCAGGCATGCAGTCTCACTCGTATTTTAGCTCTTTTTCTGGAATGGATGCTGCTCTGCGCCCCTTGGTGAACATTTCCTGCGCTCGTGGAGCAGCTGAAAAGGACCACTGGTATGTCAAGTTCCTGGTTTGAAAGTGGAGAGTCGACTTTTGTGCCTTGAAAAAGGAGTAGAGAGCGATAAAGGTACGTCTGTGGCGTATTTTTGAGTGCTCCTCGTACATTTTTGATCGTGATAGAAATTCTTAGACCAAAGTCAGACCAAAGTCAGCGCGATGATGGCCGTACAGTTTTCTTGTGGATTTTTTAGTTCTTTCATCTCGTATCTATGTCAGTATCGTGATGGTGAAGTGGAGAGGGTGATTTTCTTCCTCTAGGCTTCGTTCGGCCGACTTTGCTTCGTCCTCGTTGAAAAGTGATCCTGAAAAAAAGGTCGATTCGCAAAATTATGTTGATTTTGAATGTACGTGATGACATGCGATTGCTGGCTATGTGTATGCAAACCATGCTTATATGCACCACTGATATTTTTGCCCGGCTTTTATGCACATGCTTATACGCGCGACACTTGTAGATCTACCACTGACTACCGGTATGGCGGCAGTTTTACTATGCACCGTACATAGCGCATGCACTCTTGACCTACCCGATCCGCGCTTGCATGGAAGCCAGGCTTCTACACGCGACAGGCTTATATGCATTTGACTCGTTTGATTTTCAGGCTTCTATCCGCGATGTGCTTGTATGCAAACCCGGCTTTTATCCGCGACTTTACGGTACACAGTAGAGCTAAAGTTGTACGACATTACGTCATAACATAACACGCCCCTTCGAAGATAAAATTCCATGGGTGTCAACCGGACACAAAATAAGTTACACAGTAACATAGTCATAATTATACTCTCAGGCATTCCTGTAAACGTTGTGGACGGGATCCAAGGGGAATAGCCAGCCACTTCCTTTTCCACCTGGAGAACTCCTCATCCACGATGTCGGCATTCGGCAAGTCTATCTACCCTGTAGAAGCTGACAGCATCTTCGACATCCTGGACATCCTGGACATCCTGGACATCCTGGAAGGAGGAGGCTGCTGAGACTGACCTTGCCAGGAGACCTTGCAGAGGTGCAACTTTCTCCAGGTGTTTGCTGAACTGTGACTCCAGTTCAACAATTAAATGGTCCAGAAATGGAACCAGGACCGTCAGGCGATGATATTGGTCAACATCAGCGCCCTGCAAGTTGGCATGGTGCTGCTGCCGCTGGCAAACTCTTGGAGTGAGTGACTGGCTCGATGTCTGACTTCCTGGCAACGCGGTAGCTGTGGTCTAAGATCCGTCCTGAAAACGCTTTCAGTTCGTCGTCATCGTTACGGATGTTGCAAAGCTCTTGGCGGCACTCCTGTACGAGCTTGAGGCCAGAACATAGATGTTGTGCCACTCCTTGTACCCGTACCATTGGCTCTTTCAGGTATGAGAGCACTCGATGAAGGCAAACAATCGCATACTGTAAATATACAAATTTTCGGCAGCTATTTAATTTCGGCTATATTCGGCACCGACCCAAAACGCCTAAATTAAAACGCCAATGAAATTTTTCACAGCATCTGTCGCACTATACCATGCCCTCTACCCCACGCCGAAAATAAATCGCCGCCGAAATGTCAAAAATCGTGAAGTGCCGAAATTTTGTATATTTACAGTAGATAAAGGAGAATGACTCCAGCGACTTAAGGTGAGCAGTGGCATCTCTCTTATCATAGGCTGGGAATCCGTCAGCATAGGCCAGGTAGTCGTTGCTGCCATTACCTCGCATAGCTCCATGAGAAAAGGGTGGCACTGGAGGAAATGCTCCCATCCATCTATGTTCTCCACCCACCACGTAATACAAACATTTTAAGTGGAGCACGGCTTGCAGTTGCTGGCCCATCTTGCTGCTGGTGGGAGCAAATCTGATTCAGGAGACCATCTCTCTTTGGCGAGGCCTGGACCTAGTAGTTAATATCCTTGATCACAGTGATGGAGTTACGGATTGATGGCTCTGTACATGCCTGGGCAATCACCAAGTTCAAGGAGTGTATGTGTATGAAATGAACCAGTGACCCTTATAAAAAATATTACCCTTTAATAGGCATGTAAAATCATACATTGATTGTTTATCGTCAGATTTTCTCGAGAAATCGGGGTGGACGGGAGGTATTTTATTTTATTTTTTATTTTGCATGTATGGCTGTATGGTCGGTGTTCGCAACCTCTAGACATACCTCTTTCTTCACTTTTCTTTTTTTGAAGCCATTTTGCACAGAGTGAGATAAATCCATGTGATGCAGATGAATCGTCAGCCACGAATAACATCTTGCAAGATAATTTTGAGAATACACAAAGGGAAAAGTGAAACAACCAACGTAGGACAACAAAGAGAATCCGGCAGCTGATAATCTCTTTCACTTTTCAAGCCTATAGCACGATGATACACGTGTGATTTAATCTGCGGACTTTGCCTTCCAAGATCTACAGCCACGCTGATTAGAGGCCGTATAGGCATAGATCACAGTACATACAGTATATTTACTGTAACTAAAAAATAAAATAATTTGGCCGGGAGGGCGAAAAATCGGGGCGGGCGCTGACGATAAATAATCGATTTTTTTACTTGGCCTTATAACGCTTCTCCTCTCTCTCTTCGGAGAGAGTAAGTTTTTATCAAACTGGCTGGCCGGACTTGCCATTGCCGAGGAATGAACAGCTACTAAGCTCCAGCACCTCCATGCCCCGCTCTCGGCTGAACCCTCGGCGAGGTGGTCGCGGGTGGAAACTGAAGCGATTTCGCGGGTGGACGACACTGATGCGCATCCGTCATGGAGTCGGTTTCGAGAGTCGGTGCATGCTGAAAGCCGCCATCACCATCAGAGCTTGTGCGGCTGTCAAGGAATCACCATCATCCACCTCCTCGCCAGGTCAGCACGCCACGTCCTGTTGTCTTCATTTGTTGTGTTAATTCTTTCCAAATTTGGTATTTTGTTCATCGTATCTCTCTCTTTCTCTTTCTCTGTTTCCCCGTCCCCGGTCCACATCCTCTCTCTTTCCCTTTATCATGTCCCTCGGTCGATTTTCCTCGTTCGTGGATGCTGCATGATGTAGTCTTCTGCCACCCTTCTGTTATACATGTATATTACTCGTGCTTGGCCTGTTCTGTTCCTTTATTTTTGTCCTTCATCGTTACTCTCCTGTTTTTGTTGTTGTTGTTTTTTGTCCCTCTTTTGTGTTTTTATTTATTTTTTTGTTCTCCCCTCTTTCATTTTTGTACGGATACGTGGCACAGTTTGGCATATGCGAATATGTGGGTTGCCATTGTGCGGCTGACATTGCCGCGGAAATGCATATACTTCAAGTAATAATATTATAACAATATTTCTTGGTCTGACGCAGATATCGTTATAAGGGTAGGTGACGTCAATGTGCAATGTGGGTTATAGGTTTGTCAGTATCATTGATATTGTTAACTTGGATAGTCTGATCTTGAATGGATGATGTCAACTGTGTCTGTCTACCACTACAGGCATGTACAACATGATTGGTAACGTGTGGGAATGGACCAGTGATCAGTTCCGTGACGAGAGTGGTGGACAGGAGAAGAAATACGTGTTGCGCGGTGGATCCTACCTTGATACGGTCGAAGGCGAGAAGAATCATATCGCACGTGTCACAACGCGGTCAGTTGAATGCTACTTCAGTACCTTTATATTGGAAGAGGTTTGCATGACTGTTGCATCTACTGAATTCTGAATATGATGCTGTGGTAGACGTTCTTACCCACACAGGCGTAAGGTGTCTATGTTATGTCATTGTGTTTATGTCATTGTGTTTATGTCATTGTGTGTGAATATGTCATTGTATTATGTCATTGTGTTATGTCATTGTGTTTATGTCATTGTGTTTATGCCATTGTGTTTATGTCATTGTGTTATGTCATTGTGTTTATGTCATTGTGTTTATGTCATTGTGTGTATGGCATTGTGTTATGTCATTGTGTTTATGCCATTGTGTTTATGTCATTGTGTTCAGGCTTAGGAGGTTAGATAGTGGGTAGTGGGCAGTCGTGGCATGGAGGAGACGGAGAAAGACACTAGTTCCAGAAAGTAGTTATGTCTCGGTCCCAGATTAGGCATTTTTAAATGATCCGTCGGACCGTGGTGAATGCAAGACATGATCACTCTCAAGGCTGTGGCCGACTGACCTCGAACATAAGCCAGACTAGTGATGGCGTACTCTTTGTGCAAAGTAGTTAACCCTGGGTACATTTAAACTCTTTGACTGGTGATCACAGCTAATGTAGCAACGGCATCATGGAATGTCTTCATGGCCTGGTGTTCGAGGTACATGAGTACAGCCGACAAGAATCGATAAAGCCAACCAGTATATGCATCGCAACATTTTAGTTTGCAATATATCCATCATTCATGATAATTATCAGTTAGTCGTTAGGAGTTGTTGACTGGTCGTGTCAGGCCTGATTTAAGCTATTTCTGTGTCCTTCAACTGCAGAATGGGTAATACACCGGACTCTGGCTCAGACAACTTAGGTTTCCGATGTGCAAAGAAGGCTAAAGGCAAATCAAAGAGCAAGACTGAACTCTGATGTCAAGCATCTAGTTTATAGTACGTGTGTTCTAATCTTCTATTTACAGCTGCAACACAAGATTCCCCTCATTGCCAGCCAAGTCCGAGCTCACGCACACTCAGTCCTTCATGTACAGATGACTTGGTGCAATAGACAGCATGATGCTGGCATCATTAGTATTCAGTATCCGGTGTTTCAGGCTACCATGTTCCCAGACTGAATTAGGCAATACTGAATGTTTAGGCTACTGTCAATGAGACAATGAGAATGGAACCTACTAGTTATTCTCGGGACTTTTTATTCTTAGTTTTCAAATATTTCCTTACTTTCATCGCTATTGACAGAATTGTCTGGAACAATACTAGTGCCAAAACCTTCAACAGATTTCTGCCAGCCCCTCTTTTATTTTCTGCAATATATTTATATTGGAGGCTTCAACCAGTGGCAGTGTACAATAAGCTGGAAGGGCAAGGATGTGGGAGCAAGATGTTGTATACCAAGTGAGAGATTTTTGTTCCATAGAGAATTAAGGGAGCATCTCATAAGTTCGCATTTTGTTTCTAAACGTAACGCATTTCGAAACGGGGGGGTATACCGGTATACCGGTACTGGCGGTAGCGCCCTTTTCGAATAGAAAAATGACAGTTTGCACATTTTCTGGAAGTGTACAATCTACTAGAGACTGTCAGTGCGGTGCATGTGCTAGATAGCTTCAGCAAATGAGTGTGTTTAGGTGTAGATCTACATTGTACCTGTGTTTGCAGATCAGCTAACCCTTGCACTGCATGCATGCAGGCTACTCAGAGGTGTCAAATGTCACACCAGCCTGATCAAACCGTGTACCTGGTCAGCTTTTAAAGCAGTACAGACTCAGTTGTTGTGGAGGAACTGTGTTTATGTACGTGTAGATCTACATGTCATTGGTTGTACTAACTAATAATATTATTACTTGTACTCAGTAGATGCGGTACTACTGTATGCCATTCACTACCACACTGGCAAAACATTCATATCCATGTACATGTACATGCAGTGTACATGTACATAAGCATGGGGCATGGACATGTACATGTACATGTACATGTACATGTACATGTACATGTAGATAAACACAGAAAATGTGCCATAAGACTTTCGAATAGAGGGGGGAGGTAGGGGGGTAAAGTCTATTTGAAATGCGTTACATTTGCAAAATAAATGCGAACTTATGAGATGCTCCCTAAGGGGGGGGGGGGGGGGGGTGATTATAGTGGTCCTGAATTCCAAAAAAGAACTGAAATGCACTTATATCATAGTTTAGTATAACCTGCCTCATATGCATAGAAACAAATGAAAAGCGAACTCCTGTTTGTAAAAGTATGGGTTTTCTCTTATTTCGTGACGTAAATGCGAACGTATGGGTGTGGCTTTCACAGGTCCTAAATATAGGGAAGGATTCATTACACACTAGCCAAATTTTGGGAGTAACAGTTTGCCCTCAAGATGCTTCAATCCTGAAAATTTGAACAAAATCGGACAGAAAGTGGTCTTTGACCTCCGATATTTTTTTGAGATATAGGCCTGAGCTACCTTAACGCGTTGCTGTATTATTATTGTGTTCCATGTTGAAGGTTGATTGTTCACAAATCAATTGAATTGGGTATAGCAAAGGTGACGCTAACATGCCTCACTTTAGAGAGAGAAATATTTCTGCACCATGCACCAGGTCATGTAAATGATTTTCAGTGTTAGCCGGGTGTGTATGTCCTTGGCTTGCCTTGAAGGTGTCATGCATCCGGGCGTCGGACGCACACCATTGCTATCTGATCATGAGTGCTAGCTGTGAGCTGTTAGTCGAGGAACGCAATCATGTTCATTACATATGACTCAGTGTGCGGTCTCGCTGTACACGATGTCCAGGGTTTCATTATCGCAGTGCTCTTCCAGGTCCGGCAATGTCGTCTCAGCCTTCATAGCCTGTGTATCCAGCTGTAACAGTGCCATTGCTGTGCCCGCCTTTGCTGTATCCGAGCCAGAGGAAACTATGGAGTCGACACGCGGTACGTGCATGCTGTGACAGCTCAGTTGTGTCACATTGGTGTCACATGATATGCGAGAGTCACGAGTTGAGCTCAGGCCCTGCTTACGCCCGGCTGATGTGAAAGCTTTCGAATCGCGTAGCAATGTGGAACATATGAGATTCTTCCAGATGGACCAATTCCTGGGACTTAGAAATGCCCAGGCGCACCCCAGCACATTGACGAGAACATAGGCGGAGATCTTGGCAAGGAAATAGGCAACTCTAGCACGCGGTAGTGGCGGACATTTGCCTGGATCAGTGCACGTCAACTGCAGACATGTATCTCGTAACAACAAACGCTGCTTCCAATCCGTCATGCTTGTTACTTCATGAATACTCATGGAGACCTGCATTGCCACCAGTAGTACACTGAGAGCTACGAACACTGGCATCTGTATCATATAGCGCTGGCTTCCTGACGCCGCACCACTCTTCTTCCCTTTATGCGATCGTGCTGCCACTCGGCCGCTGAGCAGCATTCGTTTCACAGTCCGCCGTACGGACCAGAGGTGTCTCATACCCAGGCACATGAACAAGGATCCAGTGAGCAGTGCCACACCTTGTGGTACGACCAAGTAGTACAAGACGTCCTCAGGATCATCCAGCCAACAGAAACCATACACGAGCACGCCACTAACTTTCCTCTTGACCAGCACAATGATAAGTAGAATGAGTGCAGGGATCCACGATGCCATGTGATACACTGCCAGGAGATGGCAATTAGACGTCGCGGCCGCTTCTTGTGTAGCAGCATTTGCGCAAGCGTGGCGCGGTGCAGAACGAGGTGAGTAGAGACGTGAGAATGTGATATACCAGGAGTGCGCTAAGCATGCCCACCAGCAACTGGATGCCAGCAGGAAATAGTAACTGATGGAAAACTGCACTGCACACAAACTGGCATCATCTCCTGCTCGTGGCTGCTGGAAGAGCCTTGAACCGTCAGCATGGCAGATCAGAGACACTGCACCACTCGGTACATAGAAGCGCAGACTGAAGCCGAGTGAGGAGAGCAAGGCGCATAGGTCTAGGTAAAGCAAGACTTGCATTGGATACTTGCTCATGCGACGCCATTGCAGGCAGAAAGAGCACAGGGCAAATACACAGATGACCATGCAGACGTGGAACGTTACAGCCATTAGGGTGCCAAACGCTCTGATGTCGCTGTCGTCCATTACTCTGCTTACACAGGACTCAGCACACGGCAGCCACTTGCCAGTGAATGGCATGTCCATGCTGGTAACATTCAATACGGACCATATCGCCACGTATAAGCGTTTCAGCACTGCCTGCTTTTCAGGGTTCCAATGCTGTGCAATATCTGTCTCAACATACGCATGTACTCTGGTGCAACGGGTGCTGATGTTGAAGCAAACTGAGGGTGGTCTGCCATACGTACTAGCCTTGGAGATGGATGGACTATAACCGGCTTCCGCGCTGGATGCCACCAAGTTGGCCACTGATTCTTTGTAAGGGTAAATCTCCTCCACTACACCATATCCATGTGCAGTGTCCGTAACGTTAAGACAGTGCACGCGCTGTCCTGGAAGCGAGGTGTCCGAGCCGCAAGACTCCATGACGCGACTTAACAGAAAGTACATCCTTTTCTGCTGCAGTGTCTTGCTATAGTGTCCAGCCATGCTTCGTACACTCCCCAACACTGATTGCAGCTCAGTACACAGGCCTGAACAGAGCCTCAGCACTCTCAACTGCTCCATGGGCCGATGCTGTTCTTCAGTTGACATAGAAGTTGACCTGGTGGTGGATTCACCACTACTAATACCATCACTTATGTCAGCTGATGTCCTGGCGTTCATGCTTACTTGGTGGTGTGATGTGACGTCACTGCTAGCATTCAGTGCGGGCAGGTCCGTGACAAATGGCAGAGATGAACTATCACTGCGGTTGGGTGTGTAGTTCTCTCCGGCCCCAGACAGGCTGCTTCTGGAGTTTGCTGCTGTGGCTTCAGTAGCACTGCTAGGGACGGTCCAGTGCTTGCCATGGTGTGTTGCCGGACTGGAGACAGGTAACACTGCAGCGGCGTGGTCTGCTACGGTTCTGTATGTACATGCAGGCACAAAGGTAGAACACATTAGCATGTCTACAAGGTAGCTGATCGCCAGCTCAGACTTTCTTTTCCACTGTAGCAGGTGGTATATGGTCACCAAATCTTGTTTCCTTTGCTGATAATATCGTAGCTGAGCACTCCAAGACCCCAATAGCATGCCCATGTAGTGTTCCATCAACTGGTCTCCTCTGAAGAAGAAGAAGGTCTTCCTAAGCTTGCTATATTCATGCAGGCTAATGTTGATATAGATGCCACTGGCCTGCCTGTACGTATTGGCATATAACGGGCAAACAGCGTTCAAGGAGCGAATGATAACTTCTCTCTGAGCATTATCCACTGGTACGCAATGTCCGGCCGCCATCCCAGGACTGGCTAAAACCGCCGCCGCCAGATGACACGCTATGATCCACAAGAGAGTCGGGGACGTCATCATGGTCATGCTGGCGTGGCTAGCTTGTAAGGATGATGCAGCCAGCGGCATGGCGCCCATCACCATGATCACCCGCTATCCTCAACGGGTCAAGTAACACGATAACGTTGTTGGTTAGACAGTTACTGTGGCTGCCAACTAACAACAGACTCATCACGACATCAGGCTCGGGTGACTACTGAATCAATAACGAGTTCTCGCTCGGTGACTTGAGTTAGCTGGTTGTGCACCATGACTGTCTTTGACCGTTTGAGCTGCCACGCATTGAAACAATTCTGCATGCATGGTCTTCGCGAAGCAGCGAAGTGTTGTCGACCGAAGAGTTCACACCCCTGCACCTCTAAATTCTATTGTCGCAATGGTTCTATCCTTGCCTCGCACGTACTACTCGCTTCTAGAGAAGAACGGTGCGCGACTTGCACCAACACCACAGTACTATCACATAGGCACTCACTGACTGAGTGCCACGGTATTTTACCACCGATTGTGTGTCTGGCACATTGTGAATTACAGTGTACTTCCAGACCTTCCAGGCAGTATGTAGCACTTCACCACTGATCTTCATTATCAGTTCAGTTCAGTTCAGGACATAATCAGTTGCTGGTGGTTGCATGACCAGTCTGTCTGTTTAGTGCTGAGCTGGCTGACAGGTTGAAGCCAGAGAGAGGCTTCCGGACGTGTGTAGAGGTTCTACGTGTGTGCTGTGCCTGGCAGAGTTGACCAGTTTGAGAACAATCATGTTCGCTTGCGACCATGTGACTGATGTCTGTGATGAGAAGGGCGGAAGGAGCACAGCGAACATAACGGAACCGTGTGTACGCACCTGTGGTGCTGATTGACGGGCTTGGACTGTGGTTCCCATGGTGACAGACCATCTCGGGAGTCCAGTTCAGGTACGACTACGAGTACGAGTTTTGCACACCGAGTCTGTTTGTTGCGCTGTCCCTGTTGTGACAATCAATGTCATTGTGGAAGGTCACTCTCGTCCGACTTGTGCGCGTGAGCTTGTAATTGTGTCAGTGCCAGTGTGGCCATTCGTTTCCCGTACTTCATCTATACAATCTACAATCTACTACTAGTAAGTAGTATATCGATCCTCCACGTGTGTTTATTCTTTTACAAACTTGGCTGCTGAGTTTCGACATTCCAATGCCCTACCCTCAATTCCAGACTCTAATACTGTAATAGATCATTGCCTCTACGATTCTCTTGTGAAGCAGGTCTCCGAAGGAGGGCTATGAAGGGGAGCTGTGATGCAGGTTTGTGTAGCAGGGCTGTGAATCAACGCTGTGAAGGAAGGGTGAAATGGAGGGCTGTAAAGTAAGGCATTGAAGTAAAGCTGCGATGCAGGGCAAGGGAACAGGGCTGTTCATCAAAGCTGAACTGCCTGGCTGCGAAGCAAGGCCGTGAAGCAGGGCTTTCAAGCAAAGCTGTGAAGACGGGCTGTGAATGCAGGAGCCTCTTTCGCGGGCAAGATACAATAGTTTGAAGTGCAGTAGAGACTGTAGAGCTTAGGGACCGGCGGATTCTGCTCGAAAAGAAGTGAAATTGGCAGAACCATACAAACTTTATGGCGGGCAATTCCTCGAATTCTGCTCCATTTCTTTATCCACATACCAAACATGCATGAAACTTACCAGAAAAAGTACCGAATTCTGCCAATTTTTCTCCCGGCAGAATCCGTGGGACCCTAGTAGGGCTATGAAGCAGGGCTGGGAAGAAGCAGGGCTGTGAAACAGGGTTTTGTAGTCGGGCTGCGAAGCACGGCTGTGAGCCGGCCCAGAGCTACTAGTATGAAACAGGCCTGTGTTTTGGGCCAATTTTTGTTATTTTGGCGTATTTTTCCGCAATTTTTTGGCAAGTGATATCTTTTCTTCCTTTTTATTCATTTCTAACCCATTGCTCATTGGGGGACCAAAACCTGAGTTTCTTTATTGTCAGATCGCCCCTACATGTGTGATTCTGTGAAATGCATTGCCGCATGTGCCCTTGTCACACCACAAAACAACCCTTTTGTGAAAACTCGTGGTTCTGTGCCAATACCGGTAGTTTTTAGATCAAAGTCAAAAATCCCCGGTATGCCGGTAGTGACCGTAGTTTCCCGGTATAATGCAGTACCGGGAAAACCGGTATGGTTGGCAAGCGGTACATGTACATGTACATGACTGTACATGTACATGTACTGTACATGTACATGTACATGTACAGTCATGTACATGTACAGTCATGTACATGTACATGTACAGTCATGTACATGTACATGTACATGTACATGACTGTACATGTACATGACTGTACATGTACAATCATGTACATGTACAGTCATGTACATGTACATGTACATGACTGTACATGTACAGTCATGTACATGTACATGTACATGTACAGTCATGTACATGTGTGAGCGGACAAGGTAGAAATGGAACGTTAACTGCAGTCTGGCAAAAACTGTTTTTTTGCATGAAGGTCACCTACAACTATCTGTTTTTCAGATCCCAAAGTTTCAGGCTGATACTATGGTGGGAAGTGCCTTACATTCACCATTTTCTAGATGCCGGTCAGTATTTTAACGTCTGTTTCGGGATGATTTAAACAGTCCACCCTTCAGTACAACCAAAACACTGAAAAAAAACCCATTATCTTGGCCTGTATTTCTCCACAAGTGTATATCAGTGTGAAAGATGAGCTGATCACACACATGGACTCGTTTGAGGTGGAACCAAGCAACAAAACCACATAACTAGAAACAGCCGGAGCCGAAAAATCAGCTCCAGAGTAACTCGTGATGCAAGGCAAAATAATAGGACTGTTGAAGCTGGAACTCAATCCACACATCAAATACCACTACACACATGTCAAAAATAGAAGAATTTGGCGGACAAATGGTAATTCCAGTGCGTTCTTGCTTCAGCCATGTGTGCACGCTCTCATTGTATACTGTTGGCGACCTCGGACTCTGCTCTGATGCATTGAGGCTCCCGACGACTGAGCAGCGCAACCTTGGTAATATAGTTTGTAACATTTTGGCAGGAGACAGACAGCTCTTGAACACACAGCATCGAAATAATATTCCGGAGACGCACCACCAATACGGTGCCCATTGGCGAAGCAGGACGAGTCCACAGACTTGAGAAACTGTACTTAACGTAACGTTACACATCAGTCCGCAATCCGAGGCCCGATTTGACTTCTTTCCACTCAGCTCATGTTCACCAGCCTTGACCATTCTGTGTATCTCAATTCTTAAAACACTCATTTCCAGACAGTGCACGATGCAGGTCTGCCACTTGCATCCAATGCATTGGGCAACAGCTAGCTAGTTGTTCTGGGCTATTAAGTCCCTGTATACGTTCCCCTGTGGTGCACAACGCTATTGTTTCTTCAGCTCCTGCCCTGTGTGCTTCAGAGCTCTGAAGTCGGTTCGGCGTATACATTCAGTACAACTCAGCATCCACAGGAACGTTCCCCTTCATTGGTGTTATCATCATCACTGCTGTCACCACGTTCGCCTGCATCCGAAAGATCCATCTCATTTGTTCCCTATGTCTTTTTGTACCGCGCTGAAGCCAGCAGCAAACAAAACGCTGATCGGCACGTCGTTTTCGGCGTAGTGGAAGACGCTCTCGACTACTACCTGACTCAGAAACGCTCTCAGAATCAGAGAAGCTCTCAGCACCTGACAGCAGGCTATCAGCTGATCGCCGTCACCTCCAAATTCGCCCGTCAATACGCCACCCGTCGCACAACTAGCTGCCATATCTTCCTTCAGCCATAACGGATTCACTTCAAATTTTGAGTGCTGGACCTTGAAGCCCTGTGCTGAGCGAGGCACAAGCGCTTGATGCAAATAGAGCCCTCTAACCCAGGTAAAAAATATGCCACAGTTTGCCAAACTTCAAACGCCTGTATCTCAAAATGATGTCATGCAGCTAACGTTCCATTTCTACCTTGTCCGCTCACATGTACATGTACATGACTGTACATGTACATGTACAGTCATGTACATGTATGTAAAGCAGGGCTATGAATAGGGGTACGGTGTGCGGATAATTAGGCATGGGCAGGTAATGCTAGTTATTTGCTGCGATAATCATAAAGGCAATGCTCATAATATCAGGATATACATGTAATGCCACTTATAATGCTCGCACTACTCCATAATGCCAGTTTGAAAGCTGGAAAAGTCGATTTAAGAAGGCCGTCTTGGATCAAGGCCAGAGCGTAGAAGAAAAAAAAAACTTAAACAGCAGTGAGCATGTTGTCTGAAACAATCCACTGAGAAGGTTGATTTGCAACGCCAAGTCTCCGGAGTCCGGACGAAGCCGGACGAGTTCAGATGTACGATTTTCGGAACTGGACCTAACCAGCTTCAAGCATGACACCGTTGTTGACCGGCAATTATGCTCAAGTTGTAATGCCAATTTTGCATGCGAAATGGTGTTATAATGCCAGCAGCATTATGCCACCTGGAAAACAGGGACTACCGGTATAATGCCAGCCATAATGCTAGCATTACCTGCCCATGCCTACGGATAATGCTAGCATTACCCGCCCATGCCTACGGATAATGCTAGCATTACCCGCCCATGCCTACGGATAATGCTCGAAAAGGTGGCAGATTCTGCTCGAAAAGCAATGAACCATACAAACCTTATGGCGAGCAATTCCTCGAATTCTGCTCCATTTCTTTATCCACATAGCAAACATGCATGAAACTTACCAGAAGAAGTACCGAATTCTGCCAATTTTTTCTGCCGGATCCGCATATGCCTAGCCATGAAGCGGGGCTGTAAGTGTAAAGCGGGGTTGTGAAGTGTCGCGCGATGAACTGTCGCGCTGTGAATTGTCGCGCTGTGAAAAGTATCTCGATGGACTGTCGCGACACCTCTACGGGTCAGTCGTAGAACCACGGATATCCGCCGGCGCGCCGGCAGACACTCCTGAGTCACAGACACACACAGGACCCATACGGCCATAGCCATGCATGCACAGGGTCACGGTCAGTACAGCCTATGCACTCACTCGTCGAGAAGTCGTTCTTCTTTTCCAGGACAGATTTCGAGCGTCAAGTGCGCGGATTCTTGACTTTGTAGCGCTCACCTTGAACTGGTTCTGGACTGGACGGCCAAGAGATAGTACTAACTGTCCTCGCGAGAGTGCTATGGATCAGTCTGATGGCGTTGAGTAATCACCGGGAAGCGGTGTAGTCATGGCGTGGAGAGTTCCAATCTCGCAGCTTGTTTTGCTTGCTCTGTTAGCGTCAAAGGCACTGACAGGTAAAATATATACTTCCGTGTATTTCTGACCTGGTTGTCTACCGGTTCTTGTTAGTGCAATGCATTGGCAGCAGTATAACAATGCCATGACATCGATGAAAGCTGTCTGCTTTCCAGGAGTAAGCATATACAGTGCTCTAAACGGCGATTAGGAAGCTGCTAGGCCCCCTGGCCCTGCCTGCACAATGCACAATAATTATTATTTTCTGCAGATAAAAATAAAATTTACAGAGGATTTAGTTGACAGTGTGTGACGCCTGTAATGCTAGTAAGCTTTGTTCCTGTGAATCTGTGGTCGGTGCACACACCTGTGTACAGGGAGTCGTAAACAGGGGCGGATCCAGAGATCTCTACAGGGGGGTTCCGGTTGAACCAAAATTGAACAGCCAAAATATTATGGAATCAGATGTGCGGTTGGCACTTGTAATAACGACAATCCGATTGTGTTAGTGGGAATCGCATGCTTTTAAAACACACTACGGACATAATAATTATTATATTTTTCCATCATCGACCACACCACAACTGCGCTCTCCAGCCGGCCTCGACACGGTGCCACAGCACACCACCACTGCACCATCGCTGGAGACTGAGTCGGAGCGCAGTTGTGGTGTGGTGGACGATGGAAAACCTGTACAGGGCCAAATGCTGCTGCTTACCCTACATTGTATATTATTTAGTACGGAAGACCCTTTCAACTTCTTGTAAAGATCGAATATGCAAGCCATGGGTACGTTGAGAGCCAGGAATGCCGAAATGACAACCAAGTTACTTTCCCTGTCCATTTGTGCTTTCGGAAATTTTTGGCATTTTTACAATGCGAAATGCTCTATAGTCACAGGACAAGAGCATCGTCTTCACTTCAGTGACAGAAACAACAATAGCGGAACAGTGTCGACAATTGTACAATCCTTCCAATGTCATCTGAAACACATCTGGCGCAGCACTCCGTTCCTGCGGAGGAACAACTAGTCACTACTGCATGCTGCAGCAGGTAGAGATTACTGACTTTGCTTGGATGTCGGAGCCCTCATCTTGATAGGCGTCAGCCTTTGGGTAATCTTGAAATAAAGATTATTATATTCTGAGGAGCTTGAACTCTACGTGCACGGTTCGAAGTTCGTTGAAGAGTGTCAGTACTCGGAACGTCCTTTCTCTTCTGCAAAACACTTGTCCAAGGAATACTGACCACACCACACCGATCCTGAGCAGCAGTGAATGACAGCGCCAATGGAGGTAAGTTTGGATCGTTTCGAAAGATCAAAAAGGAAACAACCACCCAATGTTGTCTACAGTGTCCGTTTGTAAATCACGGACGTGAACACCAGTACAGACTACTATCCGTACAGTGTCGATCTACCGCACGCGCATGCAGTGCACTGACTGACAGTCTGTGCTCCTTGACTCGGTGACCAGGTGACTGCCACTGACTGAGTCTGTGATCGGACGGACGTCCTTTTGTGAACACATGATATTTTTCGATATTTCTCAGCCGCACACTTTGCAAAATTTAGGGGGTTCCATGGAACCCCCGGAACCCCCCCCCCCCCCCCCCCTGGATCCGCCACTGGTAAAATACATTTTACGACTCCCTGGTACACAGCCTGTTAGCCACAGACGCCATACTGCCTGCTCAATCCGAAAATTGCACCGCTCAGGCTCTCCATCCACATGAACTGAGCGCCTAATGAAACAGAAAGCCGAAACCCACCACCTGGGCCTGGTCAAACTAAGGTGCTTTTCCTGTGCCTGACTGCAAGATTAAATTGTTCAGGATTCTTGTAACTGCGATCGCACTGTAACGTTGCAGAATGTGCATTCAACATTCAAGCATCGCACTCTAACTTTGCAGAATGTGCATTCAAAGCATCGCACTCTAACTTTGCAGAATGTGCATTCAAAGCATCGCACTCTAACTTTGCAGAATGTGCATTCAAAGCATCGCCACACTGCGTGATTAGTAACAATGAGCTATAAAGTACAGTTCTCCTGAACCGTACCTGCCTCAGCTCAGCCCCTCAATTTACTGCAGTATACGTTAAATGGATGATGTCTCTTGACTTCTGTTGCTGGTCGTGACTGGCACTATACACACGCCCTTTGTACTTCGCTTTGGACATGACACATGACAGATAGAGTGAGTATCAACCGATGTAGCTTTCCAACATCAATACAGCAGACAGAGCTATATCAGGTTTAGTGCAGATACATGACATTGATTGTGGCCTTGCTCCAGCAACCTCACCTTGGATTTGACCAGGTCGGCTATGGCAGCGGAAAGCGCTCTGGTTTTGACTGGGTGTGACCGAGGCCCAAACGGAGATCATAAATGCTACCCGCAGAGGTGGAAACATTGTAAACACAGCATTGTACCTGTACCGTACAAGCAAGTTGTGTAAGTTGCTGCAGTAAGTGCAAAAGATAGCCTCGGATAGGTAACATCAAGAGTAAGTGCAAAAGATAGCCTCGGATAGGTAACATCAAGAGTAAGTGCAAAAGATAGCCTCGGATAGGTAACATCAAGAGTAAGTGCAAAAGATAGCCTCGGATAGGTAACATCAAGAGTAAGTGCAAAAGATAGCCTCGGATAGGTAACATCAAGAGTACATAAGCCCCCAAGAGTGTGCAACTCCTGATACCCTTTCTATGGGGTACGCCGACGGTGAAAACTCACATCACTTGGTGTAGTGTCGCAGTTGTACGTTTCCTGCCCGTTTTTAGCGAGCAGCGGAGTAACAAGATAGCTTGGAAGCTCAGGGCCCTACGCTATGCTTTTTTGCCTTGATGTCTAATTAGTGGCCATGATTACACACGACAGCTGTGCTGGGTTGGTCACAGGCACCTTCACATGACTTGTCATGGAAATGAAACGCTGGCAATGTGCACGGGCTGATTACGATTCTGTGCTTCTGGGTACAAATAGTCAAATACCTATGTGTGTGAATGTACATGTGTTTGTGTTTGTGTGTCCATGGGGTGTTTGCAGAAATTCAGAACACCGTGCTAACCGTTGAGGAATGCAAGGATGTGAACGGGAATGGAACAGAGTTTAATACGGAGAAGTGCAATGCTGGCTGGAGTAGCAACACCACAGTAACACAATGCTGTCAGGTACAGTACATGTACAGTCATGTACTGTATGATTAGTTGCTTGTTGCCTGCATTTACATACTTGATCATAACATGCACTTGTTGGGTTGGTTGGTTGTACAAACCAAATGGACTGAATAGATCCGATGACAAGGATGCGAATGACGTCTGAGTAACTGAGACGTAGTTGGAAAAGGAGACTCAAATGAGAAGAAATTAAAGAAGAAAACTCTTAAGTTATATAAAAAAAGGAAGAAAAACAGAAATGAAGAGATAACGTTACACCCAGGGCATGAGCAAAAGCAGGATGCAACGTTTGTTCGCTGATGTACACTAAAACCTGGTGTACTATAAGTCTGCAAATTTTCGGCCCATTCAAATTTCGGCCTCAGTCCCAGGGCTAAAAGCCTAGAACACATTTCAGTCTCATTAAATTTCGGCCTGTTCTGCTACTGACTGTATACATTGTCACACTAAACCTTGCAAAACAAATTTTCGGCCGCAACAAATTTTCGGCCAAATATGACAAGGCCGAAAATAGCCGAAAATAAATATGCGCCGAATATTTGTTGACGTACAGTAAGCGACTCAGAAGTAGCGACAAACTCGGCCATTTGAAAATAATCTTAGCCGTCCACCTCTCCACACTGCACTCTTGGCCCACATTCACAACACCACTCCGTAACGAGGAAGTTCGTTCTTGGGTAGATGTTCCATATCCTCCAGACAGCTGTTTCGCTCATTAAGAGCTCCTCAGTGGAGGTAGATAACGAATGAATAGCAGTTACAGGAATGAGTATATTTATAGGGTACAGTGGCGCAACAGTAAGCGACCTTTGGTTTTAGCGACCACCTGCTTTTAACGACCGTTTTTCCATGCACGGACAGTTCTACAGTGAAACTGCACCGGAGACAGCGACCACCTGCCTTGCGCGACCAGCGACCGACTTTTAGTGTACCAAGTGCCATACTGGACCTGCACACAGCGACCAAAACTAACCCGTTGAAATGTGCCATCTTGGCTGGCAGGGTTGACTGCAACAGGGTTGATGTGCGCTCTGAAGCAAGTGCATGCAGTGAACAGACTGAGTGACAAGTGACAGTGCAGGTTGCGCTGCATGCACTTGAGTGAGGTGTGCTTTGCCTGCACGAAAGTATTCTATGCTCCACACCTGTCAATATGAGTACTTGCAAATACATTTACATGGAAGTGCAATCATGCACACGTATGTACACAATCCCCCTCAGACTATAATGCCACAAATGTATGAGACCTGGCTCTAAAGACCATGTGGCTTTAACGACCGCTTTTTCTTGGTTTAAGCGACCACCCACGGTGCAAGCAAAAATTGTCGTTAAAGTCAGGTGGTCTTTAGAACCAGGTCCCATGCATTTGCGACAAATCGTGATCGTGTACATACATGTACAATCATACTCAATCTGCAGACAGCATGCTGTTTCAATCATGTACATGACTATACATGGCAGGGGCAACGTCGGAAGGTATTTTAGTGTGGTACGGTCAGCCATCTGAAATACAGTTTACTTGTGGGGGAGGGATGGGTGAGCCGAAAATTTTGGAAATTTAGAGCCCAAATCGGTGCAATGTATTGATTCACGGGGTACTTGGGGCAAATAGTGGTACGGTCAATACCGTAGTGACCGTACCGTGTGCGACGCCCCTGATGTACATGTTGTTTGGTGGACAGCATGTTACAAGGTGGAAACCAAACAACGTGTTCTCAACTAAGCCGAAGGCTTACCTAATACCATGACTGTACATGTTCATGATTCATGTACTCATATTGACAGCATGATTGTACTCATATTGACAGCATGATTGTACTCATATTGACAGCCTACACAGGTGTGGAGCATAGAACACAGTGCAGGCAAAGCACCCATGAGTTTCACACCTCACTCAAGTGCATGCAGCGCACCCTGCACTTTCACTTGTCACTTCTAGGTCTGTTGACTGCATGCTCTTGATTCTGAGCGCACTTCAACCCTGTTGCAGTCAATCCTGCCAGCCAGGCCTGATAGCACTTTTGGCTAGTTTTGGTCACTGTATTATTATTATTATTATTATTATTATTCAACGCAATATATAGAGTAAGCTGCGCACTCAGTACAAACACCATAAGCAAAACTTGTTTTCATGTAAATAAAGAGGCTTGTTCCTAAACGTTTTCGTCGCCATCTCATCAGAGGATTACTGGCAAATCAACAAAAGCTCTTAATGATAGCTTGCATAGACCTCGGTCCTACCGGTAGGACCTACCGGTAGGACCATCATACACAGACATGCTGCATGGCCTCTGTTCTAACATTGACCTAAAACTTGACCCTAAACTGTTGCTCAGGGGCTAATGAAGGAGTCCACAAATTTTTGACGTGATCGCACAAGGCATTCTACGAAATTCCATGGTAACAGCCCATGGTAACCATGGAAACTGAGTATGGAAATATGCATTCCACTGCCTTCGCAAGCTAATAAAAACATTAGGACCTCACCACGATTGATTTGCCATGGTCAAAATTCACTTTGGGCAGAGTTGCTAGCGCACCGACAGGATTATGTGCGGCCATTTTGACAATCGATAAAATTGCGCATACGCAATGCACTGGACATAGCCTTGCATTTTGCGCCATTACTTTGCCAGACAAAGACCTCATCTGAACAATTGTTTCAAGAAATTTCTCAACCAAAAGCACTTTTGCAGCTCGATTTCTTGGGTCCTACCGGTAGGACCCGTGGTCCTACCGGTAGGACGGCATGCAAGCTATCATTAACTCAATATATATACGCACAATGCAAGTAATATTTTAGACCCTAACTAGCGCGATAAAATGAGAGCTGAAAGAAACATTACACCATTCAACGATATCAGGTGACAACAGATGCGATAAATTTAAGTTTTGCTTATGGTGTTTGTACTGAGTGCGCAGCTTACTCTATATATTGCGTTGATTACATTTTTATCTCCACGGAAGCTTTTTAATTATTATTATTATTATTATACGCATTCCCGCGTTGAAGTGTAGCAGCAGTATGCTGCGTCCACAGCTTCGCTTATGCAGAATGGCTTGGGTGAGAGGAGAGGGGAGAGAAAGCAACAAGGCAACCAACATCTATGAAATTGGTCACAATAACATAAAGAGAACCAACCTACATATGCATGATTGCACAAGAATGGAGACGACCAAATATAATGGCTATAATCATTGTGCCACAAAACCGGTACACAGGAGATCTGACGACAATGTAACGAAACATAAAACTCAGTTACTCAATACAGGTTCCACTAAATTACAAGAGAACAACGCTACAACGTTAGAATTGCCGCTAAATTATCGCAATTGTAGAGAACGAGTCCAATACAAATGAAAACCATGAACAGACTGTCCCGAAGTTATTTTGGGAACAAATTGTACTACATGACTGTACTTGCTGATACTGACGCTGACGGAACACGAATTTGAGTTGAATACTCACGAAGTCTTGTACATGCACATCATTATGCGCCGGTGTTGTAGAGTAAGCAGGTACGTCAGTCACCAATCCAGCTTCAGCTCCACGCTCGCTTCAGCAGAATGTTGCCCGCGTTTGCTTTGCCTCCACACGGATAGACGACCAGCGCAGAGTCCCGCAGCTCCGTGGCCGTAAGGTCTTGATATTCGCCGTTAGCGCCGTCAAGTCTCAGTCCACCTCTCACACCAAGCTGCCCTATAAAAATCTTTCTCTCTCCATTGGAGTGCTCCCCAGTTGCGCGAGGAGACTAGAGAAATTCCTCCGGTGAGCGAGGAAGAAGAGCGGAGTTACCCAACTCAACCTAACACTGTATGCAGGTCAGATATGGCACTTGGCAGTTTCTGTGTAGAACTGTGCGTGCATGGAAAAACGGTCGTTAAAAGCAGGTGGTCACTAAAACCAGTTTTTACTGTACGTGCCTCCTCGAGCCGCATCATTTGCTGAATAACCGGACATGGCTACCATGGCTACCATGACTACCGTGGCTAACATAAAGAGCATGGAGAACATTGGCTACTACTACTACTCCTAGTCAAAACCCTTTATTCCCGGAGAAGTCGGAGAAGTTGGAGAAGAACACGAAAGTGGAAGAGCAAAAGGTGCACAGCACAGCAAAGTAGAAAAGAAATCCTAAGCAATAAACAAGTAAACAACGACAATTGCAATTCCGAATATGAGCCCTCGAAATAGGTATTGGGCAGAAGAGGGGACATTCGTGATGAAGTTCAACTACGAAAACAGAAAGAAAGAAAAAACCCAGAGATCCTATGCAAACCCAATATCTAGACTCACGACAACACACGGCATTCATGCACAAAACTAGCGGACCGCTTTGCGCAATACAATGCTATGCAGCCCCTCAAACAAGTAATACACCAGCAAATGAAACAGATGATAAATGGCAACGCAAGTGATTCATGACCACCGGATATGAAAGATCGATGTTCTTCTCGATTATTAAAGCTAACAAGCGATTTGAGGGAAGTGGTGCATTCTTTGGCGGCCATGCCATTTGTTGCAAAACCAAGCGGGGTGAAGCTTCCTCTATCCACAGTCAGATCTTATTTCATTGCGTTGAGCAGATGGATGTCGTCTACACGGGAATGTCATGGCATGGTCCACAGTAAGTGCCTTGCCGTTTACGCAATTAGGAGAGACACCATCTAGCTGAAGGCCTTACCGAATGGCAATAGCATCCCTAAAGTCCGATCGATTGAGTGCTGTTCCATTTGCTGCTCTAGGTGATGGTGTCAACCAGAATGGTACTCCCTTGTTGGTGTCACTGCACATATTAACCAAGAACCTTTGGGTGTCACACAGGTTCTCTATGATTTTGTCCACAGTCTGCTGTTCGCTGCGCTTTCGTTTCTTTCGACTGCTATGGAGGCGATGGCAGCATTCCGTTACTGCAGTGCTGACTGGACTAACCCCGTGGGAAGGCACTGTCGTTGTGGTAGCGCTGCGGGTTGCGTACTTGTGATAACCACTGCAGATTTGTTAGGAGTGGACGCCAAATCGAATATCCGAGAGAGAGAGAGAAAGAGAGACGATGCCACAGGCTGTTCCTGTAGTTGATGCACACACAATTCAACAATGGGACGCATCGAGTGCCTGCACTCTTTGTGCGCGACCCCGCACGAATCCGAGATCCGGGGGATACATAGCCCACCCATGTGGCAAGGAAGTGAAATTAAATCCCGCAGTAGATCATCATCTTGCAAAATCATGTTGGAGATTGCGGGCAACAATTTTCCCGAATAGCCAGATCTAGCTTCGCAAACTGTGTCGCCTCGCAACTGACTGCCCTTAGATGATATCGCCGACGAGAAGTTATGCTGCGCACGAGTACAGTATATGCTGCGTGAGGTTGGGTGACAGCTAGCTCTGCAAGGCGTTCGACCTCTGCAGCCCACTTGTCCACCCTCTCCCGGATGATTGATCCTCGGAACTCATCCCAACCCAGGGCGCCCCCAAGATATCGGCAGCCCTCTGTTATGATGTTAATGCCTGTGTCTGAAAAGACACAGCGGGCCTCGTCCGCACGTGCCTCCCTAACAAGAAAGACTGTTTTTGACGCATTGTGGTAGTATCCATACTCTGGGCCGGTGTCGCTAAGTGTTGACCAATAGCCAAATACATTGCTAACACTACCAGCAGCCGAATCATTGTCCGCATACCAGATCTGGGTTGTGTTTGGACATTGGTTAGATAGAGAGTTAATGAGTGTCATGATTGGTACTGCATAGATCGCCATAACTAATGGATCCCCTTGGCATGTTCCCTCACGTGAAAGTATCTCGCCACCACCCGTGACAAACAGGTGAGCTGGACTTTTATATGTGTTTTTAAAGACCTGGCCAAGAGCAGGGCAAAGAAAAGGGACATTATGCAGAGCCGCTTCTCTGTTCAATGAGTTCAAAGCATTCGATACATCAACAAGTAAAATGGCGCCAGTGCTGTCAAGATTGAAAAGACTATCCATAGCGTGCCTGAGGCCTCGCAGGCGGAGGGCACACTAACACAAAGCTGCCGTGGTGCAGTGGTGTTCCTAACGTTACGCTCTCGATAACTTTCATGACCGCCCGACACATAATTCGCCTGGAGACCTCCCCAACCGCTATAGGCCTGACCCCTGGGGATTTGTCCAAAGGGACCAGGCAAGCCGCGGTAAGAGCCTCTGTACAAGAAGAATCTATATCATCCGCGCAAAGGGCGCGTGCGGAGGCAGCACGCCCGGAGCACAAATTGTTTGAAGCCGACCCATAACAGGTCAGCATGCAGATCCCGAACCTCAGCGTCTAGACCGAAGGGACCAGTAGAGCCGCTCATTGATCTGCTGGTGGTTTTTATGAGTTGGGACGTTTTTCGATCGAATATAATGGGGTTAGCTGTAATTTCCTTGTCAGGCAGCAAAATTTCCGCAGGAGCCAGTTGGGGAACAGCGTGCTTCTCTAGTAGCAAAACTCGGACTGTTTTGTCCTCCGACACGGAGTCCTCCATCCTCAGGACTCGACCCACTCCGCCTGACTCCACCAAATGGGAGGCCGCTTGAATGCGTCCAGAGAAAAACAGTCGGCTGAACATTGTGTCTTCCAAACTCATAGTGTTGGTCTTTGACTGTGTTGTGGCCTGAGATGTGACTGAATGCATCTACCTTCACCTAGGAGGTCGTCAAACTCACCAGCCAACCACTCTCCCAGTCGTCTTTTTAGATGAGTGGCATTTTCCGCTGAACGGCTCTCGGGATGTGGCCGCTGGAGAAGCAGCTGACTGGCCACCACGACAGCAGTCCGGGATACTGCCCTTAGTGAGGAACCAGTGACAAAGCCAGGTACCAGCCTTGCTAGCTCACGAACGAATGCTGCTCCGGCCGATCCATATGATACCATAAAAAACATCTCGTTTCCAGTGAACTCAGTCATCGTACAAGACACCCATTGTGTTCTTTAGGCTATCAATGTCCCCTGTCCAGAGACTCTCCCCTGGATTACTCAGCGCAGGATGCTGTTCCCTCGGGACGGAATCCGCAGATGCAGACGGTGGCGCTGACTGTGGAGTTGGGTGTTGTCTTGACTGACACTGCTGAGCTAGTCGAGTAGCTGAAGCGATAGATGTTGACTGGGACTCGGGCAGCTGTGCAGCTGAATGTTGCTATGACTGAGACTGAGACTGGTGGGTTATGCTAGTGGATAAATCTGTCAACGTCGACTGCCGTCTACCTCGTTAACATGCCGGCTGCGATAGCTGAGTACTTATCTCAGTCAGTGATGTACCAGAGACCTGTGATTGCGAGTGGTCTAGTGAGGCAAGAAGATGGACGTCAGTATCATCAGGTGATAGCTGGCCATCGATCGATAAAGACGGCCGTGTCTGCTGCACATGGCTGTCGGTCACCGGGACCTGAGTGCTTCGACCGACTTCAGTTCCTCCTCCACTACCATCAGATACAGGATCAGAAGCACTGGTCATTGTGTTCACTGGACAACTTGCGTTTGCCTTCGAAAGCTGTTGTTTTTGCACCTGTTCTTAGTGCATGGCACGCAACTGTCGCAAACAGTGCTTAACACAACTACAATTTGAGCAGGAGTCCAGGGCATCGCACTTGCAGTGTTTAATCATATTGAGAAAGATGGAGGGTAATAAGCATCGTGAGTATTGCGAGACCTGAGCTCGCAATTCCTCGTTCTGCTGTAGAGCTACAGAGGAATGGGCACTGGGGTGAGAGAAAAAGCCCCAGCTGGTGCTGGAATGGGGAGGAGGTGGCTGTTTAGAACAGTACCCTCAGGCGAGGTGGGAAAACAAACCAAGGGTGTTGTCTATGCAAACTCTAGCCCTACTGAGCTGGCCAACAGAGAACACAAGAACAGGGATGGGAGGCAGGTGTGAGTACCACGTAAAACAGAAAACACAGATGACAGCTACTACTACTACCACCGTCACTGCTAGCACCACTTTCCAAAGAGGCTGACACGCCAAAATCGCCCACAATTTCAAATGCAATGCCAGAGGTCCAAAGAAGACATGTCGTGTGGACCGCTGCCAGGGGTCCAAAGAAGACATGTCTTGTGGACCGCTGCCAGGGGTCCAAAGAAGACATGTCGTGTGGACCGCTGCCAGGGGTCCAAAGAAGACATGGCTTGTGGACCGCTGCCAGGGCTCCAAAGAAGACATGGCTTGTGGACCGCTGCCAGGGGTCCAAAGAAGACATGGCTTGTGGACCGCTGCCAGGGGTCCAAAGAAGACATGGCTTGTGGACCGCTGCCAGGGGTCCAAAGAAGACATGGCTTGTGGACCGCTGCCAGGGGTCCAAAGAAGACATGGCTTGTGGACCGCTGCCAGGGGTCCAAAGAAGACATGGCTTGTGGACCGCTGCCAGGGGTCCAAAGAAGACATGGCTTGTGGACCGCCGCCAGGGGTCCAAAGAAGACATGGCTTGTGGACCGCTGCCACCATGTAGTGTTATGTCGTTGTAAACAGTCAACCAAGGAAATGCTCTGATAAGTATGTGTGTGTGTGTGTGTGTGTGTGCACGTGTGTGTGTGTGTGTGTGCACGTGTGTGTGTGTGTTTGTGTGCGTGTGTGTGGGGGCGGGAGGGGGTACATGGTGTGTGCGTGTGTGTGTATGTATGTGTATGTATGTGTGTGTGTCTTTCGTGTGTATGTTTGTGTATGTTCTTCTTCTGTACCGGCTAATCAGGTGGAGACACGGGAGTACAGCTACAGTGGCAATGAAACAAGTAATATAACTAGCTCTGACCAATTCTCACCAGGACTTGTGTGCTGTCTGGAGCAGTAAGTATGTCTGTATGTCTGTCTGTGTGTCTGTCGTTCGTTCGTTCGGTGGGTGGGTGGGTGGGTGGGTGGGTGGGTCGGTTGGTGCGTCGGTGGGTCGGTGGGTAGGTCGGTCGGTCGTCCGGCCGGTCTGTTTCTTTGTCTGTTTGTCTGTCTATCCTTATGTCTGTATGTCTGCATATATGCACATATGTGCGCGTGTGTGTGTGCATGCGTGCATGTGTGTACACGTGTGTGCGCATGTGTGTACATGTGTGTGTGTGTGTGTGTGTGTGTGCACGCGCGCTTGTACGTGTGTGTGTGTGTGCGTGTGTGTGTGCATGTGTGTGTGTGTGTGTGTGTGTGTGTGTGTGTGTGTGTGTGTGTGTGTGTGCATGTACGTGTGTGGGTGCATGTACGTGTGTGCGTGTGTGCATGTACGTGTGTGCGTGTGTGCATGTACGTGTGTGCGTGTGTGCATGTACGTGTGTGCGTGTGTGCATGTACATGTGTGTGTGTGTGTGCATGTACGTGTGTACGTGTGTGCATGTACGTGTGTGCATGTTGGTGTGTGTGGGTGCGTGTTGGTGTGGATGTATGTTTCTGCAACTGTCCAGAATGTGCCCGGCTGAAGCCAATTTCACAATGAATGAAATAATCAGCTGTCATCCCATTAGCCCGGTAGGTTCCAACGAGCCATCTTTAAATACCACGGATGTGGGTGATGAGACCAGTGGGAATGTCACCGTGGCAACGTACTGCTGTAAAACACTCTGCTGTCAAGAGCCGGAGAGTGTTATCCCGAAACTTGTCAAGAGGCTACATGAAGTGGAGAAGTAAGTATGGCAAGTATGGCATGTATGGCATGTGTGGGTCTAAGTATGGCAAGTATGTCTCTCCGGAGGCGTGGGTTCGAATCCCACCGCTGCCACCAATTTTGTAGCAGGCCGCAATCTCTCGGAGGCAAGAATACACAAGGGTCTCAATGAACACACTGTAACTGGCAATTGAAATGTAACTATAACTGGCAATGAAATTAACTGGGTCAAAAGAATCGTGAACAGCAGCTTTAATGCACAGGCAGACTCCGTATGCTAATGTACGGGGATACGCTAACGTATGGGATACAGTACGGGGATATGCTATACTCTAAACACTATACGCTATACGCTTTGAAGTCACCAGTGTGCCAACGCTACACAAGTATGGCATGTATGGCAAGTATGGCATGTGTGGCATGTGTGGCATGTGTGGGTCTAAGTATGGCATGTGTGGCATGTGTGGGTCTCTAAAACCAGCAATAGTAAGGTTACCATCATTTGCATAGCGTTTGCTTTGCTTGTGCCTGATGTGTTTTACTACGATCACAGCATCCAGACAGAGACAATAATGCATACTGGAAGCATAAAGATTGTGAGGTTTGTTGCCCTTAAAGGGGAAGTTAAGGCAAAAATTAAAATTTCACCAGTTGTAGTCTTCGGGGTGCTGAGTCGAATGGTCTTGGTCCGAGAAAGCTGAGACGCTCCCTTCCTACTTGAATCCCAATCGAACTCGCGCACTTCCACCGAAACTGGGTGACTGCGCCCTACTAGATGGGGATTTGTATGCAAGATGTCACTAAAAGCGTCATTTCGTTCTTATAAAAGCACGGATGACCACGATTGGCCCATATGTTGTAGTCTTTTGGACGCTGAGTCGACTGGTTTTGGTCCGAAAAGGCTGCGATGCAGCGTTCCTCCTTTATTCCCAATCAAACATGGTTGAACAAGTGGTCACGTGCTCCTGGGTGCCCAAATCACCTGGTAACCACGCCAGCAGGCGACAACTTTCACACCAAGGTTCAACTCGAGTTCAACTCGAGTGACAGGACTGCACCCAAAAAAGGTCAAACAGGCTAGTAAGTTGTACCCTCCAGGCACGTGACCAGGTGACTGGTGTACGCAGGAGCACGTGACCGCTTGTTCAACCATGTTCGATTGGGAATAAAGGAGGAACGCTGCATCGCAGCCTTTTCGGACCAAAACCAGTCGACTCAGCGTCCAAAAGACTACAACATATGGGCCAATCGTGGTCATCCGTGCTTTTATAAGAACGAAATGACGCTTTTAGTGACATTTTGCATACAAATCCCCATCTAGTAGGGCGCAGTCACCCAGTTTCGGTGGAAGTGCGCGAGTTCGATTGGGATTCAAGTAGGAAGGGAGCGTCTCAGCTTTCTCGGACCAAGACCATTCGACTCAGCACCCCGAAGACTACAACTGGTGAAATTTTAATTTTTGCCCTAACTTCCCCTTTAAATAACCGGCCTGGGGCCTCAGCATCATGGGAACAGCAAACACGCTAAATGCACACCATACATTTCTTTAAAAAGTATTCCCCGTCCTCTCTCCCCGAAAAGCCAAACACCGAAACAAGTGTGCCGTGGAGCATTCTTTTCACTAAACCATTTCTGTTTACTAAACCATTTCTGTTTACTAGACTTTTGCTAGACTTTTGCTAGAGTTTTTTGGCGATCCATTCCCGGACCTGTCACACTGAGCTCGGCTGATGAGGCCCTAGCATGGTCAAACACCACCTAGCTGTCTGAAGATTGAGCAATGCGGCATACACTGACTCGCAACTACATGTATGGCATGTATGGCATGATAAAGGTGAAATCCTGATAATCAGTCAAACCTCATAATGCCAGGAAAAAACTTCTAATTATTCGGACATTCTAATTATCCAAACATGAACCCACAACTCAATATGTATGTCAAAATGCTCTCATGGTCACGCAGAGTTGCGCTGTGGACCTTAGACACAACTTTTACGGACACTGAACTGACCGGCACAGCCTGCTCATGCAAACTGAACTGACCAGTACAGTGTACAGTGAACTTCGAATTACACTTTGCTAACTTCAAATTATCAACACAAATCCCACACATTTTCTATGTAAGTGGAATCTGTGGGACTTCTAATTAACCGGACATGTCCAGTTCGAGGTTCGAATTATCAGAAATTTTATGATATGTTCGAATTAAGCCATATTCGAATTATCAGGATTCCACCTGTAGTAAAGTAATGGCCAGGAAAATTCAACCAGGCTCCTGAATAGAATAGTGCCGGGAGCTACACAACCCCAGCACAACACACACACACACACACACACACACACACACACACACACACACACACACACACACACACACTATTCTGTGGACTCAAAATACGGTCCAAAGCACAGACCGTAATGAATGTTGTGTTTGTAGAATGTTGAGTAAAAGAATGACCAGTTTTCGTGGAGACAGAAATGAAATAAACGCAAGGAGTAAAGCAAGTTGCGCATTCACTGCACACACCATTCGCACAGGTTAGGTATCCTTGAACGCTTTCGTTGTCATCTCTTTAAAAGGATTTACTGGCTAAGCGAAATCAACGAGTAATGAGTTTTTTCAACTTTTTTGATTAGTGGCTTTTGTTCTCACCTCTCCTTGGTCGCACTGACACTGGTATTATTTCACCTCATGGCATTTTGAGTATTTATATTGTGTTACTCGTTGATTTAGCTTTGCCAGTAAATCGTTTTTGAAGGGATGGCAATGAAAACGTTCAAGGATACATAACTTGTGCGAATGGTGTGTGTATTGAATGTGCAACTTCCTTTTATTCATGGCGTTGAAAGGAATGACTGCTCATGTATTCGACACTGGGTTTTCAGAGCCGCTGTATTCTTATTTAAGTGTGCTCTTTCCTATGCTATGTCTTTCATTCATAGTGCGTTGCTGTGATTGTATTTGCTCTACAGGATCAACCATCAATGGCTTATTATTCTCACGGCAACCGTGGCTGGCTGTGGCTTCATCGCCATTGCTTTCTCCTTGTTCATGTGCCACTCTCATCAGCTGTGGAGACTACCCTGGACAAGACGTTCTAAGGTGATTGTTCAGGCACTAATCTACTTGCGTCTGTGACATGTACAGCTGCACAGCTGTCAGACTCACGGCTAAGTGACATGATCCCACCCAAAGTGCATGTTTTGCTTCCCGAACATGCACATGCATTGTACCTCCCTGGATGCCCTGAAAGTGACATGCATTATGTACAGTTCATTCAGTGGAAAAATGTTGGATTGTTTTGAATTGCACATGTATCGAAGGAAACAAAACCAATCCACAACCCACGGCCGCTGATTCGTCCTGACAAAACCATTTTCTCCAGAATAATTCATCAGTGGCTACTTCTAGTGGAGGAGTAAAGACTCTTAGAATGAATAAAGTAGGTCACAGTAGCAGAAGATAAAGCTACTCAGTGTGAATATACACAGTTTACTCATGAACTGATCTTATTTCGATTATATAATTTCAAAATCTGTTTCTGATTTCATTGTGCCATTGTAGGAAGAAGAGGCTGATCGTGGTGACCTGTCCTCACCTTCCATTAGCATTGATCCTCCATCGATGAAGATGGTAACAAGAGAAGTTAGCGAACCGGACTATTTCCAAACCCGCCTGCCGAGTGGTCTGAGAACGGCTGCAACGTACAACTCGCCTGACGAAGAAGAGGATACCGCCTGGCTGCTCAACTCTGTGTTCAATGGCAGCAGCAACCAAACTGAGAATAGCAGTCACCGGCGTGGCTACTCAGACATATCCGTTGTCTACCAGCACAGGATACAGCCCAAGCACGGTTAGCACGGCTAGTCCCGGTTTCTCATGACATCCATCGTACGGATATGATTGCTTTGCGGCATAGTCGGGGTGTATGCATCCAATCTGCACTTAAGTGGTGTAGCCAGTTGACACATGTATATGATTGTGACTATCTCATTATAGCATGTACATGTGATTCAAAGAATTTCTGGATATGTGGATATGTGGCGCATAAATACTCCGCTTTATTGAGTTGCCCTGAATTTCGTTTCACACTAAAATTGATAATTCTGATTCATATGATTTTTATGCTGACCTTTCATACAAACTTCCAGTCAACTGCCCCATCATGCAGGTGGTTTATATTGGGCATATAAACCTCATACCTCATACAAACCCCATATAGACCACCACCATACAAACTCCTTTTTAGAAACAGGAAGAAGTTGACTGTCAGTTTGTATGAAGGTCAGCATAAGGATAATACATCCCACGAGTACGCTTGTTCGTGAAATATAAACCGACATACAAACCTCGGCTGCGCCTCGGTTTGTATGTCGGTTTATATTTCACGTACAGTCAGACCTCGCTTAACCGCACAAATCCGTTTTCCCAAAAAATATCCGGATAGGCGAGGGAACCAGATAACCGAACACCATTTATGTTGGATGCATCACGTATGCTGTAAATATGTAACCAGCTTTTTCTTCCGGATGGCGAGGGATCCGGATAAACGAGGACCGGATAAGCGAGGTCTGACTGTACTAGCGTACTGTTGGGTTGGGTTATATACGTATACTGTGGGCTGGGGGGGGGGGGAGGGCGGGGCATTCGTGCGTGGGTGTAAGGTGTATCCACCACGGTTACCTTTTTTCTAAGGTTCTGTGACTGTTACGTTCTGCTCTGAAGTGCAAGAGCTCGTGCGCATGTTGAGAATGGCAGTGAAAGCTGTTCTTTCAGCCCAGACTTCATTTACTCAGTATCCACCACCCGCATATTTCGAGCTTCCATCGGCCTATTTTGTTACTTTCCCATTCTCAAGGTGCAGCAACTAACCGGGGCTGTCGGATTCTTCCACTGATGCATGTTTAGTATGAACTTAAAAAGAGTTCAAGACGCAGATTCTAATGCTTTTCCAGCAGAACTTTTCAAGCCATTTTGAAGCATGATCATGGATAGTGACTACAACTACTTATAGCACCAAACCAGCAAGCCGCTGAAGTACTACTAGTAGTCGTACAAGTCATGTAGCACTGCAGTAACCTGGTAACTAGTATGCTACAATAATTATTATTATTGTTTAGGAATGGGTTTGCTCCCACACTGGAGCTCGTGCTATTCCGCCGACTTGACTTGACTTGACTATTTCCAATTTTCGTATAATATTACATGTAGTGTTGTTTCCAATGAGGACTTTGAACTCCTGTACTGTTTGAGCATTGCGACGAAATAACTCTCCTGGCTCATGCCATCATGGCTCACTGCACTTGACCAGGGTCAGTTCAGGCTGAGCAGGTTAAAGTGACGCACTGATCTGCTGATCACCTGCGTGTAACATGTTACTGTGTGTGATAATGTAGTAGATCTACAATGCCTTCCCTGTCCACGTGACATGATGGCAAATGCCACACATAAGCAGCGCACGCATACAAAGGCAGCATAATGCAGCACGTCCGCAAACTTTCTCTATCCGGTCGCTGTCATGGCACTGCTTCCCAGCACCAAATCATTGTACAATGTACTAGGGCAGCGATTCGTCCAAAGTCAACGCCAACGCAAGTTCAGACCGTGAATCTCCTCCATTTCTAGTGTCGACAGGTCATGCTGCGCCTGCAGCGTCCAGGCTTTGTTCAACAAAACAATCTGCATCTCTCCGCAGGCACAACCAGTAGATCTACTTCTGTTGGCTTCTTGACATGCACGTTAAAAACTGTTACAGTATTACACTGTCTGCTGGTACATGGTAGGTCCTTTTGAACGGTTTCCGCAAACTGCCGAAGAAGTTGGCTCTAACGCTAGCACCTAGTCCTAGATCTGAGCCCAGTGCCGAGTGGGAACTACTAGTCTAGTAGTAGTAGATCTAGGAAGAGTAAAAATATAAGCTCATAATTATAATACTCTTGCTATAGAGTACGAAGTCTTTCAAGCTTGAGACGAGCGTGTGGTGTAGATGATTCGTGACATCCTAGGCTAGCGTTTCGGATCAGACCGAATGTTACAATAAAGAACTGAGGGGTTGCCGAGTAATTTGTTGTTCGACAATGGTGGCTTGGACTGAGTGAAGGAGTGCACCTAACTCAGTAACTGTTGCTTTCACTGACCAGGCGGATACTACTACTATAATACAGTAATAATAATTATAATTATTACTATGTTCCTTGCTTGACGGGAGAAAATGGCGGCAAGGGAACTGGTTGAATTTCGTGGATTGTTACCAGGTCCAGCATGCGGAGAGATCGCAGTTGGTAAGTTTACTTTGTGTTATTTCCAAATGCTATTCACATGATTCAAGTATTGACCAAAAGTTGCACATGTACTGCTACAGTATAATAAAACATAAGGCCAAAACAAAAAATAGGCTTGTTTCCGGTCGGCAACACCTCAAAAAGGAGACTCGGTCGGCCGGAATGAAACTTTTTTTGGATATTTTTTTGGTTCCTCAATCGTTGTGGTATTGATGGACAAGAGCACCCACACGTATACATTGTACATACAGTGGTCCCTCTATAATCCGGCACCATTTGTGCCACGAAAATCTGCTGGATTAGGGAGGGTGCTGGATTAACAAATCTGATTTACTGCTGCAATGTACATGAAGAGGACATTTTGGCTACTGAAAATTGTGCTGGTTTATCGAGGGTGCTGGATTATAAAGTGCCGGATTAGAGAGGGACGACTGTATATCATGGCAAGGATCAATGTCAAAGTTGACTGACTCACTGTTCTTGTACAGCATGTGGTGTATTCCTGTTTTCGTACATCCTGAGAAATCAAGCAAACAGTTCGAGTCCTTCCAGCTCCGTTATTCTAGCTCGTATCGACCCTGGAGGTTTTCGAGCCGACAGCTGAGAATCTCTGCTACCTTGTAGGTGTTTCGATTGTGGAATTTGGTTGAGATTTGACTGAGTTATGACTCGTTGAGTGCACTTGCACACATGGCATTGCCACCTTTTGTATACATTTGGGACCAAGAAAAAGTTTCAGAATTTGGGAAAAAATGACCCGGTCGGCCAACCGGAAACAAGGTCATTATTTGTTTTGGCCTAATAATTATGATCATGTTTATACAGTTGGTGAAACAGGTTCAGTGAAATGACGAAAGAATCACACAACAAGTGATAATTAGGCAAACAAAGCAAACCGAGAGCGCTGCTTGATCTCAGAAGCAGTCTGTTTGTTTACAAATGCAGGGCTGTAGCACCCAGTCTGGCCGGACCGGGACCTTATTTCGAAAAGGTTGACCCACCCACTTCGTGCACACCTGTACATGCAGATCTAGGGTTGAAACTTGAAAGCCAGGCAGTCCTTGCTTGAAATTATGTTCACTTTGCGTTCACTGGGTATCTCATCTGACCGCCGGACAGCTGAAATACCGGGGCTAAGGCCCTGAAATGTATCCTAGGCTATGATCAGCATGACGGGTCCGTGTACAGTGTGTATGCACCAGGATCGATTCTAGGTACGTAAATTGAAGACTAAGGGAGGGTGTTAATGTAAGACTGAAGACTTGGGCCGTGATCGTTTGGTCGGATCCAGATCCAGATCCATCGGATCCACTGGATCTGCAATGATCGATTGGTCGAATCCGGATCCAGATCCTTCGGATCTGGATCCGAGCAACCCTGCCCCGGGAGCAGGGTTGACTGGATCCATCGGATCCAAATGTGACCTTTGTGCGTATATGGTGGGTAAAAATCATTTTTATACTCATTGTCGTACGTCTAGTGGACTTTTGTTGACTTTTCATACGACGCGGGCGATCAGTACGACTTGTGCCTTTTTTGGGTGACCTGTCAGCGCCATTATTTACTTCGGAGCTTCGTCAACATGGCAACAGCCAAGGTCCGCAAAAATAGTGTCGGTTGATTCTGAAGGATCCGACGGATCTGAGATTTGGATCTGGATCTGGATCCGACCAAACGATCATAGCCTAAGGGAGGGTGTTTATGTAGCTGACTGAAGACTAAACAGACAAAGAGTAGAGTACTGTGCAAGAGTGTGTATCCCTCCCAGAATATGCGACTTTGCATATGGACCCTTGACAGAGAAAACTCAGATCATGTGGTCCCCCACCGATGTAAATACGACGTGTACCATACACAACAGAGGTCAGCATGTCTGCATTCGGAGATAAAATATTTTCCCACTTTCCTTTAGGGAATTCTCGCCTACTTGTTTGGCTCCGTACACAGTGACTGTGAACACTAGTGTACATCAACAGTCACCGTGACAGTATTCTATGGTCACATGCACTCAGTAGGAAGGTTCTCCTTGGATGTCCTTGAGATAGAGCCAGGGGCGTAGCACCCGCTATGACTGGTACGACCATGGCCGGACCACTTTTCAAAAAGTGTGGTCCGTCTGGAACGTGCAAAACCGTAATAAAAATCGGGACCCGTCAGATCTTTGACTCATACTCGACTTGACATGGCTATTAGGTACACTTGGTTCACGGCAACTTAGTTTTCTGCACGTGAACCATAAAATTATATGACTAAAACTTATAGAAAAGAAAAAGGACCAAGGAACTACAAGTTATGCTATACTGTCCACTAACACCACCAGCTACTAAACAATCAGCTCATGCGATAACATTGCACGACAGTGACCGACGGTACTGACGTTCTACAACTAACTGGCTATCAGCTCCAGCACGTCTTGGGTGCGCACTCCAACAGCCTTCCAACTTGGAAGGTTCTAAGTTATGGAAATAGCATAAGGTGGGGAAGGTGAGCGCAACTAAGATAAGCACGAGCTGAAAGTCTCAGCTATGAAGGACGTTGGCGGATGTTCATGGATGTGTGGCGAAACGATCGTCGTGTGAAACTGCTGCTTGTCAACACTGCTTATTGTCCATCTAAATTGTCATAGTCGAAGTACAGTGCTGTTTTACTGAGGCGTTCGGTTGTGCATGATTCTGGTTCGCATAGCTTCCCCTTTTATTGATCTTCGCATCTTTTGAGCCACACAAGTTGTGTGGAATGTTGCTTTGCGTCCTTGAATCGTGGTTTGACCATATTGTCTACTGGTCTTGCCAGTATCGTCATCGACATGCATGAACATCCGCCAACGTCCTTCATAGCTGAGACCTTCAGCTCGTGCTTATCTTGGTTGCGCTCACCTTCCCCTCCTTATGTTAATTCTATAACTTGGAACCTTCCGAGTTGGAAGGCTGTTGGAGTGCGCATCCAAGCTATGCTAGAGCTGTTAGCCAGTTAGTTGTAGAACGTCAGTACCGTCGGTCAGCGTCGTGCAATGTTATCGCATGAGCTGATTGTTTAGTAACTGGTGGTGTTAGTGGACATTTTAGCGTAACTTGTAGTTCCTTGGTCCTTTTTCTTTTCTATAAATTAATTCTTGGCTCTCAATCCGAGACTAAAAATTAGTAAAAAATGTGCCAAAAGTACCCAGAACACAGGAATTTGTCTCTTTTTTACAATTTGTTCACGGGGGAGGGCTCCCGGACCCCCCTTCACAGCCCACTCCCTCCTTTGGTCGTACCGGTCCGCAAGCCCCTCCTACACCACTGTAGACTGACCCACTTCATGGACTGTACTGAAGTTATGGTCTTCTTTGTACTTCAGGAAGTACAGTACTTTAGCCGTGTGATGCCGTTGGGAACAGAGTTGTCGTTGTTGAATATTATTTAAAGTCGCAGCACTGACAAACGGGCAGCAGCACCTTCTTTGATACATGTGATTGACTTTGCCGCACTGTTCCGTCTTCCCTTTTCCCATTTTATTTTAAATTATTGTGAAAATTGTAAGAAAGAAAAAGGACCAATGAACTACAAGTTATGCTATACTGTCCACTAACACCACCAGTTACTAAACAATCAGCTCATGCGATAACATTGCACGACACTGACCGACGATACTGACGTTCTACAACTAACTGGCTAACAGTGTCATGCAAGGTTATCGCATGAGCTGATTGTTTAGTAACTGGTGGTGTTAGTGGACAATATAGCGTAACTTGTAGTTCATTGGTCTTTTTTCTTTCTTATAAATTAATTATCGGCTCTCCATCCGAGTCTACTGTGAACATTTTTTTAAATGGGGAAAGGGAAGAAGGAACAAGACAAGAAGAACCCGGCAGTATTGTTGGTTGCCAAAGAACTGGGGGTCAGCCTCCTAGCCTAGGCCGTTCTTATTTTTCATGTATTACAGTCTATGGGCAGTTGAGTCACCGTGTATACATTGGCATGCTGTGCTTGATGAAATTCTAGCCTGGCCGTTCTTCGGCGCTCCGTTCTTCGGCGCCCGACAGTAGTGTAGATCATAGCAGAATGAAGCTGTAAAGAAATGCTGGTTAAAATCGCCCGCATCACATGTTTATTGGCACTATGTCATCGTGATTGTGGAATAATAATAATAATAATAATAATGAGCTGGAAACGTTCATTACCCAGCCCTTAATCATTATAATTTTACGGTGTGACAAGAAACTTTGTTTGATCCGAAATGTAAACATTACCTACCTGTAAAAGGGCTGGGGTACGCAGATTATTCCCGGAATACAAGTATTTGGGGAATACTATCGCTGTGAATCCTAAAACAATTTTGGAAATTTTTGGGGAATTCTATCGATTTTTGCCAGATCCATTAACCTTCAGAAGAATTTTGGGGGTCAGCGCTATAGCCCCTACGCACGCGGGTGCAGCCTTAGTACAGCTGTAGCTGTGTAGATCTGTAGATCCTGCATGCAGCAATAGAGCAAATCAGTGATCACGTGCATAACCGTCCATTTTGCATACTAAAGCGCAAGGCATGATTCGTGCTGGTTTTTTGGATGGATTTGGGGAATTCTGGAGAATTTTTTCTATATATTTTGGAGAATACTTTCGAATTTCCGCGGGAAAATGCCCTAAAGCATAATATCGGGTGCGTATGGGCATAATCCACGCAACCCTAAAAAGGGCGCACAAAATTTCAATTTTTCAGGGGTTTCACGAAACTCACATTCCATCTGTTTTAGCAGTTAGGGAGAAGTTCCATCGGTTTTAGCAGTTAGGGATAAGTTCAATGCATTCTCCATTGCTCTCACGTGCCGGGAGATTTGAGTCCTACGGTGATTGAGGTTAACGCTGCGTGTGCCATAGACTCTGGCAAAAGCAGTGTATTACGCTGCATGCAGTCATCTTGTACGACTAACATGACATTGTATCGTGTACGGAAGTGTCTTTGTGTTCTAATTTGTAGGATCTGTGTTCTCTACTTAGTTTGTAGGGCACTGTGAATTGAATTCTCACTCGGAAAGTGACCATTATGGCCATGCACTGGTGGTTACGAGTGGTGAAAGATGAAACACAGATTTGCTGCACATGCTGGTGCTTGCTTCCAAATTTTCCTCTTACTAACTGTTAGTAATTCCTGTACTGTTTCTTTGCTGTTGTTCTTGTTCCAGCATTCATCATGGCATTGGTGTCGTTCAGGTTGTCAGTTCTCGCAGCGCGTATTGAAGCATTGTGGCCAGTGAACTTTGCGGCATGCCGTATCTAAAATGTGGAGTTTGGAGTCGTAGCTACCCAACCCGAGACACCTGAGGCAATATGGAAGCACAAGGCCACACTTGGTATTCCCATTCGGGCTCAGTGAGTGTGCCGTCGATCCTCGAAGCTACATGACTCGGCATGTTCAGGATCAGACACCAGCATGGCCACGCAGCTGAACCCCCGTCAGACAAGTGACCAGCCTGACTGGCATAGTACATGGTCAAAGCTCATAAGGTAGGCATTGAAGTACATACGTACATTCCGACGACGCAGTATACTCAAACCATCATTGAAAGTTCTGCAAATAAGCCCACTTGAAGTAGCACCCATGATGTCCAACACAGCGCCTATGGAATCAACGTCTTTACTCAAAGCCCGTGAGTTCACCCATGTCCGAAAACCGCAAAGGATGCCAAAATAGGTGCAATGTATTGTCATGCCGTGTGTGGAATGAGCAGAACTCACTTGATCATACCGTATACACGTACGTTCACGCATTACTTGCTGCAGAGGTAGCATCACTTGCTGCAGAGGTAGCATTACTTGCTGCAGAGGTAGCATTACTTGCTGCAGAGGTAGCATCACTTGCTGCAGAGGTAGCATTACTTGCTGCAGAGGTAGCATTACTTGCTGCAGAGGTAGCATTACTTGCTGCAGAGGTAGCATTACTTGCTGCAGAGGTAGCATTACTTGCTGCAGAGGTAGCATTACTTGCTGCAGAAGTAGCATTACTTGCTGCAGAGGTAGCATTACTTGCTGCAGAGGTAGCATTACTTGCTGCAGAGGTAGCATTACTTGCTGCAGAGGTAGCATTACTTGCTGCAGAGGTAGCATTACTTGCTGCAGAGGTAGCATTACTTGCTGCAGAGGCTGCATTACTTGCTGCAGAGGTAGCATTACTTGCTGCAGAGGCTGCAGAGGTACTGTTTACATTTTGTACACGATTGTAGTCTCTCACGGTGATGAAAACGGACAGTGAAAAGCCTGTTCCTCCAAACTGTAGCTTGTGTAAAAGCCAGTCAGACTGGCTTTCCGTCATGTATGGTAACCGTGTACCACTGCCCTTCATACTTATGGTAACCGTGTACCACTGCCCCGGTTCATACTTTGAAATGTAAGGATCAGAGTGCCACTCTGCTCTGATCAGATCTGCTTAGGCGAATGTGAAAATAACTATGCATGACTGTACTCACGTACAAGGTCCATACCTCTACTCTATTGGGCACCCCGCTGTAAGACTGAGACCTTAGCCTGGCTTAGCCAGGCTTAGCCTGGCTTAGCCTGGTCTGTTGGAAATGCTCAAGTAAATACAATACAATACAATACTCTATAGGGCTTGAAAGCCTCAACATCAGAAGTCAAAATCTAATGTCAAATACCGACTTTTGGATCCACTCTGCCCATGGCGAAGTACAAGGTGTGGTGGGTGGACCCCGTGTCGCACGTTGGTGTGGTTTTTTGTACTAGGAGTGGGTCCCTGACCAGGAGGGCCCTGTCCAATCACTCTCGGCAGATGCGCCCCTATGCTGTGAAGGAAAACCACCCAAACATGTATGGATGCATACAAAACTTGCTGGATTCCACTGGATCAAAAAGTCAGCGTTGTCATGACTCCGGGCTGGTTGTGACGTAGCACTTTCAAGCCCAATTGGTTAGTGCATGGCAGGGATGGTCTTGTGGCTTGTTAGTGTCCGGCAGCTAGGTTAACCAGAGCTGGGATTGAGGCTAGGTTAACCAGAGCTGGGATTGAGGCTAGGTTAACCAGAGCTGGGATTGAGGCTAGGTTAACCAGAGCTGGGATTGAGACCCGAAGACTAACATGGAGGACGCTAACAAGCCATTACTGGCATTAGCCCCGAGCTGCCATGCTAACTATTTTAGAACGAGGTTGTCATTAAGTTCCAAATACATATGATAGAAGCTGACCAAACAGCTATTTTTCAACACAAGGTCAGGATAATCTGTATCCGCAATTTGACTGGTTGCCGATTGTAAACACATAGTGTCTATTAGAGCTCACTATACATGTATGTGTGTACCTCAGTTCATGGTGTGCCTTTTCCCCCGCAAAGGAATTTTTAAAAGAAATAAGATTGCATTCACTGTGCATGGAGCTGCTTGTCAAGCTCTTGACTTACCATCCATGTGCAGTTGATGCCGACTGTATCTCTTCCGAGTGCCGGTGCAGTGCCGCACCCTTTATAGACCGGCTTGTCTGTTATATGGCTCTTTATGCTCTTTATGTGTGTGTAGTTGTTCAGGTATGCTCGTAATGCAGCTGGACTGTTGGCTGCTTGGAGTTATTGGATTATCAACTAGAAGAACTCCACCGGCCTACAATGTGTACATGTACAGTAATAAGATGATGGCCACGTTCAAAAGGAACAATAATACTAGCGGTGAGTACATACCGGTACCTTAAACTGAAAAGCTGTATTCCACATGTACATGCATGTACATTGTACATTGTACATGTACGTGCATGTGCATGTGCATTGCCGATGCAAGCAGTCAATTTGGTTGAGTTTCGACCAATCAGCCGGTGAACGCTGTTTTGCTAGGAACTACAAGTACCGTACTGGCAATATATGTTGCCGCGTAACGCGTAACGCAGGGGGGGGGGGGGGGGGGGTGCGGCGTAACGCGCGACCAGGCTAGTGCGACAAATTTTCGTCAAGTTCGTAACGCTCGTCCGGCGGGGTGCGGCGATCTTTTCATTGCAGTTTGCACTGCAAAAAAAAGGCTGAAAACTGTGAAAGCACGTGTACCGCGTGGTGAAAAGTTCAAAACTGGACGCAGCAGGAAGTCCTGACACTCGAAGGCGCATCATTCAGTGGTTGGCGATCTCAATGGTTTCTTCTTTCCCGAGGTCGTTTTGCGAAGAAGAGAATATGTTGTACACTCATTAACTGTGTGAGTGACAGTAGTTTTTGGAGGAAGCGCTCTTCCCCTATGCCACTTTCCTTCTGATGATCTTTTTGTGAACAGATCACGCTGATAGTTAAAATATACAGTCTTTTTTTGATATCGTTGTCGCCCTTTGCCGTCGGGTTTGTAACAGTTGGATAGCAACTGAAATTCTGTGCCTTCAATGTGGATGAAAAGAAAAAATGATGCGGCAAAAGCAAAAAAATGATGCGGCAATAGCAAAAAAGTGATGCGGCAATAGCAAAAAAAGGACTGCGGCAATATAGAAACCTGTGTAACGGCTCCTGTGCGACTTTGCATGTAACGCCCTGCGTGCGGCAAACATGTGCCAATGTAACGCTTCATGGCCTCACTGCGGCAACATATATTATTGCCAGTACGGTAGTCAACCAGTCTGTAGTACTGCTGGACCTGATGAGTGCTTGACGGCATATTGCGGTGCATGTTGCATGATTGTGTTAGTTTCAGGTTTCTAAGTACTTTCTGCTTTGAACCAACGGGGGGCTACTTCTGACTAGATTAGGCTGTATGCAGCCACAGCATGTGCAAACAACACACGAGATGTGTTTGAATAAGTTGTCCGAGTAATGTACGGGAACGTGACGCATGACAATTGTAATCAGTGGATGGGCCGCATCCCTGCAGAAAGCCTTGTTTGTCGCATTTCCACCGCAATGCTAGTCCACTTCTAATGCGGGCTGCGGCATTCACTGCATTCACTGATGTACCAGCGTCACTATACAGTGCTGTCGTGTGCCGAAGAACTGAGGGGTCAGGGTTCTAGCCTAGCCCGTTCTCATTTTTAGCAAACACAGCAGTTTTGTTCTTATTCGATGGTACAGTCTTACATGTACTTCAAGTACATAATTATAATTATGCAGAGTTGTACGTCTGAGTGCACATTATAGTGTACATTACGGTGTCCGTTCTTATCCGCAAAAAAATCCAGGCTGCACCGTTCTTAAAAAATGGTGAAATTCTAGCCTGTCCGTTCTTAAAAAATGGTGAAATTCTAGCCTGTCCGTTCTTAAAAAATGGTGAAATTTTAGCCTGTCCGTTCTTAACCCTTTGTGTACGGACTGTACAACTTTCGATCCCCTGGGATCGAAACTTTTCAAAATTTCAATCGATCGTAACTCAGTCATTCCTGGGTTATATCCGAAAACTAAAATATGTAGGTCAAAGAGAAAACTCCCAGCTGTCCATTGAAACAATCGCTGAAGCGCTCTGATGTGTGGTTACAGAGTTACGAAGCCCGAAAGTCGAATCGGGGCAAATGTCGCTCAATAGCCGCTCGCGCAAATTTGAATGAGGGATTTCCCCATCATTCTGGGCATGCAGTGACGTAGAAACACGTTCAAAATGGTAAACGGACTCATGGCAGTTTGTGACATTTTTTAGAAGTAACAGTTAGTCGTTACAAGCAAGGAGAGCGAAATGGCTGATGCAAGACGACTTCTGTCGGAATATTGGCGTTGCAGCTAAGACGCTGGGCTGTAGCGCTGGCGTTTTGACCTTCGTGGTGGCAAGCGTGGGCTCAATGTGTTCCTCTTGCGACGAGCTTTCCAGGAAGCCCAAGATTGAAAAAATCGTCAAAAGGAGACTTACAGTTATGACCCGGGGAATTATAGAATTTGAGGTGAGTCGAGATCAAATTCAGCCTGTGTACAATTTTTCAGTACATAAAGGGTTAAAAAATGGTGAAATTCTAGCCTGTCCGTTCTTAAAAAATGGTGAAATTCTAGCCTGTCCGTTCTTAAAAAATGGTGAAATTCTAGCCTGTCCGTTCTTAAAAAAAATGGTGAAATTCTAGCCTGTCCGTTCTTAAAAAATGGTGAAATTCTAGCCTGTCCGTTCTTAAAAAATGGTGAAATTCTAGCCTGTCCGTTCTTAAAAAATGGTGAAATTCTAGCCTGTCCATTCTTAAAAAATGGTGAAATTCTAGCCTGTCCGTTCTTAAAAAATGGTGAAATTCTAGCCTGTCCGTTTTTAAAAAATGGTGAAATTCTAGCCTGTCCGTTCTTAAAAAATGGTGAAATTCTAGCCTGTCCGTTCTTAAAAAATGGTGAAATTCTAGCCTGTCCGTTCTTAAAAAATGGTGAAATTCTAGCCTGTCCGTTCCTAAAAAATGGTGAAATTCTAGCCTGTCCGTTCTTAAAAAATGGTGAAATTCTAGCCTGTCCGTTCTTAAAAAATGGTGAAATTCTAGCCTGTCCGTTCTTAAAAAATGGTGAAATTCTAGCCTGTCCGTTCTTAAAAAATGGTGAAATTCTAGCCTGTCCGTTCTTAAAAAATGGTGAAATTCTAGCCTGTCCGTTCTTAAAAAATGGTGAAATTCTAGCCTGTCCGTTCTTAAAAAATGGTGAAATTCTAGCCTGTCCGTTCTTAAAAAATGGTGAAATTCTAGCCTGTCCGTTCTTAAAAAATGGTGAAATTCTAGCCTGTCCGTTCTTAAAAAATGGTGAAATTCTAGCCTGTCCGTTCTTAAAAAATGGTGAAATTCTAGCCTGTCCGTTCTTAAAAAATGGTGAAATTCTAGCCTGTCCGTTCTTAAAAAATGGTGAAATTCTAGCCTGTCCGTTCTTAAAAAATGGTGAAATTCTAGCCTGTCCGTTCTTAAAAAATGGTGAAATTCTAGCCTGTCCGTTCTTAAAAAATGGTGAAATTCTAGCCTGTCCGTTCTTAAAAAATGGTGAAATTCTAGCCTGTCCGTTCTTAAAAAAATGGTGAAATTCTAGCCTGGCCGTTCTTAAAAAATGGTGAAATTCTAGCCTGGCCGTTCTTAAAAAATGGTGAAATTCTAGCCTGTCCGTTCTTAAAAAATGGTGAAATTCTAGCCTGTCCGTTCTTAAAAAATGGTGAAATTCTAGCCTGTCCGTTTTTAAAAAATGGTGAAATTCTAGCCTGTCCGTTCTTAAAAAATGGTGAAATTCTAGCCTGTCCGTTCTTCGGCGCCCGACAGTGCTGTATGTTATTACTCACTTTGATGTAGTCATGTGACAGCAGTCATGTGACAGCAGTCATGTGACAGTAGTCATGTGACAGCAGAAGGGGGGTCTCTGTACAGCCGGGTGTGCTGCTCTCTCTCTCTCCAACTAGGCTGCAGAATAGTGTAAATTTGAATTATAACTGCTCCTAGCTAACCTACGACGCTCCGCACTGCTTCATTGATTAGATATATAAGCCGCCGCGCTGCTGCGATTCACACAAAGGCAATACGTGGAATTTTTTCAACATCTGAATCATCTGTCATTGTGACTAAAATCAGGAATGAAGGTGGACATGGGTGAACAGATAATATTACTCAATCTGAAAGATAATATTATAATATTGTAAGTAAAGGAAGGGAAGATGATCAAGCTTTCAAGGTTGCATACTTCGAATTTGACTTGATTTATGGTACATTATACATGTCCCGTAAAGTACCGCGAGAGCGCCCCACCATCTCGTCCTTTCGTGGTTGTATTGTGGAGGTGATATCCTGTCTGTAGGCAGTGCTGCCAACCTTCCGTATTTGTACGGAAATTCACTCCTTTGTCCGCAGTACGGAAATTGACCGAAATTGTACGGAAACTGAGAAGGATGAATCAGCTGACTATGAACCGTTTTTTTACAGGTACATGTACATGACTATGTACTTAATTGCATGCAGGGCACATAAAACTGCGGAGTAAACCTGAGTACTATCACGCTAAAAACAGTGTTCCTGACTGCAACCTCAGACAGTGACAAAGCTTTCAAGCGCTGTGTACGTGTGTTGCACACCATTGCTGGCTTTCCTACACTAGGCTACCGTTCACGTGACGCATTACTTCCTGGGACCAAGACCATGCACGACTTTCTGAGCACCCCGTACATAAAGTACCCCGAAAAACGGAGACTACAAAATTTTAATGTCGCAAAAATACAATATAAATCATGGGATTAAAAAATGGTAAAAAAAAGTAAATTATCGTGTCCGTTCCCGAAGGGTAAAAAAATGGTAGTACGGAAAAATTAGGGAAAATACGGAAATTCTACAGTCGGAGTACACAAATCAGACCGAGAGATGTTGGCAGCACTGTGTAGGTCATACAACACGAACCGTGTGCACATATTGCACGTTGTGCAGTCAATCCGTACGCAATTTACCTTCGAGCGAACACAAGCTCCACACAAAAACCTGCCTACATAGTGTGACCTTGTACACCAAGGTTCTCACACCGTGCAAACTTCGTTGCACTCTGCTGTACGATTTTCCTTTCCCTGGCTATAAAATCAAGGTGGGGCGCTCTGGTGAGACGGGGCGCTCTGGCGGTACTTTACGGTACTAGGATTGCTTCATGACTATTATGATACTGCTCTTTGAGACTGCAGGCTAGGCTATATGTCTTGTCTAAAATACACAATACACTTTAGGCGAGCGAACCGGATAATCGAACACACTCTCACATACTGTATGTATGCATGACATAATTATGCTGTAAATCCGTAACCAACGATTTTCTTCCGGATGGCGAGGGATCCGGATAAAAGAGGACCGGATTAGCGAGGTCTGACTGTACCAGCTAACTACGTAGTGCACTACAAATGTAGTGTGTACTCGGATGTGTGTGTGTTTGTGTGTGTGTGTGTGTGTGTGTGTGTGTGTGTGTGTGTGTGTGTGTACGGCGCGCATGTGTGTGTGCTTGCGTGTGTGCGTGCGTGTGTGGGTGTGGGTGGGTGTATGGGTGGGTGGGTGTGAATGAAAAAGAATCTAGAAAAAAAATTAAAACTAGGGATCATTCACTGGCCAGAAAAAGCCACTTCAATCAGCCATGTGGTGTAGACCAGGCTAAAACTAGTGGCGGTCAATTCATCAGCCTTGTAAGCTGTTGAATGGTGACCAGCACAAGTAATTAGTTGCTACTGTATGTCTAACATAGCTGTTCGCTATCATAGCTTCTGCGATGGGCAGGTCTTAGGTCTGAGGTGTGTATGTGTGTGTGTACGTGCGTGCGTGTGTGCGTACGTGCGTGCGTGCGTGCATGCGTGTGTGTGTGTCCCCCAGCCGGACGCACGTCAATGCCATGCCTGCCTTCGGTGGTTCCGAAGTGCCGGTGGACTTGCTGTGCACAAGTGCACAACACCCGCCCCGGCATCACCGCCCACACCCCAGCGCATACCAATCACCAGCCATCCGTGTTGCAACCAGCACTGCGCTACCTGTGATCGCTGTTTTAAATCTGCTCCTGGCTTTCGGCGACACAATTGCCATCGTGGACGGCGTCGTGGCGGAGCGGCTCCCTAGTGGCAGTGCTGACTTCTCTCGAACTCTCTCTTCTACTCTCCCCTGTCTCGGGGGCGGCGTGGCCAAGCATTTGGCAGCTGTACACCAGGCCAGGTGTGTGTGTGTGTGTGTTGCTATGTCTAACATAGCTGTTCGCTATCATCGCTTCCGCGATGGGCATGTCTGAGGTCTGAGGTGTATGTGTCACTCAGTGTGTGTGTGTGTCACTCAGTGTGTGTGTGGTGTGTGTCTGTAGGTGCAAATGTATCAGCTCTACTGTTTTTGTCGCAAGAGGTATGATATTTTGAATTATTATCACTGTCCTTGCTGTTTCTCACAGGCTCGCAACACCCATGGCGGAGATTTGGACCTATCTGTGCAGATTCTCACTAGCTAAGCGCTGAAACCAGCCAGCAGGACTGCTAGTCTGCGCCAAAGTAAGTCATCACCAGCTGATTTGTAAAGGAAATGGTATTGCCTTCTCCCCCTGGCCCCTGTCACACAACAGCTCAAACAACTTGGTGGAGTTTCTGACTTCTTATACAAACGGAAAGGGCACAGGAGGCGAAAGACGAAAAGACTAGACAGAAAACGACGACGGGAAAGACTCCCGGGAAAAGCCTCAGAGGACCAACAAAGAACAAGCAGTAATAAACCGAGGACAAATCGTGACGACCAATCAGGGACTAATACGTACAGAACACATGACCAAGACCAAGACAACCAGACCACGGACGAATCACACACGACTCTCATTCCCAGACCAAACTAGCACTGCGCATGTACTGCATTCACTTGACAGTCACTCTCACACAGACGGAAGCACATCCTCACACTCTGACAACGCGTACTCCTGCATGCACCACATACCATAAACGTCACACATCACACCATGCTCACGCGTACACCTAGACCATATATGACATCAGACACTGGACTCCACAAGACAAGAACCAAATACAACGACATGCGTAAATCATAGTCGTAACATAAATTCGTTACACAGCCTTCCCCTCCGGCGAGAGTCGACCTCGACTCTCAGAAGTAGAAAAATGGAGTAGGAGGAAAACAAAAGGGTTGAGAAGACACAATAACAGGAGAAGAAGACAGGACAACGGCAAGTGGCTGGCTGCAGACGTGGAGATGGGAAAACCTTGGGTGTGGTTCCACGAGGTGGTGCGTCGTACGACTTGCCCATTCGGATGTGGAAGATGTGTATAACATGTACAAATGGAGCAACAGAACACAGCAGGCATGTAGTCAATCAGGGAAAAGAACAAATCGAAAATCCATCGATACACTGTCACACAAACTTCAGAAGGGGAGAAACCCACGGGACTCTAACCTGACTAGAAAACTCGGCGCGGAGCCGGCATAAGTGTCCCACACTTTTCCGATGGCGGATCATCTTGTCGTCCCACGACCCCGTATGATCCTGTCGTCCCACGACCCATAATAATCTTGTCGTCCCACGACCCATAATATTTAGATTTTTATTTATTTGTTTTTTTTTTTTTTTAATTTTATACTTCCCCGACAAAAGGCTAAACAAACACTGGGGCCCACCAGCTCACGAAGGGAACCGTGGCTCACCATGATCAGACATTCACCTGGTGAACTGAACAGACCCGCAGGTCGACACAAAACGAGAACAAAATACGCTCCCTGAAAGACTAAACCGAACTAAGCTGACAAACCAAACAGGTACACGACTACACTGAAAGGCTAATCAAGAAACTGCACAAACCCCAGCAAATATACGTACACTGACCGCCAAAACCCAAAACAGAAAGACACAAGAGAGACACAAGAACCAGATCGCGAAAAGATAACAAGCACCAAAAACAAAACCCACGACGCGGATTGTGAAAATACTACATTGCCCCGACAAACAGAACGACGGGGAAAGCACCCGGGCCCTGGGCGCTTCTGGGAAGTAAAACATACTGGACACACCATCTCCGAAGAGATTCGCTTGCAACAACTAATTTAGTACAACAACGACATCCCGTTCCGGGAGCGACTCACCGGGTAAGGGGCCTGCAGGCCAGGCTGGCGAACGCCTTTCCATCTCCATGGCCGTAGTAGCAATCTCGGTGAAGTGAGTTGAACGACGAGAAATAAAATATATTTCGAAACGGCGAGCACGAACTGAAGCCACGGTGAAAACAAAACGATCCCAGGGTCGTGGGCTGCAGAGGTAGTACCCTGCGTCGAGCGAACGTTGGGCGCCAATGTAAATGAAATGGTATTGCCTTCTCCCCCTGGCCCCTGTCACACAACAGCTCAAACAACTTGGTGGAGTTTCTGACTTCTTATACAAACGGAAAGGGCACAGGAGGCGAAAGACGAAAAGACTAGACAGAAAACGACGACGGGAAAGACTCCCGGGAAAAGCCTCAGAGGACCAACAAAGAACAAGCAGTAATAAACCGAGGACAAATCGTGACGACCAATCAGGGACTAATACGTACAGAACACATGACCAAGACCAAGACAACCAGACCACGGACGAATCACACACGACTCTCATTCCCAGACCAAACTAGCACTGCGCATGTACTGCATTCACTTGACAGTCACTCTCACACAGACGGAAGCACATCCTCACACTCTGACAACGCGTACTCCTGCATGCACCACATACCATAAACGTCACACATCACACCATGCTCACGCGTACACCTAGACCATATATGACATCAGACACTGGACTCCACAAGACAAGAACCAAATACAACGACATGCGTAAATCATAGTCGTAACATAAATTCGTTACAGATTGGCTGTGCTTTCACACCTTGTTCAAATTACCTATATAAGAAAGACCTCAGACGGTGGTGGGTGGGGAAGGAGGCACACACCAGTTCCCTCTCCTGTTCCTGGTATAGGTAGGCTGCACCAAAAACCCCTGCATTTTTCCCCCCAGTACTTGCCCCCCTGCAAAATTCTTACCCTCTTTTTCCACCTGTAATCAGCTGGCCGGCGACAGCTTTAGCGCAGATAGTGAAAAGTAGCACGGACATTAGCACGAACATTCACAAGTCAGACATGCGGCTGGGAATGGAGGTGCTGACTGTGTGTGATCAACGTGCCACTGTGTGGTGTTAGTGGTGTTGGTGCAGGTTGGGATAGCTCAGCATCATAGCTGTTACCACACACTCTAATCTCACTTGTTGGATTTGGCTTCGGAGGTGAAAAGGCATTAAGTTAGCATTATTCAGAGCAGACATGCAGACAAGCCTAAACTCGTGCATAAGACCAGACTGGCAAAAAAAATTGAATTGAAAAACAAGTCTAAACGATTACTAGTACACTAAACTACAGTACATGTGCTGCTAGTAATATCCTACTGGTAGAGCTGGGGAGAAGAAATCATTCGAATTCGTGGCTATAAGCCAGCCCCAGACTCCTGGGGTAGTTGCAGCTCTTTGAATTGATGCATTGTCTACGAAAGAGGAGTAGCTGTATGTCAAGAGAACAATTAAAAAATTAGATTGTTATAAAACTACTTTCCAATCGAGACGCAGTGGTAAATAGCATAGTGTTCATGGTACAAGGCCAATCATAAAGAATTAGCTAGCAAGAATAATTCAGAGTTCAGAGTAATCGTCCTAAAGTTACTTCAAGTACATGTAAGCATGGGTGTGAGTGAGTAACACAAAGAGTGCCCCTTTCGGTAGCAGTATGCGGCCTGGTGAGTGGTGACTGGCGAGTCAGTTTATCATGCAGACGAATATTCAAGCACACTACAACCACACTGCTGCTGCTGCTGCTGCTGCTTTCATGCAAATTCTTGCTGTCTTGCAGGATAGACATATGACTCTGGATTTGCTCAAGGGCTTGCTCCAACCCGTTCAAACCTGCTCCAACCTGTTCTTCCCTGCTGGCTGGTGTAGAGAAGAGCCGAGAATGAAGACGATCTTCCTTGAATGCACAGTAGATCCATGGTCAGGGAGGTCAGGGAGGTCAGCGAGGTTAGGGAGATTGACTGTCTGTACAGTACACTCATGATCAGTCACAGTCCAAACACTGATAACACTGATGATGACTGCCGTATGTACACTGATGATGACTGATGTCTGCCACACTATGATATAGTATGATGTCTGTAGAGTGGCGGCTGATTGGCGCGCTGATTGTGTACACGGCTGCTAGCACGGTGCACTGTACTGCAACTTGGTTTACCCGCACCATACGTAGGTCATTCTACTGCATGTACTTGAACACCTGGAGCTGAGAATGGCCCAGAGATCACCAGGCCGCTAGTTGCTAGATCGAACTGTATAGCTGATAACTTGATACTCATGTTGTCAACTGGATGAGTGGTGGCTGGTCGAGGAAATTAGGTACATGTAGATTGCGTTTCCTGCGTCACCTGCACCAAGCTCAGCACTACAACTCCTGGCTGCCGGCGTTCTCCACAAGCAGCACATGCTTACAACTGCAACAGCAGTCCTAGTAGTAACAGTAGGTGTTGTGGCAGGAGCATCAAGTTACAACGTCAAGTTACAACATCAAGTTACAACGTCAACCTAGCCTTTCCGACGTCTACTGCTGCTGCTGCTGCTGCTGGTACTTTTATGATGTTCACTTCGTTCACTATGATGTTCACGGGAACGGCGGTGACTTCTGTGGTCATTGTCGTCGTCGCTGCTGCTACTGTCATGTTGTCTACGCTGAGATCGATGGTGATCTGTGTGCTTATGATGGCGGTGGTGGCGGTGATGATGGTCACTGCCATGACGTGAACGCTTGCTGCTGCTGCTTACTGGGCTGCGAGAGCGCGAATCTGAGCAGCTTGAATGTGATCGACGGCGGTGCTTGTGATGATGTCTGCTTGAGGCACTGGAGCTAGTTGTCTTTGAGCGGGATACATGTTGGCTGGAATCATCATCACTATCACTGCCGCCGCTCTCACTGCTCTTGCTACTCTTCTTCTGCTTTTTGTGTTTACGGGACTTTTTCGACTTGCGTTGGTGGGACTCGGTGACATTGCGTGACGCCTCCTTTTCCTCTCTGGCCGCTGCAGCTAGGAGTTGTGTGATGTTCACATTGTCTACATCTTCCACATTCTCCAGTTTTCTGAGCAGAAACAGCCAAAAGAACAACTGTCAACAACAATCCATTAAACTATGATAACAGCATCGTGAAATTAAAATTTCAAACCACTCTCTTCTCGGCCACTGGTAATCTTGAGGCTGACAGATATAGTAACATAATTGTCCTTGTAGAGCTTGAAGTGCAGCACCTATTACTTGAAGTACAACCTTGGATTCACAGCTGGTACTGACACCACACAGTGCATACACTATACACCAATAAAGATATTTTAGATTTTCTTTTCCAGTAGAATTTTCCAGCTTGTTTCTCCTTCCTCATGCAGAAACAGCAAGAGGTCAGCCAGCTGTTGTTGTTTCTGCATGAGCAAGCCAAGGAGAAAATCCTTTTTTTGATCATGGTCGGGGTTTGGGATGGCTAGAATTTAGAATTCTCTTCTCCAGTTTGCTGATGTCTTATCTATCTCTATACATATATACACTTCTTCTCCTGTAGAGTTTTCTGGCTTGTTTCCTCAAGCAAGCAGAAACAACAAGAAGAACACACTTGCTCAACTCTGATTGGCTGAGGGTGGTTGACCAATCATTTCAGGTGTAAAGTTCAGAGCCCGGATTGGCAAAAAAAGTAATCATTCCAGGAGGGGATTATGGTCAGGGTTTGGGATGGCTAGAAATTTCAGATTCTAGTACACATGTGTTGAGAAACATCAGTGTAGCATCAGTGTAGCATCAGTGTAGCATCAGTGTAGAAACATCAGTGTAGCATGTTTCGTGGCACTAAGAGTCTAAGACCCCTCTCCAAACCGGGAAAAGACCGAGTTGAAACTCTACATGCATATTTCCACATGCATATTTCCACATGCATATTTCCACATGCATATTTCCTAGGGGTGAAACAATTATACCGAATATTCGAATACTCGTTTGGATTTTTCAAATATAATCGTACTCGGAATAAATCAGAGTACAGGTCGTCCCCCGTTAATACGAGTCCGGTTAGTACATAAACCCCGTTAGTACATAAGAAATCTCAAGTCCTGGACGAAACGTGGTCACTTCCATACAAATTGTGTCGGTTAGTACATAATTCGTTAGTACATAAACCCCGTTAGTACATAACATTTCTCCGTACCCGCATGCCACCTACCTCAATAGTACATCATTTGTTGGTCTTTTGGCCTTCCAGCGGAGGCACATCGTGTTCTAGTTTCTACTTGTGGAGCTCAGAAATCAGAGCGCACATCACAAACCGACAAAGCTCTGTTTTTCCCCGAGTGACTACCGCAGTACCGGCACGCCTGCTGGGCATGTATCATGTGAACTGTAGAATCTTCGCTGACTGTGACCGTTATAACATAATTTTTATGTTATATCGAGGGAATCAAGAATATCTCCCTGACTAGTCATGGTAGCAAGAAACACTCAGAAAAGTTGAAAAAAGTGAAAATTTCTGGTACACAAGCAAGTTATGTACACTTTCGTTTAGTACATAAACCCCGTTAATACATAACATTTGTCAAGTCCCAGATGTATTAACGAGGGACGACCTGTACTCGCTCATACATGGTACATGCATTTGCCAGAGAAGTCTGCATTTCAGAGCAGCAGTAAGCAGATATTGATGTGCAGACTGTGTGGTGAACACTTGCACACGAGTAGAGAGAACCCAAATGACCCACCAACCAATACACCCGAGAAAAGGACTGCCAATCGGTTCAATCAGGGTTGTATCATGTGATTTTTAAGGCCCTTGGTGCGCGATTTTTAGGATATCAAGAATACTCTAATACTCTAATTTCAGAAATTTTCGGTGCTCAATATTTTCGGTATTAGGACAACAGGCCAGGCTAGGTGAACAGAAATTTTCGGTACAGAGAAGCAGCTCCCTATTGGATTATGTGTGTTAGTGTTTGTTCAGTGTATTGAAATTTTAGGTATGAAACAGACGCACCGAAAGTACCGAAAATAAAAGTACACCAACAATTTGTGAAATTACAGTACTCGAATATTCGATCGGAGAAAATCAGAGTACTCGAACTCGGGTTCTCAGTGCCAACTTTCACCCCTAATATTTCCACATGCATATTTCCACATGCATATTTCCACATGCATATTTCCACATGCATATTAAATTTTCCACATTCGGAAGCAAATGAATCGACTCCCATCAAAATTCAAAGCATGGATCCATACACCGCCATACGGGAAGACTCATCCCAGGACGAAAATCTTGCCATCAATAGTGAGGTTTTGCATTCCGAATTTCGGTTCAGCGTTCTTCGGTCATGTGTCGAACATCAAAATGTCGAATTTTCGCACCAACGTTTAGTTTGCAAGTCGAACATGTGTTTTCATTTCGTGAGCTCCAGCATCAGCAACGTCCTGTCCCGTGCTCCTTTTCTTGCTGATTCTAACGAACTTTGATCGCCCAAAGAGTCGAGGACCAAAACCTGCCGCCTCAGTCGCCTCAGAAAACCAACTCCATGGCCAAGTCAAGTTTTATGCGTATCGCCATAGTCTTTTCAGCCACACAGGTGACGGTGAGGACACTCCAGGCGAAAGGGAGTAGACAGGCAGTGGAGAGAAGCAATCAGAGGTAGCTGACGATGTTGATGTCACCGAAGACGCCTGCGAAGCCATGCCGAGATAAGAAACCTCTTTGAACAAATCACGCACTAGCGCTCTTCTGTAACAGAATGCATCCGAAAAATATTTTTGACAAGGTGAGCTTTTCCGAACAAACATGCCGAATCTTCGTGTGCATTTTCGACTTTGCTCCCGGGGATCCCGCGTGCCGAATATTTTGCCGAATTTCGGAATGCAAAACCTCACTAATGCGTCACATTTTCACCCGGGAATGACTCGTATCGGGATGAAAAGCGCCATCTAAACAAGCCCTTAGATTAATGATGATAAACACTTGTGTTCCATCCCTAAACCGGAGTGAAGTCTAAGGAGCCGTTTACATGAGAAAAATAAGCCCGGGCTTATTCAACCCTAGGCTCACAATAAGCCCGCCTTGATCTGTCACCCATTCATTTTAGAACGCGAGTTTACATGGTGAGGCGGGCTTATTCAGCTCGCCCCGAGCTGAACTAGCCCTGCCCTTGACCCCCGAGCTTATTGAACCCCCAGGGCTTATAAGCGAGTTTTTCCGTATTATTCGATTTTGCCTCGTGAACCAGAGAGGATGTCGCCGTGGATAGTGGGTCTCCTTTGTTCCTTTCTTGGCATTTTTTCTTCTGAGTTTTCTTTCAGTGGAAGGTCCTAGCCGATCCTTCACCTTCTCGAAAAAATAAGCGACAATCGGAAGGCAGTAGTCTGTAGAAGCATGAGCCGGCACTTCTTGATTCAAATTTCATCATACACGAACATTTACCACTGCATTCATGTGCGATTTGAAATATAAAATGCGCGCAGAACTCGCAGTCGCTCACCTGAACTCAGCCCCGTACAACCGTCATGACTGTAAACGGTTGAAAATAAGCCCGAGGCGAATAAGCCCCTAAGAAGGCGATACACATGATATTTGACTGCATACTGTGCATAGAGGGACAAGAACTGTCACAGGGAGTACTATAAGAGAGTGATCAACAGGTCTACATGTACTGGTCAGTGAACTGTCACAGGGAGTACTACTAAGACAGTGATCAACAAGTCTACATGTACTGGTCAGTGCAAGCAATCATCTATCTTACTTTAGCAGTCGACGTTTCTGCTCTTTATTGAGTGACGCTACAATAGCCATATCATCAGACACCCGCGAGCCGTCCTCTTCATTGTCATCATCACTTATAATGAGTTCCTGATGATCACAACACACATGTACATGCACACACACACACACACACACACACACACACACACACACACACACACACACACACACACACACACATGCACGCGTGCACACACACACACACACACACACATGCACGCATGCACGCATACACACACACACACACACCTTGAACCTTGAACGCCCATTGCCGTAGCAATGATAGCGATGGCTTCCTCACGCTGAGGCTCTAAACTCGAAATCTGCAGTATGGCGCATGCCGCTTGAGGTCACCAGGACGACGGAACACTCTGTCACAACGGTAGTTGGGGCACGGGATGTCTGGGGCTTCCTTCTCGACCCTCTGTCGACAACACTGAAACCAGGTGGATCTCTCCTGCGCTATGTCATACCAGTCCGCTTCAGGCAAACCGACGACAGCAAAGACATACACACGCACGCACGCACACACACGCACGCACACACACGCACGCACAAACACGCACGATGTACGAACATGAACATTGTACAGTACAGTAGAGCCAGTCTTAACCAGGCATCTCAGTACCGAGGGGGGGGGGGGGGGGTATCAGAATCATTCGCAACTAGGAAACACGCAAAGATCAGAGCCAATCTGGCACATCATTCTCTTCAGCAGAGCTCCCTAAATGACATCACTACGATTTGGCAACATAGACAACAGGAGCTGAAGAGTATGACCTTTCATACTAGAACATAATATTATTTTTCAAGATTCAATAGCAGGCAAAGTGCCCGGTAGAGGAGGCATCCAGATACGTGCAGCGGGGATACGGTTAGAAGACACACACACACACACACCAGCTAAAACTAAAAGACTGAAGTGTGCAATACAGGCCGAGCTATGGTATGTAGGAAAAATACATGGCGGTGCAAACATGGGCAAAGCTAATGCTGGAACACTGACTGTGTATTCTTACAATATAGCAAGGCTGAGCAAGGCTACATGTACAGGCTATCTTCTAGCATTGCTTATACTACAGTGATTGCTGCATCTAATCGGAGTGAAGCACGGCTGACCATCTTCCTTTTAAACACATACTAGCAAGAGGGTCGACAAACAACATACCTGACCGCGCTGTGCAACATTGATGACACCACCATAGAGTGAGCGGTTGAAGGCAAAGCCATCGTGATGCATCTCCCGGATCAATTTCATTGGGTCAGCTCGGTGGACTACAATAACACACATGACAATAATACTACTGTCTTAGTGGAGAAGGGCGGGGGGGGGGGGGGGGGTAGAGCACAAAGAACAATCTAGGATGTACAACAGCAGCAGCAGCAGCAACAACAGCAGCAGCAGGACAGTAGCTGCAGATAGGTCAAGCTACTTCATTATACCACTATGTACTTCTGAAAAGTTAAATGTCAAAATATTCCTCCTACTCCAACTCCTCTCCTGGACCAAATGACCAAATGGGTCAATAGTTGAAAGTGAGTATACTAGTAGATAGCATTCAGCTGTGCTAAACCAGTACAGTGTGCTAAACCAGTACAGTGTGCGCAACCAGTACAGTGTGCTAAACCAGTACAGTGTGCTAAACCAGTACAGTGTGCTAAACCAGTACAGTGTGCTAAACCAGTACAGTGTGTGCAACCAGTACAGTGTGCTAAACCAGTACAGTGTGTGCAACCAGTACAGTGTGCTAAACCAGTACAGTGTGCTAAACCAGTACAGTGTGCTAAACCAGTACAGTGTGCTAAACCAGTACAGTGTGCTAAACCAGTACAGTGTGCGCAACCAGTACAGTGTGCTAAACCAGTACAGTGTGTGCAACCAGTACAGTGTGCTAAACCAGTACAGTGTGTGCAACCAGTACAGTGTGCTAAACCAGTACAGTGTGCTAAACCAGTACAGTGTGCTAAACCAGTACAGTGTGCGCAACCAGTACAGTGTGCTAAACCAGTACAGTGTGTGCAACCAGTACAGTGTGTGCAACCAGTACAGTGTGCTAAACCAGTACAGTGTGCTAAACCAGTACAGTGTGCTAAACCAGTACAGTGTGCTAAACCAGTACAGTGTGTGCAACCAGCACAGTGTGCTAAACCAGTACAGTGTGCTAAACCAGTACAGTGTGTGCAACCAGCACAGTGTGTGCAACCAGTACAGTGTGCTAAACCAGTACAGTGTGTGCAACCAGTACAGTGTGCTAAACCAGTACAGTGTGCTAAACCAGTACAGTGTGCTAAACCAGTACAGTGTGTGCAACCAGTACAGTGTGCTAAACCAGTACAGTGTGTGAGATCCAGCACAGTGTGTGCACCAGGACAGTGTGTGAGATCCAGTACAGTGTGTGCAACCAGTACAGTGTGCTAAACCAGTACAGTGTGCTAAACCAGTACAGTGTGCTAAACCAGTACAGTGTGCTAAACCAGTACAGTGTGTGCAACCAGCACAGTGTGCTAAACCAGTACAGTGTGCTAAACCAGTACAGTGTGTGCAACCAGCACAGTGTGTGCAACCAGTACAGTGTGCTAAACCAGTACAGTGTGTGCAACCAGTACAGTGTGCTAAACCAGTACAGTGTGCTAAACCAGTACAGTGTGCTAAACCAGTACAGTGTGTGCAACCAGTACAGTGTGCTAAACCAGTACAGTGTGTGAGATCCAGCACAGTGTGTGCACCAGGACAGTGTGTGAGATCCAGTACAGTGTGTGCAACCAGTACAGTGTGTGAGATCCAGCACCTAGCATTACCACACCCTGCTGCAGTCAAGTAAATAGTTCACATTTAATGTTCATGGTTAGCTGTACTAGAAACAGAGCAGAGCTCAGCAGCCTTTGTGTAGAAACAGAGCAGAGCTCAGCAGCCTTTGTGTAGAAACAGAGCAGAGCTCAGCAGCCTTTGTGTAGAAACAGAGCAGAGCTCAGCAGCCTTTGTGTAGAAACAGAGCAGAGCTCAGCAGCCTTTGTGCGAACTAAACCTGCGTTACAAGACATGCCAGAAAGTGTCATGGAATAAATAATTAATTTGACAATGCAGCAGTTCTAGTAAGAGTGACAAACGTTACCCTGGCAGTGAAACAACTGATTTTCACACCACAAAACTGCAGCAAAAAGCCTTACTGAATCTGTCTTCATCGCGGGGGACATTGTACATTGGGCACTAGCATTGAACACACACACGTGCACACATACACATACACACACCACACACACACACACACACACACACACACACACACACACACACACACACACACACACACACACACACACATCCGCAGACAGACAGACACACACACACACACATCCGCAGACACACACACACACACACACATCCGCAGACACACACACACACACACACACACACACATACACACACACATATGCAATAGGTTTGCCTGAAATGCTATAACTTATAAGAATTAATAATGATAATGATTGAATGTTGAAACTGATAGGAATGAGAGCTGCACTGCACATGTACATGTATATCCCCCTACTCAAATCACTGAACTAGACAATACATGTACTACATGTAGTAGTTAACATGCTGATGCGTCGGCAGTTATATTAATATCACCGATACTTTTTCTTCAACAAAAATGAACTTTGTAAATTGGGAGGGAGGATACTCCATGCTGTTCTCTTCATCAACGAGTTTGAAGTTGGAATATGGATGGACGCTGGAAATAAGATTGAGCCAATAGGTAGTGTACATGTGTTTGATAGGGGGAGCGGGTACAAGGAAAACTACAAATGTCCGCTCGGAAAATATTGGTATACGGACAGGCCCTAAGGCTGGGTTCCGTTATTAGTATAGTACTAGCTTTATTGCCTTTTCTGCTTCAAAATCTATCAGAAAAGAAACTTTAAATACCATTGTATTGAATACGGGGGTGCAGGCAGGCACAGTGGGTTGGTCTAAGACCATGATTGTGAAACGAGAGGTACCAGGTTCAAGTCCTGCTTGGAAACGGAAGGATTTTTCCAACCGTGCTGCGACCCACAGTTAACCCTTTATGTACTGATTTCCAGCGCAGAATGAAGCAGAGTTTGAATTTTCAGCACAATTTTCACCTTCAACAGGCTATAACTTGGCCTCCTTCGCTCCATTTCCACAATCTTGGGCTCTTTGGAAAGCTCCTGGCGAGAGAAACGCCAGGATACCAGGCTCCATCAACTAGCTGCCACAAATCAGGCGCAGGAACACAGCAAAGTCGTCTCCAAGCCCAATATGCGAGCAAATTTCCCCATCAACGCCATTCCACTCTCCTCTATCGCAGAAAGCTCAAATCTTTTCGAGGCGATTCAAACTTCAGCCAACTACGTCACTATCATGTGCTGAGTTGGTCAAAGAGCACACGAAAAGGGATTTACCCCTAAAATGGCGAAGAGATCGATAAAAAATTTGAATTTGCCGAGACAAGAATACGGCGCGCGATATCTCTGGGTTCGTACATCGTAGCTCTTCGGCGATTGTTGCATTGGAAAGTTTGGAGTTTCCGCTACCAAATAGACCCTTCGATTGTTGAATTCGGACAAGAAGTGATGGAGTTATGAAGGTTTTACGGATCGATCATGAATCGATCATATGTGATCGATTCACGTTAGGGCTGCAACGAATATTCTATTTCACAAACGAACGAATACTCATCCATAACGAATGAATAACGAATATTCTCTCAAAATGCTGAATTATCTCTTACACCATAGCTCAGTGGTTAGAGCATCGCTGGCTACAAGCGAGGGTCCCTGGTTCGAGTCCTGGTGGTGACAGTCGATTTTTTCTTCAGACTTTTCCCGTTTGTCTCTTTCCCTCAAAACCAGTTAATATTTTATGACTTGGGGCTCCCCGCATGCTAGTTTGTACGTGAAGTGTGTGGGTACAGTGAGGGCTGCGTCCCACCCGCCTGTGTGGATTCACAGGACGTGTGAGTTACGAAGTCTAAAGAAAACGTTGAACGGTTTCTGCTTGGATGACGACTACACCATAGCTCAGTGGTTAGAGCATCGCTGGCTACAAGCGAGGGTCCCTGGTTCGAGTCCTGGTGGTGACAGTCGATTTTTTCTTCAGACTTTTCCCGTTTGTCTCTTTCCCTCAAAACCAGTTAATATCTCTAAGGTCGAAACAATTATTTAAATAGGACCTAAATCGATTTTTTTTGTAAATGAATCGAATATTCTATACCAAAAGAATCTTAGAGAGAGTTTGGCTAGTCCCCAGTTGTTCTAGACCAAGTAGATGTCTGGTGGAGTCATGTCCACTACTCCTGTGAGTCATAGTCCCCTTTCTCAACACATAACACATATCACTCCATCCGTTCAAGAATTACTACAAATTGATCGACAGGAGCAGAGTGTGCGCACGTGTCAAAACGAACGAATATTCTAAAGGGGAAAATATTCCTTCCATCGGGTATCCTAACGAATATCAATCGAATATTCGAATATTCCTTGCAGCCCTCATTCACGTACACACCGTACATAAAGGGTTAATTGGGAAGAATGGGAACTCGTGGCCTGGCATGAGTAAAACATGGATGTGGCAAATGGGATTTAGGCCTTTGGCCTCTGGTTGGTGGATCTGATCTATCCTCCCCCACCGTCTAGGAGCCGCATCTGACGCCTGATCATGGGGTGGTGGCGTCCCACGGAAGCGGAAAGGTGGTTCTTGACCAGGGAGTTGTACGACTCCTTGTTCTTGACCTGCCTGGTACGCGAACCCGTCGAATGAATGATGATGAATACGGGGGAATACGGTCCTGGTTCAATTACTGTGTGTAAAGTGTAAGCAAAAACAGCTCTTGTGAGTTGTTCACTTACAATTTTGTCAGTGTTAGCATGACCCCACTTGCTACAGCGGTAGCACTGTACGTGCCGTTTACTGCCAATGTACTCGGGCTCTGCTGATGCCGAAGCAACTGCGCCACTGAAATTACACATGCAGACAAGCGTACACACACACACACACACACACACACACACACCAACAGCGATGGTACCCCAGGTACAGCAGTGGTGTTGTTTATGCGATTACCGGCAAGTCACACAACATGTGGGAGTAGGAAGTAGATTTTGGCCGGAGCTTTTATTAGTCTAGGTAAAAGTACTAGTAAAAATCTGTTGCCGCAGTTTAGGCTGTTCATGCGGGTAGCGCCATGCGCCCGACAAGATCGAAAATCCGACTTTGAAATCGGTGCACTTCCTCTTTGACGCTAACACACGTTACTTACTCAAGGAGATCACTGTCGAGTGGGAAGATTTTGGCAGGGGAGGCTTTCCAGTTTCCACACGATGACGATGCAGGTGTATTACAAAATAACTGTTTTTTTTGCGAGGCAGGCATCAGAATCAAGAATGATGGCGTGTCATCTCCCGGTATTTTACTATTCCCTGGTTTTAACCAAAATTTCCTGATTATACATGTAGGCGAAGACTGTTTGAAGTGGTGGTGGATTATTCTGTGAGCAAGCTGACATCAAAATTGAGTTTTGCAGCACTTAGCTTTCGCGAAGTACTACCCACTGCGAAAATAGAGAAACGCTCGCAATGCACAAAGTCTTCCAGGTCCTAGAACATACTGTCTAGGTGGAAACCCATCAATCATGGTTGGTATGTTCCTGCACTGACCACACCAGTAAGTCAACTTACTCCTTATCGGTGATAGCAGGCACTGATTTCTTCTTTTCTAGCTTTAGCCTTGGCAAGCCATCCGGACCTAGCTCCGGATCTTCCTCCTGCCTCTCCATCTCCTCTCTCTTCATACCGGGTGGTAGGTCATACATGAAGTTGAGTTGAAGTTTGTCACGACCACCACCAGCCATTTGTTGCCTGAAAAGAGAGAGAGGGTGAATGCAAGAGAGACAATAAGGAACAAATCAAGTCACCAAGGGCAACCAGCAAAGTACTGCTGAGTGCGTGAACACCACTCAGCACATTGCACTCAGACCCTACAGTCAAGTCAAGCCATACCTACACACACCTAAAGCTGCAGTATCTCAACAAACCATGACCACTTCAGTGCCAAAAAGAATATTCCATTCCTACCGATTGCGATAGAGCTCCTGCTCCCTGTCATACTGCGTGCGCATGTTGTCTTCCTTCTCCTTGGAAAGCCGTGTCTTTTCCTCGGCTTCCCATGCCTGATGGGCGCGCGCGCGCGCGCACACACACACGCATACACATACACACACACACACACACACACACACACACACACACACACACACACACACACACACATATACGCACACAATTACACAAGCTGCCCATAGTAGGGTAAAAGAACTAGTTGATGAGTTTCCACTATTTCCTCCCGATACCGCCATTACGCGCAAAGCCCATCAGCAAAATGTACAAGAAAGGAACCTGCACCTTCTCCAGTTGCACCTATAAACACAGCATGTTCTGCATGTTCTGCCAAGGGACACACTAAGCAACCAAATGACCTTCCCATGCCTCAGCTTACAAAGCCACAACCTCCTCATATACAGTTGTCACCAGTTGGTGAGAACTCTCTTTCCACAATCTTTACTCCAATTCATGTTGATGCTTTGAATGAAAAGCTTGTATGTCACCCTGACCGCGCTTTAGTTAATGCTATTGATCCGACTTGCGCTTTGGCTGCCGTATATGTTTTTCCGGGTAATCGCTGTGCTTCAGTAGTTTCTAATAATCTGACCCCTTTGGTAGACCCCCTTTCCTACCGTTACTGCACACAATGACCAGACAAAGCCGTTGGCCCGAGCACTACCCATGATAGTTCTAGGCCTGGAAATCTATTCCATTGCTATGGAGATATGCCTCCCAGCAAACAAGCTCCAGTATTTGCAGACTAAAATAAGTGGTGAATCTTTTCACACTGCTCGAAGCATGAGCTACTATCATTGTTTGGCCTACTCTTTCGGCATTTGCAGAAAAGGTGGTGACAGCGTGTCAGACATTCTTGCGCAGGCTCATTGAACTCAGCTTGTCAGCCGCTGGCCTGAGAGGCACAATATGTTTGACCATGGACCACAGCCACGCAGGAGGACATTCGCTGGTGGCAGGACATGCTCCTGCATGGTGGCGCTCATCCGGAATAAGAAGGTATGTGTTGTGTTTGTGAGGATTTGAGCGTTGAACGATTTCACTTTGCTCATTACGCATAGATTACGCATATAACCAGAGTCGGCAGCGCTGATGCACTATCACCAGGGCAGCTATCCTGATTTCCAGCCTTGGCTCCGGAGGCCGAGACCCTGCCATGTGCTCTATTGAGCCAGGTCTGTCCCCGGGGAAAATTGCGATTCCGCGGCCGCGTTTTTTTCCGCGTTTTTTGCGATTTTTTAAAAGACCGCGTTTTTGAACTTTTCTGTTGCACTACACGTACACACAGTGCACTGTTCGGTCAGCAACGTCTCATCCGGTGGCGGCTTTGTACTCAAATATGACGAGCGCTTACACCAGAGACTTGTAACTGATTGATTTCACTACATACTCACTGAAAATTGCCTCATATCAACTGCAAACTTGCCGCCGCGAGATGATATCAATAATATTCACCGCATATTTACCGCAAATTCACCGCAAATTATGCCATATTATGCCGCGTTTTTTTGCGATTTTTTTCCGCAATTTTCCCCGGGGACAGCAGGTGGCTCTTTCTCTTACGCCGTTTTGTTAGTGAACATGCCAGGATTGGCCCACACTGAATACGTGGGCTCAGTGTCATATGGTGCCAAAATGAATCCTTTTTCTTCCACTTTCCTTCTGACCAGGGAATAATTTATTTTCAATCGTTTGCTTAGCAGTTTTGCTATGCAAAATCAAACTTGAATAGCAATTCGAAAATGTTGCATAGCAATTTTCTTCAACACTTGACAACATTGTCCTTCCTGCAGAGCTGATCAGAGTGCAAGCTCATGCCACAAGTACACTGTAACACTTTCGTTGCAAGCCTATCCTGGTGCCAGGATGCCTAGCTCAGCACTTTCGAAGCTCCGTGCATCTATCTCAACCCTAATAGACACACCTGGCATGCACACTGTGCATCATAGGGTACAGTTGAAATCAACGGGCATCGCAGTTTTCTGCGACACATATCTGCAGTTGCTTCGCACCTCAGAAGAAATTGCGTAGCAAATTGCAATGCGGTGCACGTTAACCGTTTCTCTCTTTCTCTCTTTCTCTCTCTTTGTACATGTATAATTATACTGTATTATATTCCAATATTCATCTTCTCTTGTTTTACATTTGCTGGTCTTCCCTGTGCGGCAGCTACACATGTAGGGGAGAAGCTCTTTGCGATTGAGTTTGCTTGTCTCATTACGCCGTTGGCGTTGGGGCATTGTTTTGGCTGGTACCCTAAAGCTCACGTGGAAAACTTGCTGCGCCGCAATCAGGGTCATTTTGCACAGTAATAACTTACCATTTTGATATTCCTGAAGGATCCAGGATGGAAATCCTTCTTGTTCATGAACTTCTGGAACGACATGATTGTTCTGCCGATCTCACAGCACTGTTTCTCTGGAAGAAAGTTTGACGACTACTACCGGTACTAGCCTGTCAATAGGTCACTATCAATTGCTATGAACACTTCGCTCTTCGCTCTCTACAACACAACCTTCCAAAAGAAAGAGCTACACTGTACCCCAGTCATTCATTCACATACACAAGGCCAAGCAATGTTCGAAAAAATTGTTTTTGGGAGTCTATGGCCCTATGGCCCAGTATGGGCTCTATCTCAGCCTAGCTCTCGATCTAGCTTTTCAAATAATATTTTCATCCTCATCGACGTAACGATGACGCCATCGTCTTTCATGCAAATATTATGACATCATTAATTTGTCCTTGGAAGTACATGATTGTGTATTCAGGTTTGGGTAGACTCCCTGGTCAAGACTCAACTAACTTGGGCTGAGCCCATAAAAGCATAAACCCCAAGAGTTATGTACACTTGATATCATTATCAAGAGCACTCAGATATCTACATGCCCCAACTACTTTGCTTTCTAGATACATATTACCCTCAAAAGTGGTGTTCCTCGCACGCGTGCACGAGAGACTTACGGTGTTTGTACAGGATTAAATGCATGGGCATCTCGCCAGCCCCAGGTCAAGGATACGTGAGTCCATAAACAAGAGTGTGCAAGTGTGGTTATGTGGTGCAATGGCTGCCGTCATTACGCACCTTACGTGCCTGCATCACACGCTATACCCATAGCACACTCGCACCCACAACCACTTGTACCAACTCAATTCGTTAGACAAAATTTCATTTCAAACCAGAGAGACATAGGCTGTGTTTACATGAAGCGTTTCAACCCAGGTCAGATTTCAACCCGCCATGTACACAAAATGAATGGCGCGTGACGCATTGCGCTTGATCCGGGTTGAAATTTCGCCCCGGGTTGATTTGGGGGGAGGGTTGAAATCAACTCGGGTCAAGAAAATCGTACAAACGTACTTCTGTACGTATCTCGCGCCAGGTTTGAACAGCACTGCAGATGCAAATTTCGCGCGAACGGATTCACGTGACCATACAGGACTGTAGAAGTGGACTTTTGGCGGCATATCAGTATTAGAGCCGGGTCAACTGTCTTCATGTAAACGCTCACCTCTTTTGTCTGTCGTACAGACTTTCAACCCGGGCTGAACTCGACCCGGGTTGAAATTTCTCATGTAAACACAGCCTTTTAGTGAGCGATATTTTGATCTTCTGCAGTTTGCAGATTGTGCAGTGTGTAGCTGCATGAGGTAATGAAGGCAGCGTGCCACAAAGCCAGGGCTGAGGCAATGTACCAAATGCACAGTAATAATTGAGTGGATATGATACAGTAATAATGTCACATGTGTGTACAGATCATTCTGCATACTGTGTGTATGGAACATTGGCCAAAAGCTGGCAATACATGTAGCTGTATGCTGTGCTAAACGATGCAAACCAGGCAGTATGGCGTTGCTGTACTTCGGAATGAGACTCAACGATTACACCAAAGCCACCTTCAGGTCTGTTCCAAGGGTGGCAAGCACGGGTATATACAATAAATCAACCACTGAAGGGGGCATGCCTATCAAATTAGAAGGTTTTTCTTAGGTATGAGTATGGGTTCTATAACACTGTGGATATGTGCATGAAGAAAGTAGAAATCAAATAAGAGGGAAACTAGAGTATTCACAAACCTACTACTGTAAAAGTAAAACCCAAAAAAAGAGGAGAAAACGGAGGGTCGTGGCAAACTCGGCCATTGGAGTGAGCGAAATAAAAATTGTTCAATTATACTGTAAGAAAAATACTTCATAACAGCAAATGGCCAGATAACAGCACATGGCCAGATGCAGCAGGCTGCAGGCAGGAGATGAAAGCCAATGCTTTCAAGAATTGCGGTAAGACAGCCCAGCTGCCATCCTGGATGTATGCCGCTCTTCAGAAAATTCAAGATTATACAGGCACAGGCACATGGACTATTCCTCCAGCTGGGATGCTTTCATCTCACCTTGGTGGTAGCAGACACAGAATCGTTCTTTGGACATTACTGTGAACGAATCACCACACGGTGACCAGCTAAGACGTTGTGCTGGGAACGGTACTGTGTGAAGTACAGGACAGCGGTGCAGTGGCAGAAGGGCAAACACAAACACAAACACCACCACATACATACACACACATACACAAACACACACACACACACACACACACACATACAAACACACACACACACACACACACACACACAAACACATACAAACACACAAACACATACAAGCACACACAGGACACGGCACAGTCAAAACCAGGAGGTTAAGCATCACTAATTATTATTTCCTTTTCCAACTTGCCCCTGGATTTCCGATTCATAACAAAGTGGGGTGCAAAAGAGCTCCAGATATATCTGTACAGATGTACAGATGTACAAATGTAGTACAAATGTAGTACAAATGTAGTGTGAATCATGCAAACACCATACAGTACTGCCAGGCGCCGAAGAACGGAGCACACGCCGAAGAACGGAGCACACGCCGACACCGATATACACACGGTGACTCAATGGTATACCGGTATTATAAAGACTGTATACTGAGTGTATAGTATTACTGTAGTACATGAAAAGAAGAACGGCCTAAGCTACGAGGCTGACCCCTCAGTTCTTCGGCACCCGGCAGTACTGGTGATGCATAATCTTTCTTATTCCCAGGGCAGCAAGAGACTTTTAAATACTATGGATAAGAAGTCCCAGTACATGCGTGTCCGCAAAGAATCGGTCGGCTTGAAATGTGTGTAGTCCTGAGGTCGAGAATGTTGGTGATAGATGGACAATGAGTTGAGTTGTAATTTATGTACTTCAAGTACTCAGAGTAGTGCCTTGCTATGCACGCTTCAGTGTTGTCTTGCTTTGGTTCGTCTTTATTCAAAAGAGTACTTCGAAGCATATTGAAACCAAGCAGTAGTAAAGGATTTTACTACTCCGTGATTGAAACTTGAAACAGTACCAAGACTGCACTCTGTCGTATGCTGTGCCTGGAGCAAGCCAGGCGCAGGCCAGGCAAAGCAGCAGCTGCATGTACATGCATGAATACAGCTAACTGTACCGAGCAGTGAATGGAGCCAATACACAGCCGCCAGGACATGTCTGCTTTCGCAGCATTGCATTACAGGCAGAATGAAGTCAAATGCAGGGCATGCAATTGCGCACTATGTACTCACGGTCTGTTGGGATGCTGGTGCTTGTACAGCCAGCCGGTGACCAGATATACACATGGCTAGTGCCACTACACACGGCCAGTTCAGTGGTGACTGGTGACCATTCTAGACCTACAGCAGAAAACAATGAACGACGACGATGACGACACAACACTCTCAGCATAAATGTCCTAATAAAACTCATTTCAAGGGAGATAGAATTCTACTCTGGAGAAAGGATACAGTGTTACATCGATGGGATCATGCACTGTGGCTTACATGCACCTGCCAATCCACTTTAAAATAATGTTACAACCTACAGCACTGCAAGTAGCAGTGGACAACACCGTTACGGAGTAGGATGATGGTGGCTATATGGACTACCAGGATGCCTACAAGCTAAAAGCCATTGCAGAATGTGTATGCACTATGTATGCATGCTAGGTATTGCTAGGTATTGCTAGGTATTGCTAGGTATTGATGCCAGGCATATATGTAGGACTCAGTGAGCAGTCACGTCTCGATGACCGATCACGCTCCCCGTGACCAATCAAACAGTCACAAATCCCCGAAGAGCAGTCATAAAGTCACACACCAGTTTGAATCCCGATGACCAGTCACAAACAGCCGCGACTTTCTCTGTGAACGGTCACAGGATCCACGTCAAAATATTACGACTCAACTGTGGCATTCACGCGTTCAGCATACTTTTTTCCTTCACAGGTTTCAGAAGTGAGCAAGAAAGATTTCGATCAACTCTCGATCTCCGCGTAGTTTACTTGTAGCTCGAGTCTGGTGTGTGTGGGCTCCTCTCCAAAACGAAGGGTGGTCGAAAATCTTGCAGGCTTCAGATAGAATCTCTTTTGAGAGGACGTTCTGGCTAGTAGGTTGTGCTATTCATCATATTTGAAGAACAAACTTCGTCGTTCAGAAAAGCTATTTCGGAATATTTTCAGTCATGTAATTTTTGCATGCCGATCTTGCTAGAGCAGAGACTGACTTCAACTGATCCAGCATGCAAGCAGCACTCGATTTGTGTTTTTGGAGAGGATGGGTGACAAGATTACGGAGTCAGAAGTGGACATCGTCGACGATGCAGAGACGAAAATATAATGAAGATGGAAATGAAAATATGTTCATTTCCAAGAGGGTACTGAGTACATCAAGCACCTTCGTGTGTGTAGCTCTGTCTTTCTTGTGGAAGACTCCACAGAAAAACAATGTCCAGCTTGTTGAAACTGAAACTGCCTCTCAGTTGAAGTCGTTCAGGAAGACATCTATTCAAGACATCATTGATCCATTCTCAAGAACCATCGTAAGAAATTAAATCAAGTCATGTTTATCGATAAGAATGGCGAACTAGACCAGAGAAGTGTGAGTGTCTTGTTTTGACTGCAGGAAACTGTATTTCAATATTGTGGCTCAACGTAGTGCTTACGCAGTTTACTGCTTCGAACACATCTTCATTTCTACTCCCAAAATAACTCTGTAAAATAAATTTATTGATGCAACATTATGCACCATGGTCTTTCTCGTTGTGCTGCTATAACGTGTATAAGTACATGCATACGAGTACTGTGTACCGTTTACTGTCTCCTTGTCAGTGTCTTTGGGCGATTCTCCACACCTTCATTTGTCTTCCAATTATTAATTTTATAGAAATATTCACTCACTTCAACTTCTTTTGATTGCTGGTGCGAATGTAGCCTGCGATGCCTGCTTGTTAGTGAGAGTGCACCAGACATGTATCGATGTGTATGTCTGACGAGATGTTCTTGAACTGGCATGCTGCTTTGCTTAGATAAGGTTTAGAATTGGGTGCTCAATGGCCTGGAGGAATTAATCATGTTTGCGATCAGTATCACCAAGAGTACGGTTCTTCCGTCTACGCATCTCTTCTTGGCTTGTGGATTGGTTGAAAAGAGATAAAAATAATACAGAAGCACTTGTGTCCAAGTGTCGTCATGGAAACAAGTTCTACCTCCGTAACTTTGTCCGCAAGGTCACGTGAATCTAGCTGGTAGTCCCGCTGCCTATTTGTGTGTGTGTGTGTGTGTGTGTGTGTGTGTGTGTGTGTGACTCTACAGGAGTCGGTTAGGAATTTTGTAGCTCTCATCGTTTGATTAGTTTTTGTTAGTTTTCAGTTCTCAGGGACGGCTCTGGGCTTCCAGGGTCGTCCCTGGGACAGTTCCCAGTAGAAGTCCACAGCGGAAAGTCAGCAGAGCAGATTACAGGACGAACTTCGGGTGTCGTCACTCTGACTCTGTTTTCCGCTGTTGGACCCATCGCGAGGCCTTGCAAGCCCGCGAATGGAGCCATCTACCGCACGCAGTAGGAGACGAAAGGAGTTTACCCTGAGCGTTGGGACGTGGAATGTCCGCTCGTTGCTGGAAAGTGAAGGACCCGTCCAAACAGCATCCACTCGACATCAAGTGGCTGACGACAAGAAAATTTATCGGATAATTCAAATTTTCAAACGTCTTGGATTGGAAATAGTTTGTCTTCAAGAGACCTACTGGCTGGATAAGAACGTTTACAACATCGACGGAGCAGTGCTAATTTCGTCTGGAAGACCTTCACCTGGCGAGGGAGAGTCGTGTCGAAGGGGTGAAGGTGTTGCGATTCTGTTGCTGGGAAATGCAGCTCGCGCGTGGCGTGACGGCGGTTGTCAATACGACGCCCGCAGCTCTCGGATTGTGTCAGCGCGATTGAAGTTTGATATTCATGGGTGTTCACCGGTATGGTATACTGTCATCTCCGCATATGCTCCGACGTTCGCCAGCAAGCGAATTGCCAAGGAACAGTTCTTTGCGGACTTGCAAGCGACTTTGCCACGGATGGGCACAGAAAAGTTTATTCTGTTGGGTGACTTCAACGCCAGAGTTGGATCCCGTACGCATGCTGACGCTGATGAGTGGTCACGTGTACGGGGCCCACATGGAGTGGGTGAGATGAACTCTGCAGGACGTGAGCTGTTGGATTTTCTTGCAACTATTCAGGCGATGGTGTGTAACACATGGTTCTGCAAGACAGAGGATAGGAAGTGGACCTGGCAACATCCAAGGTCAAAGAGATTTCATTGTATTGATTTTGTCATCACGTCACAAGCTGACTACCACCAATGTATTGATGCTCAAGTTATAAGAAGTGCGGAATGTGGGAGCGATCACAACCTGGTGGCTGCGCGTTTTGTAGTAGGCCGTCTGCAGCGCCGCTCGCGTTGTGTGCAAACGAAGAAATGTAAGCGGTTTGATGTTGCACGTTTGAAGGATGTCCACAGCACTGACTCATCTGGAAACATCACACGAGTTGCTGATGTCTATCGTGAATGCCTCACAAACAGTCTGCAACAGCCGAATGAACATACCACCGTTGAATGCAAATGGTCGAGGTTGCGCACCGCGGTCACCGAGTCTGCAGAGGAGACCCTCGGTTTTCAGAAACGTCGTCAACCAGATTGGTTTACTGAGAGCAAAGATACCCTCGAACCCTTGTTGAATGAAAGGAATCAGCGATATCAAGAATGGATTTCAAGTGGCAGGTCTGATGACACGTGGAACAGGTTCAAGGCTGCCAGGAGTAAGGCAAGAGCTGCTGTCCGCTCTGCCAAGAACTCCTGGTTCACCAACAAAGCCAAATCTCTTGATGGTGCACGGTTTAGTTCCTCACGGGTGTGGGCATGTGTTAAGGATATGCAGGCTGCCAAGCAGGGATTACGCCCTGTGTCTACTACCGCTATTAGGGATGCAAATGGCAACATCTGCAAATCTGTGGAGGAACAAGGTGGACGATGGTACCAACATTTCGATGGCGTACTCAACATCCCTAGCACATTTGATCCATGTGCCATTGACGAAATAGACCAGCAGCCTATCAACCAGAACATCGCTGGCAAGCCGGATGCAGCAGAGGTGGCGCGAGCTATTCGACAACTCAGCAACGGCAAGGCCGCTGGCGCCTCAGCTATCCTGCCTGAGTTGGTCAAAGCGGGTGGTGAGAGTTTCATGGAGGCACTGTTGGATCTGTTGCACCATGTCTGGGATGACGAGGCTGTTCCGCAGGAATGGGTAGACTGCAACCTTGTGCCAATCCCAAAGAAAGGTAACCTCTCATTGTGTGATAATTGGCGTGGCATATCACTCCTGGATGTTGTTGGGAAAGTTGCTGCTCGAGTACTTCAGTCCAGATTACAGATTATTGCGGAGAATATTCTACCCGACTCCCAGTGCGGCTTTCGTAAGGGTCGATCTTGCACAGACATGGTGTTTGCAGTTCGCCAAGTCCTGGAGAAGTTGTACGAACATCGCTGCCCGGGATACGTTGTCTTTGTTGATTTACGTAAGGCGTACGACTCAGTAAACCGTGAATGCATGTGGCTGATTCTCGCGAAGGCAGGGGTCCCTAGTAACATCGTAAACATCATCAAGTCGTTTCACACCTCCATGTCGGCTACTCTCTCCATCGGGTCAACACCCATCCAACCCATTGCAGTGAAGAGTGGTTTGCGGCAGGGCTGTTGTATGGCACCAGTCTTATTCAACATATTCATGTGGGCTGTTTTCCAGAGATGGTCCAGAGTGGTCGAGCATGTGCCTGGTATCGGCGTCCCGTTGGCATTCAATCCTGGGGGCTCGCTTTATTTCAAGAGAAAGCGTACTGACGATCAGACTACCATCAACGACTGCCAGTTCGCTGACGACTCTGCACTGTTTGCCACTACCCGTACTGCTGCTGCTCTTGCTCTGGATATGTTCATCGATGTCTCGTCTGCATTTGGTCTGACCGTCAATCTGGACAAGACCAAATTTATGGCGGTTGGCTATGGTATCACGGATGATGACCGACTTCCTCTTCCTGTGAAGAATGGCACATTGGAATGTGTGCGTGAGTTCCGATACCTGGGTGCTGTTATCCATGATTCTGGCCGATCTCACAAAGATGTATCGACCCGTGTTTCATCTGCCTCCCGTGCTTTTGGAGCGCTCCGTCATGCTGTCTTCAATGACCACAATCTCTCTCTGCGCACCAAGCGTCTGGTTTTCGAGGCCTGTGTTCTGTCCTTACTGCTCTATTGTGCGGAGACGTGGGTACCGCTGCAAAGTGATGTGCAACGGATCACGACCTTCTACTACCGGTCGCTTCTTTCCATCATGAGTGTTGCACAGCGGGATGTGTGGGACTTGAAGATAGCCAAGGACACCATTCTGAAAACATGGAATGCAGCAAACCCACTGGATATCCCCGACCGCCTCATGCAGAGAAGACTGGAATGGCTTGGGCACGTGGTACGCATGCCTGAGGAGCGGATGCCGCGGATGTTGTTGTTTGGCACATTGCTGCCACCACGCCCAGCGTGTGGCCCGCGGAAACGATGGCGAGACGCAATTAGGGTCGACCTGCGACGAATAAACATCGCCGACGAGTCATGGTTTGACACAGCGCAGGAACGATCTGAGTGGCGGCAAGCTTATCGAGCAATACAACCAGCTCAGAAACCGGCTCGGGAGATAGTCTGCGAGGTGTGCCGGCGTGCATTTGCTCGGCAGCAAGATATCGCCCGCCACAAGTGCATCATGGAACGGCGTAAACCAGTCCAGCAGCAAGCCAACAGCCGCCAGTGCTCCCAGTGTCACCGATGGTTTCGGAGTGCGGGTGGCATTGCAGTCCATCGCTGTGTCCAGTCCAATTCTGCCCCGAATGTTGCCAATGCCACAAGCTCTTCACCTGTACGCCTATGTATTCGGAAACCGTGCTGTACCGCTCACTGTCCCATTTGTGAACGCTGCTGTAAGTCGATCCGGGGCTTTGCTATCCACAACTGCAACCGATCCACCAGGCGCCCAACTGCTGATGAAAGGGACAAGTTCCAATTGCAATGTCAGAATTGCCGGAGGCGTTTCAAAAGGCGAAACGACTTATCCCGTCACCAACGCTCATGTCTCCTCTCGTCTCCGTCTCGCTCAACGAGAAACACGTGACCTACATGGCAGTGTATACCAGGACCAGGACCAGGTGTGTGTGTGTGTGTGTGAGTAGGTGTGCGCGCGCATGTGTGAGTGTGTGTGTGTGTGCATGCGTGAGAAAGAGAGTGTGTGTGTGAGAGAGAGAGAATGTGTGTGTGTGAGATTTAGAGAATGTGTGTGTGTGTGGATGTGTGTGTGTGTGTGTGTGTGTATGTGTGTGTGTGTCTCAAACTCTCTCTTCTACTCTCCCCCTGTCTCGGGGGCGGCGTGGCCAAGCATTTGGCAGCTGTACACCAGGCCAGGTGTGTGTGTGTGTGTGTGTGTGTGTGTGTGTGTGTGTGTGTGTGTGTGTGTGGATGTGTGTGTGTCTCAAACTCTCTCTTCTACTCTCCCCCTGTCTCGGGGGCGGTGTGGCTAAGCATTTGGCAGCTGTACACCAGGCCAGGTGTGTGTGTGTGTGATATTGAGAATGAATGACATATGTGCGTGTGTGTGTGAGAGAGAGAGATTTAGAGAATGTGTGTGTGTGTGTGTGTGCGTGCGCGCGTGTGTGAGTGTATGTGAGAAAAGGGAGAGAGTGTGGGTGTATGTGTGTGTAATGGTGTGGGCATGTGTCGTCCCCAGCTCTATTATTATGTCATTCACGCTGGAACTGCTGCTGCATAGCCCCAAGTCTGAAGACTTGGCAACTTCACGCCTGCACCTGACTCTTGCACTATAATACCCGTCGCCTATGATACCTGTCAGAATTTCCCACCTTGCTCCCCCTTATGTTCAGGCTGCCCGTTTAGGAGCCATCAGTTGCCTGACGATCGTAGTAATACGTGAAACTCAGAGTTGTGACAAAGCCTCTAATCTCTCTTGTAATACAGAAATACCTATATTCTGCCTGTGACTACTCACAGAGAAAGAGTGGTCACAACTGTACATTCCGCATGTAACTGTTCGCATGGAATTATAGTGGTCACAACTGTATTCTGTGGCCGGTCATAGGGAATTATAGTTTCCACAAAAAATCCTGCAGTACGAAGCACCCTGCGAGCAGTCACGAACTGTGTACTTTACACATGTACATGTATGGTGATTTGTGACTGGTCATGGGGCATTGTGACTGGTAAACTAATTTGTGACTGGTCATGGGGGGTTTGTGACTGTTTGACTGGTCACGGGGACCGTGATTGGTCACGGGGCCTTGACTGGTCACTGAGTCCTACATATATACCACTGTCATACTGTAACTCACAGCGAACAGGTGATGTTTGCATCAGCAATGCCACTAGTGTCAGCCTCAGCATATCCCAAATCCACACGGTGTTAGGCTGGTTGTCTGCAACACAATACAGCAAATACAGTGCACAACAATCACACAATACAGCAAATACAGTGCACAACAATCACACAATACAGCAAATACAGTGCACAACAATCACACAATACAGCAAATACAGTGCACAACAATCACACAATACAGCAAATACAGTGCACAACAATCACACAATACAGCAAATACAGCGCACAACAATCACACAACACAGCAAATACAGTGCACAACAATCACACAATACAGCAAATACAGTGCACAACAATCACACAACACAGCAAATACAGTGCACAATAATCACACAATACAGCAAATACAGTGCACAACAATCATAAGAGCAAATTTTAAAAGAAAGTTGGTTGCTCGGAATGTTTGAGCTAGCACTTTGCCCAGTGACATGAGGTAACGACTGACTCATGACTGGCATTCATAGCACATGACTGGCATTATTCATATCACATGACTGGCATTATTCATAGCACATGACTGGCATTATTCATAGCACATGACTGGCATTATTCATAGCACATGAAACGCCCATCCAACCTTCGACTTGGCAAACCTTGTGCTCGTACACATCCATGGGCGACATTGACTTACACTGTCTGGTATTCACCGAGGTGTTTGTTGCGGAAACGGAACGTCTCGTAAGTTTCTATCACTGGTGGTGTTTGGGCCGGGAGAGTCGTACTCTGTTCTATCATGGGTTGTCGGAGTTGTCGGATGATTGCCCTGCGGCATGAAACTCGGAGGAACAACCAACCTGAACGGCCTCCGCTGAGTCGGCTATGTTCTAAGCTATGTTCATGACATTGAGCACTCTTTGCAGCTCAAGGCGTCAATCGATTTGAGTACATGTACCATAAATGTGATTCTTTCCAGGTGCGAACTTCCTCGGCCTAATCAGTCAAGTACCAAGTCAAGTCGATGGGTAAAGCACTAACTGAAATGTTGCGAGCAACCAACGTTCTTATCACTACAGCCGGGGTTACGACCACTAACTTGCAACACCAACTTACTCTGTATAATGAGTCGGCATAATTCAGTACAAGGCTGATTTTGCAGACAACACTGTGCATATCCCACTAATAGTACGCCATGTTAGCCTGGCAGTGGATGTGTAAGTGTTTTGACAGGTGTACACCATTTCGCAAACAAACACAATGATTACTCAGTGTTGCTACGCCTAGCTAGAAGCTACACGTGCACACAGTACGAATGGCCAAGCAGCAGGAGAGAAAGAGATACACAGCGCTTACCATTGCGTGTAGCAAGGTAGACAGAGTCCACACTAAACTTTGCAAGGCCCACACCAAGACGTGGGTTGGGCTTCTCTGGGTCGGGCTTCACCTCCAGCAAACGAACACGACCAGTGAAGATGTCATCTAACACACGGACACATCATGAGGAGGCAGGATTAGTTTCACACGCTGATGAGATCTTTCATCAGGTGCTTACGCTCTACTGCAGTGCACCAATCAAACTCCAGCTACCGCCACATCGCTATGGACACCGTAATGGGTGTACAGTATGCACCACACTCATTGTATATAGTCAAACTTTACTATGCCAACTCCGAGGGACAGAAAAATATCTGTCCTTTGCAGCCGAGCTACTCTACATGTACTGGTATACAGCCAGACCTAGCATAATCGCACACATCCGTTTTTCAGAAAAATATCCGGATAGGCGAGGGAACCGGATAATCGAATACACATTTGTATTGTATGCATGACATAAGCTGTAAATCGGTAACCAACGACCATTGCGTGTAGCAAGGTAGACAGAGTCCACACTAAACTTTGCAAGGCCCACACCAAGACGTGGGTTGGGCTTCTCTGGGTCGGGCTTCACCTCCAGCAAACGAACACGACCAGTGAAGATGTCATCTAACACACGGACACATCATGAGGAGGCAGGATTAGTTTCACACGCTGATGAGATCTTTCATCAGGTGCTTACGCTCTACTGCAGTGCACCAATCAAACTCCAGCTACCGCCACATCGCTATGGACACCGTAATGGGTGTACAGTATGCACCACACTCATTGTATATAGTCAAACTTTACTATGCCAACTCCGAGGGACAGAAAAATATCTGTCCTTTGCAGCCGAGCTACTCTACATGTACTGGTATACAGCCAGACCTAGCATAATCGCACACATCCGTTTTTCAGAAAAATATCCGGATAGGCGAGGGAACCGGATAATCGAATACACATTTGTATTGTATGCATGACATAAGCTGTAAATCGGTAACCAACGATTTTCTTCCGGATGGCGAGGGATCCGGATAAATGAGGACCGGATAAGCGAGGTCTGACTGTATCCAAAGTCAAAGTCAGAGTCCTCAAAATAGTACTTCTATCTCATAGTACCGTACTGGTAATATATGTTGCCGCAGTGAGGCCATGAAGCGTACATTGGCACATGTTTGCCGCACGCAGGGCGTTACATGCAAAGTCGCACAGGAGCCGTTACACAGGTTTCTATATTGCCGCAGTCCTTTTTTTGCTATTGCCGCATCACTTTTTTGCTATTGCCGCATCATTTTTTTTGCTTTTGCCGCATCATTTTTCCTTTTCAAAAAAAAAAGATCGCCGCACCCCGCCGGACGCGCGTTACGAACTCAACGAAAATTTGTCGCACTAGCCTGTTAGCGCGTTACGCCGCACCCCCCTTTGTTACGCGTTACGCGGCCACATATATTGCCAGTACGGTATGTTACAGCCAGAGCACTTTATTATACTGAGCTGGTTCACTGTATTGCACATACACATATACATACAAGCAGTCCCGGAGAGTGACACTACAAGTGTCACATACACATATACATACAAGCAGTCCCGGAGAGTGACACTACAAGTGTCACATACACAGCCGTAGCAGTGTACAGCTACAATAAAACCTGCTCTAACCGGACGCCCTTGGTTCAGCGGAAACTGTCCTGATATGACAGGATCCCGCTAGATCCAGGGATGCACGTTAGATCCACAGGACTTTGGTGCATGAAAATGTGTCCGGTCAATACAGGATGCCGCTTGGTACAGGGTCCGGCAAACACAGGACTTCTACTGTACATGTCTTTGCAAATCGGCCGCGTGTGTCTGACGCGTAGATCTATGGAGCACAACTTCAACCACCACCAACGCTGGGTTTAACCAACATCAACTACCGGTAGGTTACTCAGAATCCGCAGCTGTCTGCCATAGATCATTTTAAGGATAAACTTGATGAAATCAAGCATACATGTCTCAGGGATGAACATTTTATAGAAAAGGTCTTATTCTCTATGCACTGGCAGACCAACAGCAATGTCAGTTCTGAAGCACTTATCGATGCCTGACAAAAACCTCTCACAAGAGTTCCTTTCCATTCAGTACACCGGAACTTACATCTGCTTTGCTGGCGATGAATGCGCTGACGCTCTTGAAGTGTTGATGTCATATCGATAGGTGCTTGGGGTCCATCAATTACCACTTCCTGATAGACAACCTGTGAGAAAACATCACCGGTATTCATGTCAAGCACAGACACCAACTAGTGAGCAATGTGCCATGAACAGTGGTATGGATTAATTCAAACCAATGAAAAATGAAGAGGCACACTGTTTATCCATAAACACATTGAGTGAGATAGGAAAGGAAAAAACCTCAGAGAGCATACACAAGGAGCCTGCCTGTGGCTGCACTTACTGTTGTGCTTTTCTTGGGTGAGAACGATGTTGGATGGTCAAACTCCATGCTAGGTTTCCAGGTCAGGTGATTAAGCAGCCTTACCTAGCCATGGGGAAAGGTGGAAAACAAAATGGCCAGTGCATTGTGAACAGCATGCAGCACACGTATATGTACTATCAGGTGTACATACACCCCAGTGTGTGCAACTACACGGCAGTTTCTTGTACAGCTATGTATGTACTATGTATGTACTATGTATGTACTATGTATGTACTATGTATGTACTATGTATGTACTATGTATGTACTGTGTATGTACTATGTATGTACTATGTATGTACTATGTACGTAGTATGTACTGAAGTATATTTGCAGGCTACATCTGTTCAGCACGGCAACTTGAAATCAATGAAATGGGAACTGAAGTTGACACAAGAATAGAAATATCCAAAATCCTACATGCAGGTTAGCCTGGGTAACACCATTTTAACATCAACACACTCTGCCTCACTCCGATAGTACAGATGCCTGGCATGTATCAAAATAATAATTATACTTGAATGCGTCGTGAACAAACCAACTCGGAACTCAATCAAATCTCGCTCAAATTCAACGATCCAAATATCCAGATCCGTTCTAGAAAACTCCCTGAGAAAACTCCTGTCTGCTGTCCCTGCTGCTGTCACGGGTAGGTAGCAGTAGTCTGTGAAGCGCTGCGAGCAACGCTTCTCGAGATAAACTGCTCTTAACGCTTCTCGAGATAAACTGCTCTTTAGATGAGCCGCAATTGTGGCAACTTCAAAGGTGCGCAGTGCGACTTGAATTATAAGAATTTTGAGACTTTTCGTGGCGCTGATTTACTCAAACTTGCACGGGTTCAACTTGAGATATTCTCACAAGTACACATCAAATTCGGAACTCAGCGACCGAGGAAAATGAAATGGCTGGAGCAGGCCACAATTGGACGCATTTGGAGCATTTTTCAGACAGCCACTGTTCTCTAGCGCTGAAGGTACAGTATCCTGGATATCACGGTCAACCTCATTCTCTTCCTCTCGCAGAGACCTATCCAGGAAGCCCACAATTGTGAAGACTGAGGCTGCGTTTACACGACAAAGCACGGCCAGTTTTCCGTTTTCAGTCCCGCATTTCTTTTTTCGTTTTCGTGCGTTTACATGACCAAAGCTGATCCGAGGTTGTCTCGGTTTGTATCGTTTTCGCGCGTCTACACGGGAGCAAAGGATCCGCCAAAGTTCGTCATGTGCCAAGTGTTGTCGTGGAAGCACCAATCACACTCAAGTTATAGTTGAAAACAGACCACACGACCACACTCATCACATGACGAAAATTGTAAAAACAATTGTTTTGATTGTCGGATCCGTGTAAACGACCGAAAACGAAACAAACGTGACGGAAAATGAGGCCAGTACACCGTTTCGACTGTTTATACACCTAAATTTATCCGGCAGAACACTTCCGTTTTCAAATTCTTCCACCTTGGCCAGCGTTTTGGTTTTCTTCCGTTTTGGTGTACAACTTTTACGTTTTGCTCCGCGTACCGTGTAAATGAACCATGCATCCGAAAGGATTTTTGTTGCGTTTTCACCCCCAGCGTTGTCGTGTAAACGCAGCCTGAGGGAGCAGAGCTGAAGCCCTGATTCAAATAACCTGTCACAGCTAGCACTAGCACCGCCACCATCAGCACTCAGAGGAAACTAACCTTTTGATCGTAGCAACCAATGGCACAGAACTGTCCAGAAGAGGACCAAGACACGCTCTTAATAGCCAGCGCATTATCATACGCTGAATAGGTGCCGAGACACCGACCGTCCGGTGAGTAGAGTAGAATCTTGAACTGAACAGCCCACAGCAGACCAGGGGAGCGGTAGAGCAACGCACAAAGAATAAGTATACAGAATACAAGCGGCGCATAATTTCGAGGGCAGAAGCACATGGGTTCCTATCAAGGCAATGCACATGAAACAACACGCCATTAGGTATCGCTAGAGTGTGTACTCCCAAGGAGGGGTCAATCCAAGAAGTTTTGTCTGGAGCAATTCATGATGAGCATATCCCTCAGGCCACATTTGCAACACAAAAATCGGCCGCGTTTTCACGAGTATCCACAGCAAACGAGCGGTCCCGCAAATAACTGTTACAAAATGTAGCCCCGAAAACCCCCCGCACATAGTGCATTTTTTCGAAACACAACCCAAAAAGAACACCAAGAAGACATCCAAATCATATATCTTGTCCACTTGTGCAAATTCAGCCCCCCCCCCCCCCCCTCCCTCCCTCCTTCTTCCCCCCCCCCCTCTCTCTCTCTCTCTCTCTCTCTCTCTCTCTCTCTCTCTCTCTCTCTTGTGCGTGAGGAGATTTCACTCAGCGGATAGAACTATTCACTATTGGCCCCGAATTCCCCATTCTATACGTTTCTGTCTGTCTGCCTGTCTATAAGAGGAAAGTCACTGCATCATTGTACAGGGGGTGATGTATGCGTAGTCACTTAGTCACTTAGTCACTTAGTGCTGAAGGAATCTTAGATATCCACTGGTCGAACTTGAGTTACATAGACTTACATTGACTGGTGAATCCCACACAGCCAATAGGGATCCGTCAGGAGACCATGCTAGCCCACTTGAGTCACGCGTGTCCACGGCAAAGTGCTATACCAGCAACAGGTGTGAGCATGCATGCACACATACACGGACAGTGATACACACACGCACACGCACAAAACACAAAAACACATACACACAAAACACACACACACACATACACACACACACAAAACACACACAAAAGAAACAACATTGGACCTGAGAACTAAAACTCAACTGCTTTGAGGAGGGAAATAGAATACTAAGAATAGGGTCGATTTTATATTGAGAAAGTTCCCTCTACTTCCTCTACTTCCTCACCTTTTGCTGTTTTTTCTTTTTTTGTTTTATTCAAAAGCCAGGCCCCTTCAATGGCCTTTTCAATTTTGTTTTTTGGCAGTCAAGGCCACTCGACTCAAGTCTTTTTTTTGCTGTTTGGGAGTAAAGGTCGTGATTGTGGAAGCAGCGGAGGTAGCTGGGAAGGTGAGGCAAAGATGCCCCAGGGAAATCCACAAGGTGCTCTCTTGATACTGCCATCTAAATCAGATCACATGTATCGTAAATCAAAAAGATTACTATGTAGTGTATCAAATGAAACAGAAGTGGTCAGCATGAGACGAGGGAACTTTATAAATTTTCTGGTAGCTTCGAATATCAACTGTGTCACTTCACGTAAAGTCTACCCCAGTGTATCAAGGAACCTAAGTAAGGGATTGCAGACAATCTTTCCCAATTATTGGGAAAGAGTTTGTCACCTGGAAAAAGGCAGCAGTACATTCCTTATAGTCTTATGGTGCATGGTGCATCTCGCGACGGCACAATGACGAACGTCGCAAATCACATCGTGTAAATCGTCCCGTGTATTACACGTGTTTATTGGTGATTCCTGGTTAGCTGCTGGGTTCTCCCTACTTGAAGATGTTGCCACCGCAAAGTCTGGGGGTGGTGGGGAGCGGCTGTTGTTGGCAAGTGTGTCCGTATTAGTTTCGCTCTTACAGCGTCGTAAGTGCCTGAACGTCGGAGTACTGATGGTAGACGTTGCTGGCAAGGTCGCGAAGTCTGGAATTTTGTCTGCGTCCTGGTGTAAACCGTGTTTTGATCCTTTGAGGGAGACGATAGATACATTGGATCCGTTGAGGGAGACGATAGATACATTGGATCCGTTGAGGGAGACGATAGATACATTGGATCCGTTGAGGGAGACGATAGATACATTGGATCCGTTGAGGGAGACGATAGATACATTGGATCCGTTGAGGGAGACGATAGATACATTGGATCCGTTGAGGGAGACGATAGATACATTGGATCCGTTGAGGGAGACGATAGATACATTGGATCCGTTGAGGGAGACGATAGATACATTGGATCCGTTGAGGGAGACGATAGATACATTGGATCCGTTGAGGGAGACGATAGATACATTGGATCCGTTGAGGGAGACGATAGATACATTGGATCCGTTGAGGGAGACGATAGATACATTGGATCCGTTGAGGGAGACGATAGATACATTGGATCCGTTGAGGGAGACGATAGATACATTGGATCCGTTGAGGGAGACGATAGATACATTGGATCCGTTGAGGGAGACGATAGATACATTGGATCCGTTGAGGGAGACGATAGATACATTGGATCCGTTGAGGGAGACGATAGATACATTGGATCCGTTGAGGGAGACGATAGATACATTGGATCCGTTGAGGGAGACGATAGATACATTGGATCCGTTGAGGGAGACGATAGATACATTGCGAAGTACGATCTTTTCGAAAATCAGCGAAGAAGAAAGCTTCGCAGACAAACCTGGCGCCTAGTCGATGCATGGCTGGGGACAATAACATAGCTTGCTGGTACATCAGTTAGTGCATAAGCGATGATACAGCGACGATTTGGCTCGGATTGTGACGTATGTTTCGTCCCTCCTGGACTCGTCAGTCAATCATGAACGTCTTCAGGTGGAGCTTGATGTAGTAGGATGTAGACTCCACTGCAGCATCATAATTTAGAAGAGAAATGCCCTGGCAAAATGGCGGTAAATACACGCATACATACGCAAAGCTCTCTCAACTACAATGTTTGGCAGAACGTTGTAGCTTAGAGAGCGCTGCGGGGCAGGCGTGTATTTACCGCCATTTCGCCAGATGTATTTTAACAATGTCTTCTCTGTTAAGAGTAGAGCTCACATGCTCTCTTCCATTAATACTGCAATAATTCAACTCATTTCACAATATTACGACGTTTCGGCAAATTGCCTTCATCATCTCTCCTCTTAAATGCTTGTTACTATTGTAATAAAGCATGGTTACCATGGTTACCGCACAGTTAGTACTCTTCATTGCCATATTAAAACTGATGTCTGCGTTCAAAAAAGCCCCTGTGCAGCACTTGTGTGCATACGTGCGTGCGCGAAGCAAGGGGTCCGCGGAAACCTTCATTGTGCCACACAGGCTGTACCATTAGTGTGCAATCATGGCCTTTCTTCTTGACAAGCAAAGCTGAGGTTTTTCGATCTTCAAATCGCCATAGTGTCATAGTCCTTGTCATGACTCAAAATCAGCTGAAAGCCAGCCTGAAACTTTGCAGGAGGAATGAAAATGCCATGCTGAATCGATTGATACCTTTTCGGAAAAGTTTCCTAGAAAAATAAAAAATAAAAAATGATAATAATCGACGTGGAGACAACAATTTTATAATAGCAATAAAGAGAACAAATTCTGCAGTCATCGCCACACTACAACAAAGTCATGAAAGTTTACCAGAATTAATTTTCTTGTCACATTCATCAGTGGAAAGTCGTTTTCCTTACAGCGCTTTTAGTATTATAAAATTGTTGTCTCCACGTCGATTATTTGCATATTTTAAACGGAGATACTCTAGGAGTCAGGTTGAAATCCTGAATGATGCTCTGCGCAAACGCTACTTGGCTAGAAACATTTCACATAATATTATCTTTTTGAAGCGCTGTAAGGAAAATGACTTTCCACTGATGAATGTGACAAGAAAATTAATTCTGGTAAACTTTCATGACTTCGTTGTAGTGTGGCGATGACTGCAGAATTTGTTCTCTTTATTGCTGTTAAAAAATGATAATGAAAAATTTAGCCTGCACTGAATAGACCGAGTGCACAATGATTTAAAGTGTGTACAAAGTGTGTACACACTTTACACACTGAGGAAAAATTTGAAAAAAATCCGTGGTTACCATGGACATTTGCCGCTGTGCGGGAGATTTGAGAGATTTAATCCACTCGATGAAAATCAGCTCGAGGCCTCGCTTTTCCGCTGAAGATTATAATCACCCGCGGGTTCCACTGGATTTCTTTGAGTTTCCTTGTTTTTTTATTGCGTTATGAAGTGGAGCGACACTCTAGAGGCTGTGCTGATTCAGCTCTGGCCCAGGAGCGGGGCTGACAGACTGCCAGAAGCGAATGGTGACAAAAATATTGCTCGCGTGAGTGAGATTTTTGTCATTGTGCGTATGCAGTGTGGCCGTGATGAAAAGCAGAAAAAATTATTCCCGGTTTATAATCTGAGGATTGTTCCCTCAATGTGACCGGCCCCTAAAAGCTTCAATCTTGTCCAGAAAATTTGTACGGATGACATCAAAATGAGAGCGGGCACACAGTCTGCATGTACGTACAATTTAGTATTGCCATCTTCTAGTGGAGCTTATAGCTAACTGTTACCTTGCATAGCTGCCAGACATTGCAATCAAATACACTGACGTAGTCCTTACAGTCACGGCGCTCAGCAAGGGCAAGATAGCGGCCATCCTTAGAGAAGTCCATAACTAATGGGAAGACAGGAACAAAAAATGAGAGAGATAGGAAAAATGTGACACAGTACGCGTGCGCGCGCGCGTGTGTGTGAGAGACTGTGTGTGTGTGTGTGTGTGTGTGTGTGTGTGTGTGTGTGTGTGTGTGTGTGTGTGTGTGTGTGTGTGTGTGTGTGTGTGTGTGTGTGTGTGTGTGTGTGTGTGTGTGGTGTGTGTGTGTGTGTGTGTGTGTGTGTGTGTGTGTGTGTGTGTGTGTGTGTGTGTGTGGTGTGTGTGTGTGTGGTGTGTGTGTGTGTGGTGTGGTGTGTGGTGTGTGGTGTGTGTGTGTGTGTGTGTGTGTGTGTGTGTGTGTGTGTGTGTGTGTGTGTGTGTGTGTGTACCTGCAGTTGGACCCCGGGACGGATACCTTGATGCCGTCAATCCTTTTTCTGCACCTTGTCCTCACCCACTTACTGAGGTGTGGTGAGCCCATAAGTGGGATCATTTCAAGTCCACCCTAGTTTGGGGATTTCAGGGGGTGTCGGCCGTTGGGTGGTTCAATGGCCAATTGTTTTAACTGTTTTAAGTCTCTCTCCCCTCTCCCGGGGAGACCCACGTGACCAGTTTTGGCAGTGAGCAAGTACAAGTAAGTACAAGTGTACAAGTGTGTGTGTGTGTGTGTGTGTGTGTGTGTGTGTGTGTGTGTGTGTGTGTGTGTGTGTGTGTGAAATACCGGTACATCAAGTAGTTGTGGACGAATACGAATATCTTGGCGCACCTGCCAAGGAGAACAGGTTGAAGCTGGCAGAGTGTGTGGTGAGGTTGATGCTAAACAAAACGGTGGAACAAGTACATATGTTCCTGAAGCTCATTGAACACAGCCAGCCTGATGTAGCTGATCACGTTGCCAATACCATGGCGAAGCGACTCAGTGCAACTGCCAGTGGGAAACCGACCATCCGACGAAGCCAATGGCGGCAGATCATGAGTCGACACTTGGCTCGTCCTCCGTGTCCAGAACAACAATGTGGCGCCATAAGAAAACGCTATTCACAAGCGGCAAGTGAGGCAGGGGGGTTGCAGGAACCAGTGCCAAATATACATGTAGATTCGTTGAACGAACAGCTGATAGACACGGAAGCCCCTGAAAGAAAGGAAGCACAAGAGACGTTCCGTTTGACAGTATTCTCCGACCAGACAACCTACCCATTGGATGAGCGTGGTTCAAATGCCATACACAAAGTGGGATAGGGTTGTTTGCTCACAAATCATCGATTGTCCGAATTTGGAGTATAACCCATATCAAGTCCTTTACGAGGAACTGAATGTGAGGTGGACTTTATTAGCAGATTACTGGACTGAAGCTATTGGCTGCTGCAGCCAGCAGAGCAAGTACCGGCACAGCCAGTACCAGCACAAAGAGCACCAGCACTATAGAAAGGCATGATTGCCAAGTGATATCAATGTGCTGCTTTGTGAGCATCGTCTAGTACCCTACTCTGGTTTGGGTACGTTGCATGTACGGCATTGTACGCGCCCAGAGTGGATACCCCGGGAAGTTATCTTCAGAGAACTGAACTGTTGCACACTCAAACACGCCATGGTCCCAAGAAGAGCTGGCGAGATGTCACTGTTGATGACCTGCATACCGCGGACATTCCAGTACAGCAGTGGTAAGCCATCACACATGATCAACCAGACTGGCGACGGACAATCTTCAGTGCAACATGCTGCGGATCTAGATGATAGCACTCTGCCCGATTCGTCTGCGTCATCATCGTCTCGTCGTTCCCTGTCACGGTTCCAGATCGGCACACATGTTGATGTATAAGATCACCGCACCAAGCATTGGCGTCGCACTGGTGTGATAGTTGGAATCGGCACGCACCGAGATTACCATGTCTGGTGGCCCAGTCGCACTGGTGTAATAGTTGGAATTGGCACGCACCGAGATTACCATGTCCGGTGGCCCAGTGGTGGTGTATACTGGCGCAATCATCGATTTCTGCGTCCTCGACTCTCCCCAGTTCCTCTTCTATGTACTGCTTCACCGCAGGTACCGGATGAGGCCGCTCCCGTTGTACCTCCGCCTCGCCGTAGCAAGCGGAACAAAAACGCTCCGTCCCGTTTGAACATTTCTTCGACTCGTGGACAGTCGTATGATCCCTAAATTGCCTTGAAGCTCGTAGTTTGCTTCAACTTGTTATTTCAACACATACACAGTCTTGATTGCGTCTGTGTGAACATTGCTTGTTTCGTTTTCTTGCGTTTTTGTGTTTGTGCTCACATGCAATGGCACTTATGTATTATTGGTTGTTGTTGGATCATGCTGGCACTTATGTATTATAGGTTGTTGTTAGATCATACTGGCTCAATTATCTCAGTATAATCTCCAAGGGACGTGTGATGTACTTATTTATGGTGATGTGCACAGATTTATGGAATGTACACGATATCATGGCCTATACCAGCAGTTCCGATGTAGCTCCCATCAACCGTGTCCTCTCAATTGCAGTGTCCGGAGTTGCAAAATCTCTAGCAGACAAGGGGTTAATCCTCAACCCGCAGAAAACCCAGGTTCTGGGCATCTCTGCTGGAAGGCGGAACAGCCTAGAGCTTGCAGTTACATGTCGTGGCACTCCTCTGGCTCAAACCAGCACAGCCAAATACCTTGGTATTTATCTGGACGAGCGCTTGAGCTGGGCAGGTCAAGTAGCTGCTGTAGTAAAGAAGGTGTCCTACAAACTCCGAGTCTTGCGCCACATCAGAGCAGACATCACCCGTGCGCAGTCTCTCCTTTACTATACAGCTCTTATCCTACCTGACCTACTCTACGCCTCGAACGCCTATTCCGCCAGCCTTTCAGCAAGCCTCAAACAGATCCTCATCAGACTGGATAAGCGCTGCATCCGCTGTATCACAACCCAGCCCTCACGTGCCCACACTGTGCAGTTGTATGCCCAACTGGGCATCTGTCCGGCTGATGAGCGGGCGGATTGCAAGTTGCAGCTTCTCATACACCGTATTCTTCACGGCAATGTCAGTTTGCTGCTCAAATCACGCCTGGAATACAGTTCGCTGCCCTGTGCCACCAGACGTCAGGATGCCTGCAATCTGCCCCTTCCCAACATCCGCAGTACTTCGGCATCTCACAGACCAGTATTTGCTGCTGCTAAGTTGTGGAATCTCCCCCCCCCCCCCCCCCCCCCTTTGAAGTCCTGCCCTACCACATGCCGATTCAAGCGTATATTGAAAGTTTACTTTCATGGCTAATGCTAGGATGTTCCCTATCCCGAGAGATCTCTAGGCTCACTGTTTTCTTTACTCCACTTATCCAGGTTATCCTATCTTTTATCCGTTTGGGCATGATTGTCCGTTTGATTTGAAATGCATTACATAAAACAAATACAAAATACATGTACATGTACTTCGGGATCTCACAGCCTCGTATTCCCCTCTAGTTGTCCTGCCCTGCCATATCTCATTCTCACGTACATTGAAAGTATATTTTCATGATCAATGTTAAGAATGATGATCCTTACCCTGAGAGATTCCTAGACTCACTGTTTTCTTCACTCCCCTTATCCAGGTTATCTAATCTTGTTCTCTTTTCTCCCTTTCCATCGTCATCATAACATTGGGCATGAGTGCCCGTTTGACTTGCGATGTAAAACGAGAGAGCTTGGAAGCTCAGGGCCCTACGCTATGCTTTTTTGCCTAGCTAGCTCATCATGCATGTTATTAGAACTGATGGAAATGGTTTTTTTCCATTGATTGGCTACATCAAACTTTCTCTTTGCATTCGAGGGTAATACGACACCGTCTACCACCTTGATGACCTAGGCAAAAAAAGCATAGATTTTATGAATTTTTCACTTCTCCTATTTTTTCTCAAGACATAACCTGGGATTCGAACCCACACTATCGCCCTGCATGCATCCCCCGATACACTACGCATACATACTCATTCTTCCAAGTTGCTTCACGTTATGATGTTGCATTTGAAAGCCCTATTTGAATATTGCGGCCAGCTGTTTGTGGCCAGCTGTCTTTGATGGTACGGTACTGGACAGGTACGGGATAGCGCCAGGCATGCCGATGGCACAAACAAACAAACAAACAAACACCGAATTAAAGCTGTGTGGACCCTGGCTAGCACCAGGCGTTACTGAAGTAACGTCTTTTGCATAGCTACGGGAATAAAAACAAATACAATACGCACGTCACACATGCATATTCTACCATATACCCAGCTCATATTGACCCCCACTGAAAACCTCGGCTACGCCTTGGTTTTTATAGCAGTGTTTATATTCCCATAAACACTACGACATCGGTGTTTATTCTATACGTATACGCACGTGCCTGCGTTCCCGCATATGCACAAACACTCTCCTGTTCAGAGTTGTTCTCTTCCTATCGTGTCGACAATGGTCGTTCTTCTTCTTTCTGTTTCCCAATATCAATGTCGTGTCTCTTATAGAATTTATAGAAAAGAAAAAGGACCAAGGACCTATAAGTTATGCTATAATGTCCACTAACACCACCAGCTACTAAACAATCAGCTCATGCAATAACATTGCACGGCACTGACCGACGGTACTGGCGTTCTACAACTAACTGGCTATCTGCTCTAGCACATCTTGGATGCGCACTCCAACAGCCTTCCAATTTGGAAGGTTCTAAGTTTTAGAAATAACATGCGGACGGGAAGGTGAGTGCAACCAAGATAAGCACGAGCTGAAAGTCTCCCTCCTCGTGTTATTTCTATAACTTAGAACCTTCCAAGTTGGAAGGCTGTTGGAGTGCGCATCCAAGATGTGCTAGAGCAGTTAGCCAGTTAGTTGTAGAACGCCAGTACCGTTGGTCAGTGTCGGGCAATGTTATTGCATGAGCTGATTGTTTAGTAGCTGGTGGTGTTAGTGGACATTATAGCGTAATTTGTAGTTCCCTGGTCCTTTATCCTTGGCTCTCCATCCGAGTCCACTCCCATTGAATCTGTGAATATAATACTGTATGTCCGCACCTTTAAAGCCATGGCGGTATATTCGATTATAAAGCCAGTCTCAGATATAAAGCCATGGGCTTCATAAATAAAATGACATTTGAAGTATGTTTTGTAAAAATGAAGGAATAAGTACTTTGTAACAAACTTACAGCCCAGCAGGAACGGTGAACAAGTGGATTTAGATTGAAATTGTTCTGTGGACTGACTTTTATGGCATGGCGTAGTGGGTGAGTTATTTATCTAAAATATCTAGGAAAGCAGCAGTATTTCGAATATAAGGCCATGGCTTTAAAGGCGCTGACATACAGTAATACTTACCAACATAACCGAGAACTTCAAATTTCAAGGATTAGTCGGGGATGCGAACTGCCTGAAAAGAGAAAAAAATGCCAGACCCACCAGGACTCGAACCCAGGACCTTACTTGTCATGAGCAATGCTCCAACCATCTGAGCTACGGGACCAGACCGAACCTAGAAGGCACTGGCAAGTTTTTTCACTCCAAAGGCAGCTCACAGCACGTGCCACACATACTGATGGCATTTGGGTCTTTTCACTCCCCCAGGGGACCAACCACGGTCAGTTTCTGGAACGTACAAGGTTCAGTCTGGTCCCAGGAAAAATCAAATTTGTGAGTTTTGCATAAAACGCTAGTTTTTTTTCTAAACCGGGAAGAAGTGAGAAACAACCGGTGAAAATTTGAACCCAAAATTCCAAGGCAATCTAGAGTTATAGTTGATCGAAGATTGGGAAATGGAGGCCAAAACAGTCACAGAAGTAAATGCAAGATGTATGTGGACGGTGTGGTTTCCGTCCAGCACTGCACTGTCTCGTGCGTACATGCGCGCAGTGCGCATGCATGTCGTGCGTGCCTACTTGCACAACTAACACGTTTTCACCATCACTGCTTCTACAGTATGTGCACAGTTCACTCGAATTTGTTCGTCCACCACCAGGAAATCGCCGTGGGCTGGTTTTTGTGATCATTTCCCTTAACCGCGATAAAGCGCGAGCCTAAATGTTCTAGAATCCTCTTGTTTTAGACTAATTCAAGGCCGCTGAACACGAAAATCGGGTGTTCCTCGCGGGGCCGAGTACGCATTTGGTCGAAATTAGTATCTCGGGATGCCTCTGCGCAAAGTGCGGCAGTCATTTTTGTTCAACCAAGGCATGCGTGGCATCAATGGAAAGGTAATGACCTCAGCTACCTAAAAATAGCATCAACAGGGGAGTACTGGCCACGGGATCAGATAGAAGCTGACTCGAAGTCAGGCCAAAAAGAGCTGTCATCCGGGCCCTATCTAAAATGTACAGGCGAGTTGTGACTGCATATTGGGCCTGACCTGGGCTGGAACTGACCTCCCCACCCATAGCTCAGATGGTTAGCGCATTGCTCATGACAGCAAGGTCCCAGGTTCGAGTCCTGGTGGGCCTGGCATTTTTTTTCTCTTTTCAGGCAGTTCACTTCCTCGACTGATCCTTTGAAATATACTTTCTTCAGTATAACTGACACAGCAGCAGCAGCAGCAGCAGCAGCAGCAGCATGTGTACAAGACTCAAATGTTACACATGATAACTGGAGTGGACATTATACTACTTACAGCCCTTTGGGTACTTGATGTAGGATATAGACTTATCAAGCAAGGACCATACAACCACACGTAACTGCGCACAAGAACGAAGAAAGAAAACAGAAGAGAAAACAGCACAAGAGCTTACATTTAGCCTAACATCAGTACAGCAATGGCTTCTGCCATTTTCAAATGAGGGAGGTAAGCACAGTCATCTTCCATTAGCCGAAGAGCAGTGCATAGCAGATCAACTGCACATGATTTCCAAGTTTCTCATGCAGATGCAGTCACAACTTACTGTGCAGGAAGAAGAAATGAATAGCCAAAACATTGATATTGGCTTGGAATGATGCTTTGCCAGGCCGCTGAGAAACGATAAGTGGTGGCAAGAGTTCATAACCCCACGACAATGCAACTCTACGCATGCGGTCTGGCGGGGTGCGCTGCCCACATTACGTAGCAACGAACTGTGTCATTTTGCCATTGCATCATTATTGATATGCGACGGTTTCCTGCTTACACTGCTGCCTGCTGTCCCCCAGGTCAGTGATTCCGTTGATCAACATGTTGGGAAAGGCAAAAGATCAATGGCCAACCTGCAACTCATCTTGTCTACATGGCAGCGGTGCTAGCATGTGACAACATAGTTTGCAAATGGCTGATTCATCAACGCAAACAATGCGTCATTCCCTTCCCCACGATGGAAAACGTCAAGAAGTTGAATTTCACAAACTTGCACCAAAGGTCAGTACATCATAGGAAGGAAACAGACAGGATGGGAGTAACACACGGTCACACGGTCATCACCAGCAACACACATTGAAGTCGAGCGTTGTCAGGATGTGGCGCGAGTTAGGTGCCCAGCGAACAGCGATCACACCTGCCCATCCCTCATCAATCTTGCATGCCCACTCTGGCTGCTCAAGTGACCAAACCTGCCAGGGAATTGTAGAAAATACCGTGCGCAAACAACAACAACAACAACAACAACAACAACAACAACAACAACAACAACAACAACAACAGCAGCAACAACAGCAACAGCAACAGCAACAGCAACAACAGCAACAACAGCAACAGCAGCAACAGCAGCAACAACAGCAACAGCAGCAACAGCAGCAGCAGCAGCAGCAACAACAACAACAACAACAACAACAACAACAACAACAACAACAACAACAACAACAACAACAACAACAATCTCTTATTGGCCACTGGTTATCGTGAGAATAACGATTTGAAACAACACACACACACAAACACACACACACATAAAAAATAAAAAAAATAAAAAAAGGTGTTTAGAGTCAGCTTGCTGAGCACATGGAGCGAAGGCTGACTGCATTCCATTTAGGATTGGTGAAGAAAAGTGTTGGGCATACTAGACCTATCCCCGGACCTATCCCCGGTACCATTACATACAGTACTGTTGGGCGCCGAAGAACTGAGGTGTCAGGGTTCTAGCCTAGCCCGTTCTTATTTTTACACAGCAGTTTCGTTCTTATTCGATGGTACAGTCTTACATGTACATTAATGCAGAGTTATACGTCTGAGCGAACACTATAGTCAGTGAGTATAGTGTACATTATGGTTTCCGTTCTTATCTGCAAAAAATACAGCCTAGACCGTTCTTAAAAAATGGTGAAATTCTAGCCTGGCCGTTCTTCGGCGCCCGACAGTACTGTCGCAATGATATAGCTCACTCGCCCTGGTAACGAGTGGTATAACACAGAATGATAATCTTGCTTTGCAACTGTTCTACTGAAGTAGATACAACAAAGTAGACGTGATGACGCGTCAGTCCACCAATTCCCAACAACTCCTTAGTCACAACCGCTGCTGCACAAGATGTGTCAAAGCACGATCAATAACTTCTGTGCACGATCAATAACTTCTGTACACGATCAATAACTTCTGCGCAAAGGACATAAAACCAGTATACCGTAAAGAACTGCGAGAGCGCCCCGTCTCGCAAGAGCGCCCCGTCTCGCGAGAGCGCCCCGTCTGGCAAGAGAGCGCCCCGTCTCGCAACAGCACCCCACCTTGATTTTACAGCCAGGGAAAGGAAAATCGTATGGCACAGTGCAACGAAGTTTGTATGGTATGAGAACCTTACAACAAGTGTACTAAGATCACACTCAGCAGGTTTTTGTGCGGAGCTCATGCCCGCTCAAAGGTAAATTGAGTACGGATTGACTGCCTAACGTGCAATGTTTGTACATGTACAAGGTTCGTGTCATATGACCTACAGACAGGACACCACCTCTACAATACAACCACGAAAGGACGAGATGGTGGGGTGCTCTCGCAGTACTTTACTGTACTTGAAAAACGGCTAAATTAAGCGATATTCAAATTTAGCAATATTCTCAACCCGTCAGCACCACACGCTCTCAGCCGAATCAATGCATGAAGCATAAACGCACCAGCACAGCAAGGACACTTCCGTTGATGGATAATTTGATTCCGTTGATAGATAACAATCGAGCCTGTCGCGTTGGCGGATCTCGGTGGTGAGCCTCGCCTCGCCTGCACACGAGGGAAATTGCACCATCATCGCACTAAGCACAGCATACTTTCCAGTGGCATCATTATTCTCGCTTTATTGCAATCAGTTGAAGTGTCGTTTCCATGTAAGGTTTACGTTGCCTGTATGGTGTGTTCCTCCACCAACGAGCGCGTACAATAGCTCTTCACACTATTCTCACATTTAGCAGCTTGCATATGCCAATGTTCTATGTGGAAACGCACACTTGTTCCATTTCTGCTGAATATCATTCCTTTACACTCCATTGTCATTATTATCATCCTCTACTGATGAGCTCAAAGGAACGAAACAGCTGTCTAGAGGCGTAACAAATGTCTATCAATGGAAGTGTCCTTGCTGTGCTGGTGCGTTAATGCTTTGTGCATTGGCTCGGCTGAGAGCGCGTGGTGCTGACAGGTTGAGAGTGTAGTAAATTTGAGTATCGCCGAAAGCTCTGTCGCAGTATTTAATTGTGAAATTTTAGCGATGATGAATTTTTTTGAAATAGTTTATTTCCTGTGCATGCATGCTGGTACACACGCTATCAAGAGTGCGCAACTCCTGATACCCTTTCTATGAGTTTAGCTGACAGCGAAAATTCACATCACGTGGTGTGGTGGTCCAGTTGTACATTTCCAGCCTGTTTTTAGGGAGCAGGGGAGTAATAAAAAAAAGCATTCTCTGACAGAAACTCACGGCACATAAGCAGCTTGCCAGCATGATCATGGCAGATATTCGGATTGCACGCACGCTATCCTTCGTTTGTACGTAGTACGAAACGTACCTGAGGCACGTGATGTGAGTTTTCGCCGTCGGAGACCCTATATGCAGAGTTGCACACTCTTGCTTGGGAGCTTATTACCGTATTTCCTCGATTAATGGACCATGCTCGAATAATAGACCATGCTCAAATAGTAGACCCTCCTAGAGGCCTCACGGGAAAATAGTAGACCATGCCCGAATAAGAGACCCAGTCTCTTATTTGAGGTCATCGCTTTGCGAATGCGCACTAAGAAAGCACGTGGTGGATCAAAAAAGGACGCGATTTTAGATTGCGCAACTACAATTTTTGTAGTGGCTATTGCTTTCTTTCATTATTTGAGCACGGTCCACTATATTTTCATCGGCACATCGCTGGAAATGGTGGATTTTTAACACGTCATAATATAGAACTTCTACATATTGGACTCAGATGGAGAGCCAAGGTTTAATTTATACAAAAGAAAAAGACCAAGGAACTACAAGTTACGCTATACTGTCCACTAGTTGTAGAACGTCAGTACCGTCGGTCAGTGTCGTGCAATGTTATCACATGAACTGATTGTTTAGTAACTGGTGGTGTAAATAGTGGACAGTATAGCGTAACTTGTAGTTCCTTGGTCTTTTTCTTTTCTATATTTATGACGTGTTGAAAATCCACCATTTCTAGCGATGTGCCGATGAAAATATAGTGGTATAGTGGACTGACTGTGCTCAAACAATGGACCATGCCCAAATAAGAGACCGGGGGTCCAAACCTCTTCAAAAAACAAAAGACCGGGTCTATTAATCGAGGAAATACGGTAGTCTGCTTATTTACCCTTGACGCTATCCCTACGTGTTTGTGCAATCTTTTCGTACACTATACTGGAGTAGAGGTAGCTAGGGGTTGCTCAAGACTTCTTTTGACGTAGAAGTAGTTTTTGGCCGTATGTATGTGCTGTGCGGGTTTTGGGCTTGTCTTGAAGAAACAAAACTGTGGTGGATGCTTACTAGCGATTTTGTTGTGTTCGTGCCTTCGTGGGTGGTTGGACAAGTGTGATTAACAGTACAAGAACAATGGCTGAGCCATCTCCAAAGTGTTTTGTGTCCGTGTCAGACAAAGATGTCATGGAAGTAATTACTGGCCGTGTTCCCGAGGCAACAGGAAAAGCCATGATCGGATGGCGATCCGTTCTTGAAACATTCAACAACAGCCAGGAGACGTCGATAGATTTCGACAAGTGCACCAAAAACGAGCTTTGCACCCTTCTTGCAAAACTTTGTCGCCGTTATGTTGACGTTAGGCGACAGGATGGCCTCTTTTACCAGCGGGCGAGCTTGGTCTGCTTGAGGGCTGCTATCCGACAGATTTTCCTCGAAAGTCGCCAGTGGGACATTATAAAGGATGCAGAGTTCCAGCGATCGCACAACGCCCTGGACGGCATGCTGAAGAAATGTAAGTGTGAAGGTGAGCTGCGACCGGTTGAGCACAAGCTTATCATATTTGATCGCGATTTAGCGAAGATGAAGGACATGTTCAATACGAGTATGGAGCTAGATGTGCTGAATATGAAGGTCCGGCTTTATGTCATGTATCACTTCAGTCTCCGAGGCCGAGAAATGCAACGCTCCGTCAAAAAGAGTGACCTCAAGCGGTGCAAGGATGAAAACGGAAAAGAGTACTACAAAATTGCTGTGGATCTTGCCACCAAACATCACTTTGGCGGCATTGGAGAACGGTTCGATCCGGCAGTTGCTGCGCATTCAAGACCCCGACCAGGTCTTCTTCATCAAGTTCCTGCTGGAGCATTTGAACCCTAACGTTGACGCGTTATTTCAGCGTCCGAAACGCAACCTGGCACAGGGCGCAAAGCTATGGTACGACCATGCTCCCGTTGGCAAGAACACAATAGGGTCAATGATGCAAGCCATATACAAGCGATGTGAGCTTTTGCAGGTGTACACTAACCACAGCGTTCGTGCCACTGCATTGCAAGGCCTGTCAGCGTCTGGAACACCAGAGCGGCACATTATGGCTGTGACAGGGCACAGAAATCCCATGAGCCTGAAGAGTTATGCTGGATAGACTGACCAGATGCCAGCCATCTTAGATGGTGATGCAGCCAGAACAGCATGTACGACCTCCGTATCTGAGCAGTCTATATCTGGTGTCCTTTTACTTATGCATTTAGTTGCAGTTCATTGAGTTCTTTTTCTAAGTTGGAGAGAAACTCCAAAAGGTTTTAAGGAGTCAAACATAAGTGGTCAATTGCTATTCGACTCCTTAGGGGTCGTCCGTAAATATCGAACGCTTTTCACCAAACGAATTATTTTAGTTTGGACCCAACCCCTCCCTCCCTCCCCCTCAGAACGTAAAAATTGTTGACATATACATGCATATACAACAAAAGTCGCAAGGGTGTCACTGCTCCTATGGCCATGTACATGTATCGAAGTTTTCTGAAACGAAATTGGTCAACCCCCTCCCACCCCATAACGAAATTATTTCGTTTCGTGAAAAAAGTTTGATAATTATGGACGACCCCTTAGGGGTCGTCCATAATTATCAAACTTTTTTTCACAAAATGGAATAATTTCATTATGGGGTGGGAGGGGGTTGACCAATTTCGTTTCAGAAAACATTGATACATGAACATGGCCGTAGGAGCAGTGACGCACTTGCAACTTTTGTTGCATATGCATGTATATGTCAACATTTTTAACGTTCTGAGGGGAGGGAGGGGTTGGGTCTAAAATAAAATAATTCGTTTGGTGAAAAAGTGCGATATTTACGGGCGGCCCCTTAGAACCTCTTGGACTTAGAAAAAGAAAAGAAAAAACCTCTGTCTTTTACTCGGTCTATATATCCCGTATAGACCTCCTAGCCGGTCTAAAATCTTAACATATTCCCCGGAAATAACGGCTGCTGATTGGCTGAATCCATGGTTCCCTACCATACTATTATGTCATAAGGCCCTCGCAACCATGCGATAACATATACAGTCAACTTCGCTAATAACGACTGCGGATATAACGACAATTCGCGAATAACGACAGAATTTCCATGCCCAGAGCAAAGTCCCATCTAACTGTAATACATACCGGTATACGGTATAATGAGACTTCGGGTATAATGAGACTTCGGGTATAATGACACTTCGGGTATAATGACACTTCGGGTATAATGAGACTTCGGGTATAATGAGACTTCGGGTATAATGAGACTTCGGGTATAATGAGACTTCGGGTATAATGAGACTTCGGGTATAATGAGACTTCGGGTATAATGACACTTCGGGTATAATGAGACTTCGGGTATAATGAGACTTCGGGTATAATGAGACTTCGGGTATAATGAGACTTCGGGTATAATGAGACTTCGGGTATAATGAGACTTCGGGTATAATGAGACTTCGGGTATAATGAGACTTCGGGTATAATGAGACTTCGGGTATAATGAGACTTCGGGTATAATGAGACTTCGGGTATAATGAGACTTCGGGTATAATGAGACTTCGGGTATAATGAGACTTCGGGTATAATGAGACTTCGGGTATAATGAGACTTCGGGTATAAGGACACTTTGCTGATGCCCCGCCAGTGTCATTATACGCAAAGTTGACGGTACATATTCAGTAGAACCCTGATAAGACGTAACCCCATAGGCAGCAGGAAAGCGTACTTAGCACTTCTAATCCATACAACATACCGGTATTTCAACATGGATCAATACAGCCGTGCTCTGGATAATGTCTGTGCTAAGCAAGAGTATGCTTTATCAGAGTACATACTAAGCGAGGTCCACTGTTACACACTGTGTTATACACTGTGTGTTATACACTGTGTGTTACACACTGTGTGTTATACACTGTGTTATACACTGTGTGTTATACACTGTGTGTTATACACTGTGTTACACACTGTGTGTTATACACTGTGTGTTATACGTATATAATACAAACTAACCTTAGGTTTATACGTGGAATATAAACTGAACACAAACCGAGGCGAAGCCGAGGTTTGTGTGATAGTTTATATTCCACGTATAAACCTAAGAGTAGGTTGTAGTATATTTATACCAGCCTTTATACAAACCTCCATTCAACTCTACCGACTTTTTTGTGAGCAGTATCAGCCATTAATCATTACCCTTGTCTTCTACCGAAGAGATAGCCATTCTTCATTACTTGTGGAAGACAGTAGACTAGGCTACTAACACTGTACAGCGGTTATGCATGAGTCAACACTGACAACAGTATCGCTTTACCTAGTCACTAAGCCAGTGCAGAGCTTCCTCCAAAAAGTGAGAACTTTCGTGACATTCTTTAGGTGACGACGTTGGAGAACACGGTCAACTGCTTGTTTCCATGGTGAATTTAGGCGCGCAAATTTGGGCGCGCTTTTTGAAGTTATAAGCAACTTGGGCACCCCATATCTGCCACTTCCTCCAGTTTGGCAGTTGTGGTAACATTGTCAATCATTGATTTCACTATGGATCCAGATCAGTCTGAAGATCCACCCAAGAAAAGAGTTTTCGGAGCGTCAACGAAGGAGGACCAGCAAAAACTCATCTCTGACGCTGTTCCAAAGAGTACACACTCAGCAACCCAGTATTGGGTACGGCTCTTCACTGATTACTGCAAAGATCAAAAGGCTTCGACTACGAACTTCTCCTCAATCCCTATTCCGGAGCTTTCAGACCTAGTTGGCTCTTTCTACGTCGATGCGAAGACGCGCCATGGAACTCCTTTCTCAAAGAACAGTCTTCTGGCAGCAAGAAGTGCTATACAGCGTCATCTGTCTTCTATGCGAGAAATCAACATATTCAGCGATGAAGCCTTTGCAAGGACCAACAAACTATTGGATGGCGTACTAAAGGCACGCAAGCGCGCAGGCAACGAACCAGCTGTAAAGCACAAAGAACCACTGTCTGAAGACGATCTCGGAAAGCTGCGCACATATTTCGAGGATGTCGTCGAAACAACCGACGCGATCAAGCTGGCGTTCTACGTTTGGTACCAGCTAACTCTCCACTTCTGCCTCAGAGGTGGTGAAATGCAGTCAAAGCTAACGAAACGCGACCTCGTGTTTGAATCTATCGACGGACAAGACGTGCTCAGGCTTGGAACATCGTTTATGTCCAAGAATCACCAAGGGGGCTTGACAGGATCGGACTGGTCGTCAGCAGGAGTAATCAATGATCAAACGCAGCTGACAGCAATCAAGCGTTACCTTGACAAGCTTCACCCTGACCAAGATCGCTTGTTTCAGCGCGCTGTGAAACCTGGTAAGCTTCCTGCTGATATGTCATGTTGGTACACACGCTCACCGCTGTCGCACAATCTGTTAGCAGGAATGATGAAGAGATTGTCTGAGCTCGCTGATCTTTCCATGGCTTATACTAATCATTGTGTACGTGCCACTTGCATTACCAACATGAAGCGCAGTGGCATTGATGATAGGCGAATTTGCAGTGTGTCAGGCCATCGTAATGTTCAATCCTTATCTGCTTATGATCGCCCCACCACAAAAGATTCTTGCTCTATGGCTGCTGCTGTTGATCTTGGCTCTGTGAATAGCCAGTGCAGGCTGTCGTAATAAAACGACTCATCCGTGTTCCATTCCCGTGCATGGTACATGCATGGTGCGACGGCACAATGACAGCTGTCGCAAATCACACTGAGTATTACACGTGTTTTTTGGTGATTCTTGGTTAGCTGCTAGCTTTTCCCTACTCAAAGATGTTGCCGCCGCGAAATCTGGGGGTTTGTGTTCGTCCTGGCGAAAACCGTGTTTTGATCCGTTGAGGGAGACGAGAGATACAGTGCGAAGACGTACGGTCTGTCCGAGAATCGGCGAAGAAGAAAGCTTCGCAGACGACCCGTAGTGGTTGGGAACAGAATGGAACATATACCAGTCGATGCCTGTCATGGTAGGGATGACTGCTACGAAGTTTTAGCCCCATGCTCCCCAGCGCTTTTTAGCGCCCGACGATAATTACCAAATTTCATCGATTTTCGATGTGGATCAAAGCATAGTCTCCTCAATCTTCTCCAGTCGAGCTGAGTCTGGACGCTACAATGTCGAGACGCGAAAAGAGAACATGCATGAACACACAGGAGCATCACATGCAGCTGCATTCTGCCTTGACGAAGCTGAGAACAACACCAGCACCACGCATTTGGAAGACATTTCGAAGAGGACGAACTACATATCTGCGTTCAAAAAAGCCTCTGTTCTGTGCAGTGCAGTATACATGCGTGCAGTATGCATGCGCGTGCATGTGCGAAGCACGGGGTCCGCGGATCAACTTCGTTCAAAAATCATTGTGCCACACGGGTTGTATGATTTGTGTGCGATCATGGCCTTTCTTCTTGACAAACAAAACTGAAGTTTTTCGATCTTCAAATCGCCATAGCCTCCTTGTCATGACTCCAAATCAGCTGAAACTTTGCAGGAGGAATGAAAATGCCATGCTGAATCGATTGGTACCATTTTCGAAGGGTTTCCTTGAAAAATAAAATTTAGCCTGCACTGGCTACTGTGAAAGCTGTTCCGCCTGCCACTTGCAAAGAGAATTTTCCACTGCACCCTTCATCCATAGCCACTTCTGTCCAGGCTAGCCCTGTTCAGAATAGTACTTCTACTGTGAGTTCATCTGCTTTGGCTCCCTATCTGAATGCTGCTGCTTCTACATTTCAGAACACATCTATCGTGTTCAACATTCATGCTGACCGTGCTAAGCAAGCTCGCAAAAAGCTAAAGAGAAAGCGCTCTACATCCGATTCTGCTGCCTAATCCTGCTGTTGACAGTGTTGTGGCCCTAAAAAAGGCGTTTATATTCAAGTTTATATTCAGGTTTATATTGTGATTTCAGGTTTATATTCAGGTTTATATTGAAAATATAAACTTGAAATCTCTGTTGAAGTTGAATGAGAGTTTGTATAAAAGGGTGGTATAAACTGTGTTATACACTGTGTAACACAGTGTATAACACAGTGTGTGTTATACACTGTGTTATACACTGTGTGTTACACTGTGTGTTATACACTGTGTGTTATACACTGTGTTATAACCTGATGTACTACTACCCCATGATGCAATGCACTGCACTATGCTATGCACTGCACTATGCTATGCACTGCACTATGCTATGCACTGCACTATGCTATGCACTGCACTATGCTATGCACTGCACTATGCTATGCACTGCACTATGCTATGCACTGCACTATGCTATGCACTGCACTATGCACTGCACTATGCTATGCACTGCACTATGCTATGCACTGCACTATGCCAGATTGAATTACCCGGTGATAAGCCATACAACACGATGTAATGTACTACTACACTATGCTATAATGTACTACATGTACCCAGCTCTGCAATATTTCCTCCTCTTTATAGCGCGCATGTACTGTTGCTGTACATGTGAAGAAAAAAGTGCACGTACCTGGATGAGAGAGCGCTTGAACATGCCACACAGTATGAGAGCAGAGTCTGGAGACCACTGCATGCAACAGAACAAAGGAGAACACCAGGTACAGAGTCGCAGTGGGAAAGTGCTTGGCTCGTTCCCTGCCACTTCCTGATTGATAGGAAAACATCATGCACCTTTCTTAGACATGTGCAGTGCTGGTACGAGTCCAAGGGATGCTTCTAATGTCACCATGAACAATACCAAGCCTTTTTCAATACCTTATTTTCTCTAATGAAAGCCCAGGTCTCCAAAGAAAGCCCAGTTTCTAATAGTGACCAGTACATTGTACTAAAAATACTACGTAGGGCTGCAACGGGTAGGGGTTTGATCAGGAAATGGGTTGGGTTATAAGTAGTCAGGTAGCATGGGTAGCCTATGGGGTATTTTGTTAGTGATGCTACAGATCATCAACTTTACCAGCCCTGATCCGTACTGCGGTGCATGTGTAGTGACTGTACTGCACACTCTGCACAGGACCAGAACTGATCGATCCGTTCACCATCTTTGCCCTCTAATAGTAGCGCAGGTAGAGCTGTCACTGAAATAATAAGCGCCCGGGCCCTTATTAGAGAAAATACAAGGGCGTCGGAAGCGGTACGACTAGTACGGCTTGAGCCGTACCACTTTTGGCTCCAGGTGGTCCACGCGGAACGTCCAAATCCGGTGTAAAAAAAGGGGGTATCGAGTTTGTACATGACCACGCGTGATCGTGAGCCGCGATCCGCCACCGGTGCACCAGTCAGGTCACTGCACCGTGTAACGCGTGACTAGACTGTCGACTACGGAACTGCATGGCATGTATGTGTCATGACTCGTAGATCTACTACCATGTACCAAGGCAAGAGTCTACCAAGAGTCCATAAGTCCATGGGGGGGGGGGGTTATGGACTCTTGGTAGACTCTGCTACATGTAGTAACTGTATAGATTGACCAGCTTCAGGTGTAGTAAGCCTTCAGGTGTAGTAAGCCTTCAGGTGTAGTAAGCCTTCAGGTGTAGTAAGCCTTCAGGTGTAGTAAGCCTTCAGGTGTAGTAAGCCTTCAGGTGTAGTAAGCCTTCAGGTGTAGTAAGCCTTCAGGTGTAGTAAGCCTTCAGGTGTAGTAAGCCTTCAGGTGTAGTAAGCCTTCAGGTGTAGTAAGCCTTCAGGTGTAGTAAGCCTTCAGGTGTAGTAAGCCTTCAGGTGTAGTAAGCCTTCAGGTGTAGCAAGCCTTCAGGTGTAGTAAGCCTTCAGGTGTAGTAAGCCTTCAGGTGTAGTAAGCCTGCACTGCACACTAGTAGACTAGTAGTAGTTGCACTCCAAACAGTTTACACGTTCTAGTTCTACTTTGGAGTACATTAGAGATGCATGCAAACCTATTGATCAGAAACTTGTTACCAGTGTCACGCCGACCACTTCTTCACAGATACAGCACGCCACACACCGCGGGTGTGCATGCATTGCGCATAGCGTAGTTGGTTTCGAACCTACGCCTCCAGAGAGACCAGCACTGAAAGTGAGTCAAGTCAGTCTTTGGCTGGCAGCACAGAGAAAAAGGTGGCGATGTCCGCCTCCGCTTCAACTGAAGCGTTGCCTGTCGAAATTGGCGACAAACCTCATCAGCCAAGAAATATTCAATCTCCCCTTCGGTCCTTTGGCATCGCCAAGCCTACGTACCGTTCGTTTCAGGCCGGATGGTTTGATAAGTTTTCTTGGCTGCACTGGGATGTTAGACGTGAAAGCGCTTTTTGCCATGTATGCGTGAAGGCCTCACAAGCTGGTTTGCTGACGACCAAATCCGCTGAAACGTCGTTTATCTCTTCTGGTTTCCAGAATTGGAAAGAAGCGATGCGTGTTATGGGCAGGCATGAAACCAGCATGTGTCACAAAGAAGCTGTGGAGAAGCTCATCACAATTCCGGCAACCACTACTCCAGTGGATGAGCTGCTAAGTTCTCATCTATCGCGTGAGAGGAAGGCGACGAGGGAAACTTCTTGCTGACACGAGTACTGCGAGGAATCAAGTTTCTTGCACGACAAGGCCTGGCATTGCGAGGATCAGCAGCGGAAGACGGCCATGAAAAGGATGGCAACTTCATGCAGACCATGCAGCTGTTCCAGCAGTTTCACCTGATCTGATCTGAAGCAGTGGCTAGAGCGGAAGAGGGATAAGTATACCAGTGGCAGCGACATCCAGAATGAAGTCCTGAAGCTGATGTCTCTCCGTGTCCTGCAACGAATTGCTAGCAACATCAGCGATCGACCCTTCTCAATCATGGTGGATGAGACAGTGGACTGCAGTGTGACGGAGCAGTGTGTGATAGTGATCAGGTGGGTGGTGGGTGGGTGGGTGGACGATAGCCTTGAGCCACATGAGGATTTTATCGGTTTTTATAGTGTTTGGCAAGTGGATGCTGCCACATGCTGCCACCATTGTTGCTGTCATACGAGACGCATTGGTCAGGATGAACTTGAAGCTGAATATGTGCCGTGGCCAGTGTTATGATGGTGCTGCTGTAATGAAGGGCCACAGGAATGGTGTTGCAACGCAGATACTGAGAGATCAGCCAAAAGCCCTGTACACACACTGCTACGGTCATGCGTTGAACTTAGCATGCCAAGATATGGTCCGGGGCGTGAAAGTGGTGAAAGATGCACTGGATAACGCTCTGGAACTTAGCAAACTCCTGCAGTATTCTGCAAAGAGAAATGCCGAGTACAAGCGGTTGAAGGCAGAGATTGCCCCACAAGAAGCTGGAGTGCGCACTCTATGCCCAACCAGGTGGACAGTTCGTGCTGCAGCACTGGCCAGCATTCTGTCCAACTACGAGTGTTTGCAAGCGTGCCCGGAGAAGTTTACAGAAATGTCCCGGTATGATCATGAGATGTCGGCACGCTGCAATGGCCTTGCTGCACAGTTTTCGTCATTCCACTTCCTGTTCGGTGTCTCCCTTGGAAAGAAAGTGCTGACACTCGCTGATAACCTCAGTACAACGCTACAGAAGAAGGATTTGCCTGCCGCCGAAGGCCAGGTGAGTGAGTAGCTACTGCTGCTGTTATTGCCGCTCTATGCTACGGTTATGTGGTGCAAATTGGTGAGATCATTGGTGTATTATATGCATCGTATGCAATAAATGTGATGAAAAAGAATTCAAGTTTGAAGATGACAATCCTCTCACGGAATTTTGTTCTGCTGCTTTTGGTACTTCAGGTTTTGGCAAGGGCAACTCTTGATACGCTGAGAAATCTACGTACAAATGAGGAATTTCGCAAGTTCTGGGTGGAGGTTACCAGCAAGCAACAGTCATGTGATGTTGATGAACTAACACTTCCTCGACGAAGGAAGGTGGGTTTGATCTTTCATATTAATTTTGTTCCCAATGTTGTGTCCCGGTGATAATCACGAGAGAGCTTGGAAGCTCAGGGCCCTACGCTATGCTTTTTTGCCTTGATGACCTAGACAAAAAAAAGCATAGGGATGTTATAAATTCTTTAAAAAAATTCCTTTTTTTTAAGACATAACCTGGGATTCGAACCCGCACTATCGCGCGCCCTGCATGCATCCCCCGATACACTTCGCATACATACTAACCAGGGAGTAGTACAATTATTGTACTACTCCCTGATACTAACTCTTCCAAGTTGCTTCACGTTATGATCTTGCATTTGAAAGCCCTACTATTTGAATATGCATTGTGGCCAGCCGTCTTTGATGGTACGGTACGGGGTAGGTACGGGACAGGTACGATCGAGGGTAATACGACACCGTCTACCGCCTTGATGACGGCAAAAAAAGCATAGGAATGTTATAAATTTTTCAATTCTCCTTTTTTTTTCAGGCATATCCTGGGATTCGAACCCGCACTATCGCCCTACATGCATTCCCCCATACACTTCGCATTCATACCCATTCTTCCAAGTTGCTTCACGTTATGATCTTGCATTTGAAAGCCCTATTTGAATATTGCGGCCAGCTGTATGTGGCCAGCTGTGTTTGACGGTACGGTACGGTACGGGACAGATACGGGATAGCGCCAGGTGTGACACAAACAAACAAACAAACAAACACACAAATACCAAATTAAAGCTGTGTGGACCCTGGCTAGCGCCAGACGTTACTGAAGTAACGTCTTCTGCATAGCTACGGGAATAAATGTATTACTTCTACTTGTGTTGTAACTCATGAGCTTTATTTCTTCTAACCCACAGCAAGTGTTCTCGCCATCAATATCTCTAAGAGAATGTTGTCTATGGCTTGCTTTTCCTGTCAGGTTCCCTGCAGGCTTCAACAAGGAGGTGGCGCAGCACACTTTCCATCCACAGTTGAGGATCATTTCCGCCAGATGTACTTTTCAGCTGTGGACATCATCGTCCAAGCCATCCATGACCGCTTTGATCAGCCTGGATACCATGAATATGAGAAGTTACAGAGCTGTATCCTCAAAGGCGAAAGAGGGCAGGGTATCACAGAAGAACTCCAGCACCTGAGTGAGATGTACGGCGATGATTCGAAACACGAGCTGCTGGCTGATCAGTTGAAAATCATTCAGTCCCACTTTGCAACAGCTGATATAAGAACACCAAGCCTTGGAGATATTCGCTCCTATGTCAAGACGGTGCCAAACAGCAAAGTGTTTCTGTCCGAAGTGGTGTCATTGCTGATACTGGTTCTTGTCTGTCCAGCTACAAATGCCACCAGTGAGAGAGCCTTCTCTGCACTGCGACGGTTGAAGTCCTACCTACGTTCGACAATGACGCAGCAGCGGCTGAACAGCTGTGCTGCTTTGCATGTCCACAAGGATCAGTGTGATGCACTGAACCTGATGGATATTGCCAATGACTTTGTCACTGGAAATGAGCACCGTTACCAAGTATTTGGCAAATTCTAAGCTTTGCATTTAAAGTTTAGTATCTGCATTCTAAACATTGGCTGGTATACATTTTGGTATGCATATCTTGGCTGTGTATTGTCCCAGCATAGAATGTTTTTGTGTTTGCATACGCAGAACCAAACCAGTGAACTGTGGCATTATTTTCCATTGCTTATACAGTCGGTCTCTTTGTTATCCTTAAAGACTTTGTACCTTTGGAGACCCTCTGAGAGGGGTATTTTGAGTGTGTTTTTTTTTAATTCACGGGGAAGTCTCCCCCGGACCCCCTCTGTCAAGCTGTACCACTTTCTACCTCCTTCCGACGCCCCTGAAATACGGTATGAAACTAACAGCTTTCCAACTTGGAAGGGGTCACGGAAAGAGGAGAAGGTGAGCGCAACGAAAAGTACAAGCTAAGCTAAGTCCCAAGGCAACAACGGATGGCAACTGTTACTGGATGATGACAAGACCAATAAGATACTTGACAATGCGGTTGAACTACTACAAGCAGCAAAGCAGCACACCACCAGCTTGGGTGACTAGGAATTATCGAAGATAAATGCAGAAGGGGGAAGCTTTTGCGGAAACGACATGGGGTACACAACCGAAAGCCAACAGCCTATGGTACTCCCCTTATATGACAATATGATGGACACTCATACCTCAGTTATCCCAACCCCAAAGTTATGGGCACTTCGGTCTACCAGGCACTCTTTGGATGAATTCAGTGGAAATATTACCACTCTTCTGTCACTTTTTGTGGAAATAATGACGCCATATGCCATATCTATGGTGTTTCCCCATCAAAATGTACATGTATGTGATTCGGAGTTACGGACATTTTTTCAAAGTTACGGGCAGTGCCCGGTCCCAGACCGCCTGGATAAACGACATATGAGTGCAATAACAAGTAGTTTCACACAACACACACTTCGCCGTGTAGGTTCTGACAGCTCATCATGTGTTCAGAAATAAACTCGGATACTTAGCCAATATGAAATGTAGAAAGAAGAAGGGACACATGGATACAAGTGATGAGCAACTGTCCACCACTGTACCTAGATAATATTTGGTCAGAAACTCTGACAACTAGGTCGATACCAAAAGCGGGCGTTTCGTTGACTTCACGGACAGGGCTTGAAAGTGCTACGTCACAGACAGCCCGAAGCCATGACAACGCTGACTAGTTTTTGTATTGATCCAAACACGTTAGGGTCGGTGGTTTTCCTTCACAGCAGGGTAACACAGGCGCTGGTAGCTACTAGACTGGGTCTTCCAGGTCAGGACTCACTGCTGGTACAGACAAAAAATGCACACCTTCATGCGACACGAGGGGTCTATCTGCCCACAACATACTGTACTTCACGCTGGACAGAGTGGATTCAAAAATCGTTATTTGTCGTCATTTGCTAACTTCATACAACCTCTATAGACCAAGAACACAATGTCCCTATGGGAAAGTAACAACCCTCCTCTCCTCATGCCGTCATGGCTGCCCCCGGTGCCAAGTACACTGATACCACCCACATACACCAGCTTTACCACAGACTCACAACTATACTATGCAACACTGCCATCAACACATCCCTTATTGGCCACAGGCCATCGTGAGAACAAAGATTTGAAACACAAGCTGCATATCTATCACAATATCAAACAGAGAACACCACTAACCTCCAGTTCCTGAATGACATCGTTGCACGTAAAGAGGTGCTCAATCTGCAATGTGCTCACGCTGCGGACAACAAGGCGATGCTGGGATGCCGATGCCTGAACAGATCATTGGATAGTTAAAAGCAAGACAATTAGATGCACTACTTCAATTCACGATGTACAGCCAAATTTGGCTGTACACTTGGATGAGCTATGTGCCAACACATGGCCAAAGTTGCATTCGGCATAATCTATACAGGTATTACAGTGTGGTCAACCAAATTCAGATTGTGTTGCTGCAAACTGTAAGACCTAGATACTACTGGAACTTCCTTTTAAGGGACAAGGTAGCTAGATAGATCCAGTAGCTGACACAAGTCAATCTGTCCCCCGTGATTCCGTGGATTACAGAATTTCCGCAGAATCCAGTAGAGCCCACGAAATTTAGAAAATTCCACAGAATATTGTAGAAAAGGACAAGAAATTGCTTTTTCTGGAGACTTGTACTCCACACAGCCAAACTAGGGAGTCGTAAAATACGACTCCCTGAGCCAAATCAACCTGATCATGACTAAAGCTGTGTTCACAACTGGCGCGTGTACGCGTGAAACCACGCGTTTGTGCGTATTTTTGCTGGCTTTTGGGGCGTCATGCGTATGGATACGCGCCGAAATGGAAATTCCAACATGTTGGAATTTTCAGCGCGTATCAGGCGCGTACCAGCGTACATGCCAGTCACTTTGACTGGCGGGGTCCAAAAATTAGTACTCGAAGGTGTCGCACGTGCTGAATACGACTCGGATTGCTGTTTTTTGTGAAAGCTTGAGCGCGCGTATGGGCGCACATGAACCGCAAGCGTACCGCGTCCACGCGCCAGTTGTGAACACAGCTTTAGTGTTGAGATTCTAACTATTTTTTATGCTCATTTACCTTGCAGAATTGCCACAGAATATAGAATAATTTCCAGAATTGCCACAGGAACGTGCTGCTTTCACCTGCAGAAATCTGCGCGGAATTTCTCATATTTGCCGCGGACGTACACACGGGGGAGATGTCAATAGTGACTAGACCTACAGCTACTGCTGGCAAGGCTACCAGGCCCTTCTGAATGAAGAGATGCCGGACCATGCTCCCACCTCTGTCCAGGACCTGAATGGTATTTTCAACTCAGAAAGCAGGATCACCATCATTGAACTTCAGATGGTGTTCATCACGGAACACTGCAGGAAGGTCACTGTGCTGAATGACACATTCCAGTCTAGAACACCATGCGCCATGAAGGTATTCGACACACTGGACAGACTAGCATGGGCTCTTGAAGGCCACCACTACCCGCTGATAGAGGACATTTCTAGCCTGGACAGTGCTGACTCGATGAGGACATCAAGCTGGAGCTTGTCGATCGCTTCCGAGAAGCCTATCAGTTGACCCATGATAAGTTAAAGAAGCATTTGGGCAATGACCATCAGCCTTCAGCTGACTTCCTGAAGCAGGTCAGGGTGTTCGACCCTTCTGTAACTCTCAGACTTGCCAAGGATGTTCAACAGTACTCTGCTATCCCCGGATATGCGAGCACACCAATCACAGAGCTCAACTCCTACTTTGACAAGTACGCCCAGGAGTTCATAGCCTGCCATGAGAAGGACGAGAAAGCTGTTGACGTGTTTTGGAAGTCGTGTCGTGATAGCTTGCCAGCACTGAAAGCCCTCGCGAATCGCTACAGAGATGCTGAGAGAAGGTTCACCTTGTAAAACCTGGTTATCTCAGAGCGCTGGCGGTCTCTGTCCCAGAAGAATATCGAGGCTCTTGTATTCTTGTATTTCAATCAAGGCGTTGAGCACAATGTTTTTGAATGAACAATTCAGTGATCATAGAACAGTGGTCATTGTTTCTTTTCTTCAGTCTGATAAGGCCCTCTTCAGACTAGGTACAACACAGCCTATAAGTCACATTTACATAGAAGTTTCCAGGACAACAACAAGAATCTGGCGGGAAGCCTAAAAAGCTGCCCAATCCTTTCAGGCAGGGTGCCAACCCTTGTACAAGGCAACTTTCCTGCATTTATCGTACTTTCACCAGGCAGATGTACGAACTTTGTACCCGGGTACGACTGTCCGCTGCTTTCACACATCCCAGGCCCCTTGCGCAATTTCGTAGGGTCAAAGGTTGCCTGTATATTGCATGTAAAATGTGTAGTCTGAATGCAGGCATGGAAAAATGTTGCCTTTTAGGTTTTATGTGATTTTGTACTGGATTTTCTATGTACGTAGTCTGATGAGGGCCTAAGGCCATCATTTTTTATATCTATGTTTCGCGTCAGTTCAACTTCCATAATCATATGCGAGAGGTGGAAAAAAATAAAAAGTTGCAACATAATAAAAAAGGCTCATCAGACGTACAATAGCTCGTGCATGGTGTACATCCGAAAGAAAAATCGTCCATCGAAGCACAAAATCTGGGTTATCAGCATCACTTTGGACAGAGGAGGCAACCGTTGGTGCCCTTGCTTTGCTGGATTATTGTACTCAGCCTTCAGCAGCGGTGCAAAGAGCTCGGGAACGACGCATCCTCTCAGCTTGAGGCGATCGATGCGGTCTGGTGTAAGCTCATAGAATACTGCTCGCAGATGTCGAACAAACGATTTACCAACGTTAACGCTGGCCTCGAGGCTATTTCTGCATCCCAGCTTCGCCTCCACATGATGACTCGCACGATCGTACACTGTGCATGTTCGATTTTTTATTTTTTTCCGGAAAAAAATCAAAACGTATGCGTGCGGACGACGCGAAACATAGATATAAAAAATGATGGCCTAATGATATTCATCGTGATGTAGTTCCTGATGGTTTGATCTTGGTTTTTACACTGATCTTAGAATTGGAAACCATATTTGACTCTTGATTTCACATCTACATGTTGTCTTCTTGGAGAAAAGCTGCTAACTTACTGTCTGTTGTGGACATTCAACTGGCTAATTAAGTAATTATCATCTGGCTGGAGAGACCTTTCTCATGTGTGATTTGGTGGCATACATATTATCATGCATATTCGTATACTTTATATGCACCTTCTTAAAGCCCCGCATAGTAATAATAACTGCCCTGCAGGACACATTTGCATGGGCTGACCGAGTAGGCGGAACTTTTAACCCATCGAAACCCGTTGTCATCTCATTCAATGAGGAAGGAGCTGGTGAGCCCATCCGTGGTATCCCGCCATCAACTAGTCACCGTCACCTGGGGGTGTTGTTAAATCAAACACTTAGCTTCCAGGAGCACATTGAACAGACCATAAGCAAGCTTAGACAATGCTGCGTTCTTCTGTGCCATATGGCAGGCCGTTTAACAGCAGACATCGTCAGGAAGCTGTACCTTATGTATGGCCGCCCCACAGCAGAATACGTCACCCCTGTATGGGAGTCATCCCTCTCTGCTGCCCAGCGGCTCACCCTTGAACGGCTGCAAGCCAGAGCAGCTCGCACAATCATGCGGCTTGAGAGATGCCCCTGCCCATCAGACGAGCCCAAATCGTCATTGTTTAGACAGCTGGTGTGGCCAAGTCTATCCTGGCGCAGGAATATTGCCTGCCTTATGGAGTTCTTCCATTTGGTCACCACCCAACCAGAACTTCTTGAAGCAGCAGGATACTGCTCCACGCGTAGTCGCCGCCGGCAACTCGCATTCACTCTGCCAAGGGTGGGGAAACACGCCAGGAGGTCATTTTTCTTCCGCACAGCTACCGTCTGGAATGCCTTGCCAGCAGATCTGAGAGCCACTGCCTCGCAGTCCCTGTTTCGCAGTCACATTTGCACGCACTTCCCTGACACCAAACACAACGCCACTCCTCACTAACACGCCTCTGTTCTCCTTCTTTGAGCTCTGCACTTATCCTTCTTATTTTGTGTTTCTGTTTCTGTACTTTTTGTATTTCAAGGCATACCCCGAAGCTATAGGTATTATTGAGTACAGGACCATTCTGGGACATATTGTGTATTTTTGAGCTAGGCTGTTCATTAACCATCCACTGTTTGCTATCTCCACCTACAGCCTCCCATTATAATGGCACTCCCTTAAATTTAGACTATGCCTTTGGGAAATCCTCAAATATACGAGAGAGCTTGGAAGCTCAGGGCCCTACGCTATGCTTTTATGCCTTTTTGCCTAGCTCATCGTACATGTTATAGGAACTGATGGAAATGTCTTTTTCCGTTGATTGGCCACATCACTGTATTGCAAAAACGTTTCAATCGGTTTCAATATTATGAGTTAGGCAAAAGTATTTGCAGAATTTATTGCGGATTGTTATTTCTCTAATAATCATCTACTTTTGGTTTGTTCCTTCTTTTCTTTTTATCTCCTTATACTGTAAACCAACAAATTTTGGCCGATGAGAAATAGAAACCTCTCTATTAGAGAGGTTAAGATGCACGTTATTTCCGACATGACGCGCAATTTCACGCCAAATTTGAAATCGATCGGTATTTTTGCTCTCTCATGCATCCATTGCTCAATCATGCATCATTTGCCTATATGACAAACTTTTGGCCTGCGATTTACTTTGGCCGGTTGGTACCAAGCGGCGAAATCAGCGAAATTAAATCGCCAGCGAAAATTAGTTGATTTTAATACAGTAATCGGATTTTCTGGCCTTTTTGTAGTAATACATGTACATTGACCTGTTGAGCCAATGACTTCGCGGAATGCTTGGTTGCCTGTGGAGCACATTACATAACTTTACAGCCTCCTATAATACGTATCCTGTCCGACGGCAAAAGAGGCTGCAGATTTAGTTTTTCTGCGCGTCGACGGGATGTCTGCGACGCGAAAGCTCAGCTCGCGTTATTTGGCTCGCACGTCGAAAAATCAACGCGAGTGACCTGCTGCTCACGTCGAAATTTGGACATTACATAACTTCACAGTCTCCTATAATACGTATCCTGTCCGACGGCAAAAGAGGGTGCAGATTTAGTTTTTCGGCACGTCGACGGGATGTCTGTCCTGACGTTTACTGGGACCGGCGCTGACTCTGCCGATCACGGGCGTTCTGGACTCAACGGGATGTCTGTCCTGACGTTGCCTGGGACCGGCGGACTCTGCCGATCACGGGCGTTCTGGAGTGGACGGGATCTCTCTTCCGACGTTTCCTGTGACCGGCGCTGAATCGCTCGTTCACACTTATTTTGGAGACGATGGGATCTCTCTTCCAAAGTATGTTTATGCTGACGCATCCTATCACCTATTCGGCGTCTATTCTAATTTAATTTCCTCCTCGTCTCCCTATTTCTTTCCAAATCTCCCTCTACATCAGGGAGTCGTATACATAATACGACGAATATTGGTACGGTACGGGACAGATACAGGAGCCCGCAAATATTGTGGACAGCTGTTATGTACAATCCTGTAGAGCCTTTGTAGTCACAGATACGGGACAGATACGGGACAGATACGGGATAGCTCCAGCCGTGACACAAACAAACAAACAAACAAACAAACAAACAAACAAACAAACACCAAATTAAAGCTGTGTGGACCCTGGCTAGCGCCAGACGTTACTGAAGTAACGTCTTCTGCATAGCTACGGGAAAAATAAAATATAAATACCGGTAAGAATGATTCATTCTCCACATCATCCCGCATAATCCTGGTATAATTGACTGTTTTAGACCGCATAATTTGAGAGATTTGCCCGCGGAATTTACGGGGGAAGTTATATGTACTGGGTATGCCGTATAAAGGGCATTACTGACACCGACACCTGGTCACACTGACCTGCAAGTGAAGATAATTACAGTCGACTCAAAATCGACCCTTTGCAGCGAACTGTTTTGGTTTATAACGAACCATATCTTGTAGGGCTGAATGTAAACCAAGCGCTCTCAAACTGACTCAAAGCCATGAGCCACATGGCAGTCATGATGCTTGTATGGTGCGAGTGCATTTCTGTCACAAAGAACTTTAGCTATAACGAACTAATTCTCCTGCACAATCATGTTGAACTAAATTCTCCTGCACAATCATGTTGAACTAATTCTCCTGCACAATCATGTTGAACTAATTCTCCTGCACAATCATGTTGAACTAATTCTCCTGCACAATCATGTTGAACTAATTCTCCTGCACAATCATGTTGAACTAATTCTCCTGCACAATCATGTTGAACTAATTCTCCTGCACAATCATGTTGAACTAATTCTCCTGCACAATCATGTTCCTTATACACTACTGTTGTGTACATTGACATCCGGTGGAATGCCGCCGCAGCCGGCGCCCTTACTACCTCAGCGTACATGCATAGTAACTTAGTTCACGTACGGACTGCAAAAATTGGACCAGCAGTACTCACGGCTGCAAGGCCAGCGACCCGTGGCCACTTGACTTCTCAATGAATTTTAATGTTCACAACAGTCAACAGTATCAGGATTCAACTGTACTATTGTCCGCTCGCCAAATCGGGGCTCCTGATACGCTAAAACTACAATCAGTCATGTATGTGTACCATCTTGAAAAACTCTCCATGATGGCCCAGGATCGAGCAGCTTGGAGAGGCTTTATACATGCGGCATAGCACGCGTGCGATCTCTAGCCGAGGAACAGCTGCGGAACCATGTGCTGCACGATTTTTGCACATATCTTGATCAATTTTCACCGCATTCACTTCATCTTAAAACAACGGCTATCATATTGTGACCTGTAAAAGTCATCGACTTCATGATCTTGAATAAGAATGAAGTGAGGCAGTGAAAAACATATGGGCTCCGGTTTGGCGAATGGACTATAGTAGACTGCATGGTCCCGAAACACACTAGTATTCTCAGGCCTCTCGTGTTGTAGGCCCTCTAATAGCAAATTCAAACAGTTTTCATATCTTATTGAACGCTCCCGGAATACATGTATACAGCACTGTTGAGTATAGTGCATGCTCCCACACTCACCACATATTTGCCGTTGGGCGAATATTGACACAAGAAATTTGAATGCTTGAAAGATTCAGAGAAATTCATTTCATTGGTAACGTCGTTTTCAAGGAGTTCCCGCCGCTTCAACAGATATTGCCGCAGACAGACAAATGGTACTGGTGGCTTTCAACTAAGCTATTTCCAAGACCCAACGCTCAGAACCCAAGCGCCTTCGACCTGTACTGACTTCCATCGACTACTACTACTTGCAACGCAAGAAACGTGCAAAATGTCCTGAGCTAGCTGTCTTTCTGCCTTCAATTTCATCATCATCACCATACATACATACACTGGCATAGCCATGCATGTTTGATTTTCCCGGGCCGTACAGATCCGCGTGACGTAAAATCTACACGTGTCTAGCGGCACGTGTATTCCCACACGTGCAAATGGATTATGCCAGTAACACCGACCGTGTAGATCTACAATCATCATGATCACACTCTTGTCTTACTTCAAAACAGTGTGTAGATCTACTTGACTCCATAGAAGAATAAGTATTAGTATTACCGGTACTACTTGTAATAAGTAATAGTAATACCGTGCTGTACGGGTGGTAGACTCTACTGGCATCACTTGCTACTCGACTTGGCTTTGGTAGGAAATGTCGAAATTGCTTCTTGTAATTCGATTGCTCTTCACAGCGCAGCTTCTTTACGTTGCCATCGATTTCTCAACGCGCACAGTTCTCTCCCTAGCCGCTGTGCTCGGTAAGGTTACTGCCACTCTTTTTTTCTTTTTGGGAAATTTGCAAACTTCCACACATTATACATTACATACTGATGATATTGCCTAATCTGAACCGTGTGCACATGTGACACATACTCACCTAAAGGGGAAGTTAAGGCAAAAATTAAAATTTCACCAGTTGTAGTCTTCGGGGTGCTGAGTCGAATGGTCGTGGTCCCAGGAAGCTGAGACGCTCCCTTCCTACTTGAATCCCAATCGAACTCGCGCACTTCCACCGAAACTGGGTGACTGCGCCCTACTAGATGGGGATTTTTATGCAAAATGTCACTAAAAGCGCCATTTCGTTCTTATAAAAGCACGGATGACCGCGATTGGCCCATATGTTGTAGTCTTTTGGACGCTGAGTCGACTGGTTTTGGTCCGAAAAGGCTGCGATGCAGCGTTCCTCCTTTATTCCCAATCGAACATGGTTGAACAAGCAGTCACGTGCTCCTGGGTGCCCAAATCACCTGGTCACCACGCCAGCAGGCGACAACTTTCACACCAAGGTTCAACTCGAGTTCAACTCGAGTGACAAAAAAAGGACTGCACCCAAAAAAGGTCAAACAGGCTAGTAAGTTGTACCCTGCAGGCACGGTGACCAGGTGACTGGCGTACGCAGGAGCACGTGACCGCTTGTTCAACCATGTTCGATTGGGAATAAAGGAGGAACGCTGCATCACAGCCTTTTCGGACCAAAACCAATCGACTCAGCATCCAAAAGACTACAACATATGGGCCAATCGCGGTCATCCATGCTTTTATAAGAACGAAATGGCGCTTTTAGTGATATTTTGCATACAAATCCCCATCTAGTAGGGCGCAGTCACCCAGTTTCGGTGGAAGTGCGCGAGTTCGATTGGGATTCAAGTAGGAAGGGAGCGTCTCAGCTTCCTGGGACCACGACCATTCGACTCAGCACCCCGAAGACTACAACTGGTGAAATTTTAATTTTTGCCTCAACTTCCCCTTTAATAATTATTATGATGGTATCTCACGGTGTTGGAACAAAAAAACTCTCAACTTGTTGAATCACCAAAAAATTCGATCATGGTTCATCCTCCTCAGGTACTAGGTAGGGATCTTGGCAGCGCGTGCATTATGCGCAGGGTGTTTGCGCATACATTGCGTCATCGAGTTTTGAGTGCAGCTCGCGGACACAGCTACAAAATGGCGATGGTAGATTTTCGACACTAGCGGAAGCGACCGTCGACACTAGCGGAATCGTCATCTTCATCGTCGTTCGAACACATAACTGTGATTCCCGCCAAAGGACAGCCCGCGCGGCGTGGCCAAAGCGATATCGCCCCAGTCGATTTTTCCTATAATTTGCCATGCGGCAAGAACCCACTTCAGAGAAGATTCAGTGAACAATTCAGAGGTTTTCTCCGGTTAGATTGTCCTAACTTCGATTTTCAGTGCATCAGCCATCGTGAAAATCGCCGCCATTATCACGCAGAGAGAAGACATCGCGCTCACAAGAAGAGGTGCCAGGCTGCGTCCAAGAGTTAACTATTGTGCTCTTTGACCCTCCATAGTTCCTCTGAGAGAGTGTCCGGGAGATAGGTCAGGCGCGTAGCATCGCCGTTGGCTGTGGTCCGGCCGGGGGGATCTTCCCCCGGAATTTTTTTGAAATTAGGGTGCAAAATCCTGCATTCTGGGCACTTTTGGCATTGTTTTACTATGGTGGTCGTGGTCGGGCGAAAAAGTGGTCCGGCCAAAGGGACCGGCCGGAGCGGCTGCTACGCCCCTGTAGGTAGCTTGGAGATGGTCGTAGAACGTGCTTTCCGAGGCTGGACGCAACATTCAGCCATTTCTACTGTCTTCTTCAACTTGATTTATTTCGAAAAATGTTCTGTTTCACGGTTTCTGCACTGGACACGTTTGGGATCGAAAATCTCACCTGTGCAAACTGGCTGCGCAGTTCACGTGCTGAGATCCCTACCTCAGGGTGAAACAATACGCTAAAGACCAGCGGCAACAAAGAAAGGGAGTGCATGTAGCCATGTGACTGTGAGGTGCATTAGGCCTTGAAGGTAACAAGGCTGAGAGCTATAATATAAAGAAAAAATGAGAGGAGAGCTTTGAAGTTTTCAACCCTGCGCCACACCCTCCCTGTCCAACACACGGATTATGTACATACATACCGGTATGCATGATTGTACTTCCATGACATTGTACTCATATTGACAGATGTGGAGCATAGAATACATTCATGCAGGCAAAGTCACCTCACTCGAGGGCATGCGGCGCATCCTGCACTGTCACTCTTTTTGTAGCTCTATTGACTGCATGCACTTGCTTCAGAGCGCACTTCAACCCTGTTGCAGTCAACCCTGCCAGCCAAGATGGCACTCAAAAATTTGGTTAGTTTTGATCACCGCTGTGTGCAGGTCCAATATGGCACTTGGTACACTAAAAATCGGTCGCTGGTCGCGCAAGGCAGGTGGTCTCTGTATCCGGTGCAGTTTCTATGTAGAACTGGCCGTGCCTGGAAAAACAGTCGGTGAAACCAGACTGGGTCGCTTACACCAGGTTCTACTGTATCGATAATGATAATGTCACTCACGGTGACAGCTTGCAAGTGCAGCTATGTCGAAAGAAAGCTGTGAAACAAAGAATGGAGCAAAGCAGGTCTTCCTGTGGATTGACGCGGACCAATTTCAAAATGCTGTGTGCTATGTGTATGTGTCTATCGGTGTTCATTCTGAAGAAGACTGTGGCAAGGTCGAGAAGTTTAAAAGATTCGTCAGCCTCACATCTTGCTCTCTCTCGTTGTGTGGTTCGGCTACCTGCTGTTGTATGTCCACTGTATAGTTTCCTAGCCGCTGGTGTCATCGTTTGGAAAATTAAGCTCTTACTTGATGTCAGACTACTGTCTATCAATCTGCGTGTCTGTCTGATTGTGGACTGTATGCGATGTGGACTGTATGCGATGTGGACTGTATGCGATGTGGCCTGTATGCGATGTGGACTGTATGCGATGTGGACTGCTGATATCGCCATGTACAGTTGTGTTTTATGTCACCCAAGAGCCCAAGAAGACGGACCATGAGGCTGGCGACAATCCTTTTAGGGCCAGGACGAAGTCCGGAGAGGTTGTGTCGACTAGCGAGGATGCCGTTCCTGAGGCCACTGTCGCTAGCTACCGACAGCAAATTGCCGAGTTCGTACTATCCGCGGACGATCCAGTAGAAGCCTCTGCAATCCATCACTTCCTACCTGTCCAGCAGCATACTGAATGTATATTTGCAAAGAGTGCACGCCTGTGGGGAGCACGTGACTGGAACCACCATCTTAGTTTCGGTAAGGATATACCGTGATCAGTGTATGTAACACAGTGCTCACCCCACGGCTAGCAGTGTAGGCTTTCTCCTTTTCTCATCAACGAGAATTGTGATGTGAGTGCGTTTCAGCCAATCGCTTCACAGTGTACTCAAAGCACTTGCCTTGTCCCAAGAACAGAGACTTTCCGGTCGACTCCAGGAGCTGGTGCTTGGATATAATATTATGCACTTCAATGCAGAAAAAGCAGTTCAAAATAATGTGCTTAGCGCGGACTTGCATCCTTTCTCATCTCCTGTTGTTGCATGTCAGCAGAGTGGAACCGGCCTCATTAGAAGAATGCTAATATGACAAGCTTTTGCTCCAGAAGAGAAAACGTAGAAGTAGTCGATATTGTGTGACTCCCTTCGCCAAAGTCAGAGTGCATTCACAGGGTGTACATTGAGTGTTAATGTATTCGAATAGCACATTTTTTTGTGTTTGACATTGTGTTTTTTATTTCGCATGTCGAAACGGGAATTTCGTGTGTGTGTGTGTGTGTGTGTGTGTGTGTGTGTGTGTGTGTGTGTGCGTGCGTGTGCGTGCGTGCGTGTGCATGTGTGTGTGTGTGTGTGTGTGTGTTTATGCGTGTGCTGCTACATTGTCTTGGCCATGACTGGGATGATCAGAGGAGAACGTTGAAAGGTAAAACAATCTAACAAGAATTCCGAGCCACCAACCTTCTTTTAAGTTTCATAGGAATAACTTATAACTCGAAAAGGTTTGAGCGGTGCCACTCGGCTCAAATCTTCTGTACAATATGTATCCGTATCCACGTTTTCTTATGGGCTTTCAAGAAGTGAACTGACAGCAGGCAGACGGACTTTATCAGTGTTAGATAGTCCGTTTGGTCTTGCTGTTCTTTGACTTGCATTTTCAGTGATTGCTTTTCATCTGAAGAGTTTTCAGGCGGTTTATTTGAATGCAGGGACGTCCAGTAATTTTTCTAGTCTTTCAATGCGTTTCGTCATCTTTCTGTTGATGATTTTTTTTCCAACCGCACAAACTGCCTTTACTTCATTGGGTCTCAATGAAATTGCATTTATTGGCAGACACTTGGAAAAAAACTCTTCTTGTGCAGTATGTTTTCGTGAGGAAATGTGAACACTGATTGTCTCCCTACCATGGCCGTAAGTCTCTGTGAAAAACAGACAAGTTCTGTTACGGGCGTGATTACCTGATTCAAAGCCAGCCAGCGGGTAGCCGGGTAAGTGTGCGTTCAGACTACCGATAAAGAGTGACGGAGTGGGGAAAGTTAAAGGTTTCCAGGGTGATTTGATCACGTGACGTTACTGGCACTTTCCCGGCGGAAACGTTTTACTGCTGCGGCTGGCTGCGGCGGACACAGCATCCCAGCAGTAAAAAAGATGCTCAGGCTGCTGGGAGTAGGGGAAAATACCTTCTGAGTGCCGCGCTGAGAGCTGCACAAGGAACGTTAGTGTTCCCGGTAGTGCGAATGATCTTCACGGTTTATCACCGGCATTCACGGTTTGACTGAGTGTTCTCGGTAGTCTGAACCTACCCTAATGCAGTCACATGATGGCCGGGAATGTGATTAGGCCTGTCCCAGGTGCATGGACAGTGTTCTCGGTAGTCTGAACCTACCCTAATGCAGTCACATGATGGCCGGGAATGTGATTAGGCCTGTCCCAGGTGCATGGCGTACATGAATAGCATGGGCACAGTCAGTTGTCAAGAGAGTTGTGCAGACAGACATGATGCCTGTCTTAACTTCTTGACACCACCTGGCATCCTTGTAGAATATGGCTTGGTTTCTCATGTGGCCTAATACATTGTACTAGATAATGTAGCTATAGTCTAGAGTGTTTAGAGTTGAAGTGCCAGGTTAACATGATTCCACGCTGGTACGTGTTGTTGCTACCTGCTTGTAGGTCCATTCCAGCACTAATCAAGTTCTGCGCTATTGGCCTGCATTGTCAACTGGACGGATTCGTCTTTGAGCTGCCCAGCAGCACATTTGGCACATCTCCCGAAGTGTTCGGGAGAGGTGTTCGTCGTCTGCTAACGTGCCTGTCTGACTCAGACCCAGCTGGCGTGCACTGCATGCGGCGCTCCTACATTGGTGGCCGGGGCTGGTTCTATGAATTTGCAAGAACACCTATATTTGTTACAACGTTTGCACCGTGTTACGCAGACAACCACTCACGGCATGCATTCGGTGTGGATGGATGCTTTGTCCTGCTACAGCCTGAGTACTCTTTTGCTGCCAAGAATCTCCCGGCTGACACACCTGACACTAACTGGACAAATCCGCAGACTGTCCGTGACCGTATCCGCGTGGCCTACCGCCAAGCCGGGCGCGAGTACATTGTGCGTGACACTGTGTATTACTCTCCAGCGCTGGACATCGTCAAACCACTGGCGGTGGACACGGATGAAGTGGTGCAGTGGTGGTCTAACACAAAAACAGACTGAAACTGCTCATCATAGAAACATTACTTTCTCAGTGGTGCACGGCAGGCTTCATAACTTCTTGTTCTAGCAGTGAATCTTCAGGGTTGACCAAATTATACTTATGAAAACATTGAAACAGTTGAAAGTGTTTACAGCGTGTGTGTTATATTTATCTGTTATTGAGAGAGGTGCTATGACAGTATGCCAGCAACATTTGCAAGACGAAACGTGCATTCCAATTGAGAACACACACCAAATAAATGATCATACAAAACTTTGTAACATAACAGTATTCACCGACTGTGCATGCAGCATAGCTGTGGTGAGTATGTGGGTGCCACACTGGTAACAAAGCCCAGATTTCAAGATGAGTTCTTCCATTGGCTCCAATTATGAAAATAGACAATAATGTATATAACACAAATTCAGATCAGCGGGGCATAATGCTAGAGCTGTAGAGCACGATGGGCAAGCCTCTTCAAGGAAGATACCATGCATTTCATATCAAGACGCACTATGTTCGTAGAACTTCCTGCTGTGTAAGAAGAGATGGATAGCTATACATGCATGTAACGTTATAACAAAAACAAAAAAACGCAACACCCAGACTGGCGCAGTGTCCTCGGCTCAACATGGTTCTCTGACCTGATGACAGACTTGCACTACTTGGCTGAGCAGTCATGCAATGAGTTCTGTCGGTTCAGGGTTTGCACTCATAATGCCTGTGTTTTGGAACACTGCGGCTACAGAGCACCGTGAGTCAGCGATAGTGATTACTCGTACTTGCCAAAGGCTGTAGGATTCACGCATATTATGGCAATCAGCGCTCTCTTCATTCACTCTTCTCAGGCTCCAGTTTCAATAGATTCCGACGGACTGAGATGCTTGTGCCCGTGCAAGATGCTCGTTTCTGTGTCAGTTGAAGATTCCGGCTGGTGGACGGAACTTCCATTCTTAGGTGCAGTGCAGCTGTCACCAGTGTACTGAGCAGACAGCTCTAGCTTGGTCCGAACAGTCTTGTCTTTCCCACTCGTGCTACTTCCAGTAGGTGCTCCTTGGGACAATAACGTTGAGACAGAGGATATGCGTAGAACTTGTGCCCACCTTGCCCATGTTTCACGGCTGAGTATAGCCCAGGAACAGCACATCCATGAGCAGAAGATCAGAAAAATGACCTTGACCAGGTAGATGGTACCATCGTCCTTGATTTCTTCAGGACAATCAGCACCGCCATTGCAGGAGAACTGAAGACAAGTCAGCCGATCCGTCGTCTGTCTCACCCACCACTCCATATTAGATGCCTCATAAGCACTCATACCGACCTGCATTGCCACCAACAGCAAAGTCAGAGTTATGTATACTGGCATCTGTGCCAGATAACGATGCGTGTTCGTCATTGCATTCCTGCGCTTACCTTCAGGCACAACAATCTTGCCACTGGACCACATCTTGCTGACGTACTGACGAGCTTTCCACAGGCTCCTCATGCCAGCAACCAGGAATCCAAAGCCAGCTAAGAGGGAAATAGTCTGGGGGACAACCAAGAAACCTATGTATGGCTTGTATCCACTCAACCAGCAAACGCCGTAGATTGGAAGGCCCCATACGTAGCGTTTGGCCAATATTGGGACTAGCAGGACAATGCCAGGTAGCCAGGATACCAGGTGGTAGACAAGCATGGTGTGGTGCTGCTCCTTCAGCACTAGTCCCTTCATGACGGACGTGCTGCGATTAGCTAGTTGCGTGAAGGTCACATACCAGGAATGTGCAAAGCACGTCCACCAGAAGCATGTTGCAATGAGAAAATAATAGCTGAGTATGAACTGGGTAACACACCATCCTGATTCATCGTTAGAACGAGGTTGGTCCAGAAGTATAGAGCCATCGCTGTGACAGATCAGTCGATTATCATCAGGTAAATAGAAGCGTATGCTGAACCCAATGGTTGTCATGAGAGCACTGGCGTTCAGGTACAGCAAAACCGGCATGGGATACTTCTTCATTCTCCGCCATTGTATGAGAAAGGATGCCAGGGCAAAGAGCACAGCGACAAATGTGATCTGTGTCAGGACCAGCATGACTTGTCGTACACGACTGATTGCGGCAACAGAGAACACCACACTCCTGCAGCCCAGAGCATATGGCATGAGAGACCCATTCACTGGCATTTGCTCTTCAGTAGCATTGACCAGCTTTCGTGCAGCCTTAGTTATCTCCGCCAGGACGCCTTGCACACGACGATCCCAGTGGCGACTATCTGATGTGGCAACAAAGTACTCCTTGGTTCGATTTGTCAATGCTAGGCTAAAGCACAGGGTTCTGGGTGGCGAATACGTCCGCTTCTTGCTTGTTATTACCCGCAAGGAAAGGGTATGGTTGAGCCCTTCACCCACAATATAGTCACCTTGAATATCAGGATACAATTCCTCCACTGCACCGCTATAGAATCCACTGAAGTTCAGGCAGTGCACATACTGTCCTGGTATGGACGTGTTGTGTCCGCATGTGTCCAGTACCCGACTAAGGAACCCGATCCATATGCTGTCCTTAATGCCTCTGCTAGCCAGCTGGCTGATTAAGCCTAAGAAGGCTCTGAGATCTTCGCAGATCCACCTGCACGGTCGTAACACTTGTAGTGATGACAATGTCTGGTTTAAAGCACTCAGTGCAATGCTACTAGTAGTAGATTTACTAGTTGCACCACTGATAGGGTTAGCAGTCTGACTACTAGTAGTACTGCTGCCACTGCTGCCACTGCTGTTTAGCACATGTTTGCCTGTGTCACCTGTGACTCGCTGCTGCACGAATCTGCTCGTGCAAATGGGGAACAAGCTCGTGCAGAGAAGCACCTCCAACTGATAGAGAACCTGAGACGCATTGGGTCCCTTCCATTGAAGCTTGGCGATGCTTTCCGCCACCGATAGCTTGCTCAAACTGAATGCGGCTAGTTGACGATCATATCTGACAAGCAGATCGGCCACATAACGATGAAAGTCTCCATCAGAATCTATTGCGCCACCCACGACCCCAACGCCACTTGATTCGTTGTAGACAGCAGAAAATAGAGGACATACTTTCGTCAACGCTTTTTGTAGTTGGTGTCGCAGTGATAGGGATAGCTGAACACACTCGGGCTCTACAGTTGCCCGCACCGTTGCTGGCCTAAACATAGCGGTCATCAATAGCAGTAGAACCACCAGCAATATCGAGTATTGGGCCATGTTCGATCGTGGGGACGAGCAGAGCATAATTCGGAATTGGCTGGTATTGTTCCTTCTCGACGCCTGTCAAAGCCCACTGCAATGCTCCCTCTGTGGGTCCTTTTTATTCAGATCCGCGATGGACCATCGCTACGATCATCGTCGATTCGAGGATATTTATTATCCAAAGCAGCCAGAACTGGCAGGAGGGCGAAGTGAAAAAGTAGCCTAAGCTTTGCAGTTTGGTTTGGGACTCAGTCCAGTCTAATTAGCCTTAGCCTTAGCCTTAGCCTTAGGTCGTCGCCGATTGCGCAGATCTACGGACTAGCCAGGCTGAGCTCCTCCGCTCTCCCGCGTAAGCATGGTAAGTGAGCTAGTCTTTGCGGCTCACCACTGGCTGAAACGTGTGTTACCGGCACCACTGCCATGTGCCAGTTTGCGCCGGTACATAAATAGGTAGTCGATCGATATCCGGTATCACGAGCCAACCCGAGCTAGCTGTCACCAGGTCACTGAGTGTCATGTCATGTCAGTCTCAGCCTCAGGTCAGAACTCTCAGCAGTAGCGCACATATAAACATGCAACTAATGTAATTGTTACTTTGCAAGCCGAGTCGGAACTGCCATCGATCCTTGCCTTGCGGATCGCGGTCGCGTCCTGGCCATTTTTGCAACGAATCCCGGCTCGCAAGGTCGCACGCTAGATCTGCATGCAAACAGATCCGAGCCGGAGGCTAGTGAGGAAGGCTTCAAACTTCTGCTCCAGCGAAAAGCGCCCGCGGCACGGTGAAGAGCAGATCTAGATCAGAAGGAGTGCAGGCTGGGGACCAGTGTGTCCACGGTGTCAGTCAGTAGACCTGCTCAGTAGCTCTGTTTTTGTTTTTACTTGAAAGTCACACACCCAATTCGTAAAAGGAGGAAATGGCCAAGGCAACACTTAGTAGTAGCATGCAGTCTCTGACACTAGTGACAATCTCAGAAGTCAGAGCATCGTGAACATCGTAAACACGGACACAGCATGCTTGCATTAGTAGCAAGGCTGCAGACTTACTCATACTCATAGTCTGTACTCACTGCCACTGCCAGACTGCACACCCGAAAATGGTCTCACTCGAACTACTTACCGGGCCGGTACTTACTACTTACCAGGGAGTAGTAAAAATCAGGGAGTCGTAAAAGCCCCGCGAGGGCTTTTACGACTCCCTGGTAAAAATTAATACATCTTAATAACCGGTAAATATTTACTACTCCCTGGTAGATCTACTTTACTACAGTCACCGACCTGAGCAGAGTCAGGTGGGGTCAGATAACCAGTGGCAGTGGGAATGCAGCCCCAGGCGGCAGGCCAAGACGTACATGTACATGTAATGCAAGAGTTGGGGGTTATGTACTCTTGATACATGGTACAGTCAGACCTCGCACAACCATTTTCCAGAAAAATATCCGGATAGGCGAGGGAACCTGTTGCAGTTAGACTGGTGCAGCATGCTGGCTGTTAGAGTACAATCATTCATGCGTGATATGGATAGGCGAATGTGTTAGAGCTATGATCCATGTGTGCTTCTATTCATGCATTCCCATCAAGAAGGCCATGTGTCAGGTCTATTCAGTACTCTGGTGTCTAGACGTCTGCATTCTATTGTTGTATCACATTACATGGTCGAGTGTTGCCATAGGGTCTTTCTATACCATGTATGTGCGTGCACTGTTATTAGCTATTGCTATCTTTTGTTAGGCCAGAGTTGGTTTTAGCCTAGTTGTGGAGATGTTCAGGTTTTAGTTCTTGGAGAGTTGTGACTGTTTTCAGATCATGAGTCAGTGTAAACATTGTGTCCTGGAGATCTTTGTGTGTGGATAATCCCGGTTCCGGGGAGAAACGGAATATCTGGTCCTTCGAGCCGGATCTGGAAATAGTCATCATGGAAGGTGAAGATAGGAGTACGCGCAGAAGTGCGCGGTCAACGAGAGGTGTAGCACCTCCCCGTTTGGGTTTTGAAGAAGAGCGCTCGATGCGGAGTAGTAGGAGATCGGGAGGAGGACAGTCCCGATCTTCATACGAGACTCAGCGTCGAGTTCTGGAAGCAGAAAAGAGGCTCCTGGAGAAGGAGCTTGAGCTCGTGAGGTTAGCTCAAGACGAAGCGTCGTCAAATGGCCAAGGGGCCAAAGGATCGTCCTCTCCCAAGATGGCCTCCGAAGTCTTCGCAGAGGAGCTCATAGAAGGCCATGAAGCTGATGCAGCCGTTGACGCTGGCCAAGGAGATGAGGCTAGTATGGGTGAAGTAGAAGTTGCGCACCTGCCAGAACATGCAGTGGCTGTTTCTCACGATCCAGAGCCGCACGCAGTGCCGAGTCCCAGTGTAGCCGGAACTGTCAGTGCCCACACAAGCAGGAGTTTGCCTGTGGCGGTGAGGACTGAGTCTGAGGTCGCACGTGCGTCGACGAATACGGAGCAGGCCAATCTGTCAGGGTTGCGAGTGCAACAAGAGTTTGTGCTGAAAGAGAAGCGCTATCAGCGGGAACTGAGCGAAGCTCAATCAATAGCGGACGCCGAGCAGCGACGTGTAGCGAAATTGAACAAGGATCTTGCGAGCGCTCGTGCAGACCTGTCATCGCTGCAGGCGGAAAATAGGCGAGTCACGCAGGAAAAAGAGGTGTGCGAAGCTGAGCGGGATGTATTGGAAAGGGAACTGCGCGAGCTGCAGCCGCATCTCGAGCGCCTGGAAAGAGAACACCAGGAGGGGCGCATGTGTTTGGAAGATCTCCGCGATCAGAATGACCGCTTGCTGACGCGAGCCGAGCAGGTTTCAGCAGAGCAACACGCGCAGCGAGCTGAACTGCTCGACAAGCTCGAACGCCTTCGCGCGGAGAACGCCAGCCTGCAACAGCGGGCGGATCGAGGCGGAGGCCGAGGGTCGGATGAGCAGCGAACACAGCGAGCGGAGTTGCTAGTTCAGCTGGACCAGCTTCGCGGAGAAAATGATCGCCTGCGGAGGCGTGCGGACCACGACCAGTACACCGCACAGTGTTCTAGTGAGCAGCAACAGGAGCTACGCAGTCGGATTCAGAGCGATCAAGAGCCGGAGGAGATAGTGAAGACGCACCAAGCAGCTGGTTCCACGGTCAAAGGCCTTCAGCAGGATGGACGTGGGCAAGCAGATGAGGGTCTGCAAAGCCAGCTATCAAGGCTCACCGCGCGACAAGCCAAGATCAACACCGACTTGCCAGCGTTCTCGGGTGCAGCAGAAGAGTGGCCAGCATTCCACCACATGTTTCAGTCTACGACCAAGCAATGTGGCTTCACGGAGGCTGAAAACATTCAGAGATTGCGGGTCTGCCTAAAAGGTCCTGCAAAAGAGGCAGTAAGAATGCTCCTCATCGTGCCAGAGAACCTGCCGAAAGTTCTCTCAACGCTGGAAAGGAGGTTCGGGCGGCCAGAACTAGTAGTCACGGAGCTCGTATCGAAGGCGAAATCAGCTAAGCCGGTACGCAGTGACGATGTAGAGACCTTGGTGTCGTACAGCACCTCGGTTAAGAATGTAGTGTTATGTATGAAGCTGCTTGGTAGCTGTGGACATATGTCCAACCCTACCCTCCGACAGGAGCTAGTGAATAAGCTGCCAGTTGCACTGAAGATGCAGTGGGGCGAATACTTGGCGGAGAAAAGGATCCAGATGGATTCCCTCGACCTGGAGGTCTTCGCAGACTGGCTAGAAAATCGAGCAGAGGCTGCGCTGAATGTGGCCGGGCCGTTTGCCAAAGCGGCCCCTCGAGCAAGTAATGCAACAGCTATGCACACCACAGGTGGTCCAGCCAGCACAACTAAGCCAGTGTTGCAGTGCGCCAAGTGTGGTAAAGCGCACTCCCTCACCAGCTGTGATGTCTTCCGCCAACTGTCAGTGAAGCAGCGGTGGGACTTCGTGCTTGGAACATCGCTATGTGTGTGCTGCTTCAAGACAGGCCACTGGAAGTCCGAATGCAGAGGCAGTGGTTGCAACAAGTGCCGAGGCAGACACCACCCTGACCTCCACCAAGAGCGCGCACCTCCGGCCAACCAAGGCTCAACGAGCAGGAGCACAAAGCCACGAGAGAATGTGGTTCCGCAACACAGCACGAATACGTCGGTGGCAACCACGCAGAAGACCGCTTTTATGGTAGTCCCTGTCGTGTTATGCCATCAGGACAAGACGGTGCGGGCCACAGCCATGATGGACAGCGGTTCTTCAACAACATACCTGAAAGACAGTGTGGCAAACGACCTCGGGCTGCAGGGAACACCAACGGCATTTACGGCGTCGGTTCTGGGGGGAAAGACAGTCTCAGGAAAGCACCGTCGCGTAAAAGTGACAATGGCGTCGGAAGACGGCTCATATGAAACCCAGCTGGAAGCATGGACGCAGCCAATAGTTACAGCACCGATGGAGATGATCGAGTGGAACTCGAGGAGACACATGCACAAGCACCTCCAAGAGGTTACCTTCCCGCAGGTGACTGGGGACCAAGTCGACCTGCTGATAGGACTCAACGTGCCAGAAGCGCACAGAGTACTGGAAGAGCTGGCAGGACAGCCGGGCGAGCCAGTTGCTCGAAAACTTCCCCTCGGATGGGTATGTTTCGGTCCCGTCAAGTCGCAAGCGGCAGAGTTCACAGAGACGTCCCTGCATGCGAATGTCAGCGACAGGAGCAACGCAGTTCTCGACGACCTCGTCGCAAAGTTCTGGGAGGTAGAGAGCGTTGGTTTGGTTCCTAAGGCTACGAAAACGGTCGCGGAGGAGGAAGCACAACGTATGGTTGAAGGAAGCATGAAATTGATGGATGGCAGAGTGTCGACGGCCATACCGTGGGTCAGCACCGATAAGAAGCCAGATCTCCCACCGAATCGTGAAATGGCTGAACAGCGACTGAGAAACCTGGAGAGGACTCTGAGGAAACGACCGGAAGTCTACCAGCAGTATTCCGACGTCATCAAGTCCCATATAGCCAAGGGCTACATCCATCCGTGCCAGGAGACAGACCAACAGTGGTTGCTTCCTCATCTGGCGGTGGTACGAGCAGATAAAACTACGACGAAAGTACGAGTGGTATTCGATGCCGCTGCCCGATGCCAGGGCAAGTCACTCAACGACGAGATGCACTCTGGACCGAAGTTGCAGAGAGATCTGGTACACGTGCTGATGAAGTTTTGCCTAGAGCCTATAGCGCTAGTCGGCGATATTGCAGAGATGTTTCTGCAGGTGGAAATCGCTCCAGAAGATCGCAAGTATTTGCGCTTCCTGTGGCGCGACACACCGGATGAGCCAGCCGCCATGTATGAGTTCTCTCGGTTGGTATTTGGGCTGAAGGCATCGCCATACCTGGCATGTCGGGCTCTGAAGGCAACGTCAGCAGAGCACGGCGCATCCTTCAGCAAGTTGGCTCGGGAAGCAGTTGATGAAGCGTTTTACGTTGATGACCTGCTCGACTCACTACCGACTGTGGAGTCCGCCATCAACACTCGACAGGAAGTCCAGAGTCTGCTCGGAAAGGCGTCTTTCCACGTCCGCAAATGGAGGAGCAACAGTCAAGCCGTGCTAGAGTCTATACCGGACGAGGACTTGGCCAAAGAGGCACTGCTATGCATCAGCAACGACAGTCAGCAAATACCAGCGGTGGTGAAGACTCTCGGTGTGGTGTGGGACGCCAAGACAGACACCTTCAGCTATACGCACCGTGCTCCTGAAGAACAACAGTGGACCAAGCGTCAAGTGCTGTCGAAGATGGCGAGCATCTTCGACCCTAGAGGCCACATTGTGCCCTTTACCATGCGGGCGCGGCTGATGTTTCAGGAGCTTTGTGCAGCTGGGATCGGGTGGGACGACCAGATTCCGGCCGAGCTGAACGAGAAGTGGTACAGGTGGTTTGCCGAGCTGGAGCACCTCAGCAAGATCAAGATACAGAGATGTCTCAAGGAAACGGATCGCCCAGCCCATGAGGCATCACTGTCGGTACATGTGTTCACCGACGCTTCGGCCCATGCAACAGCGGCAGTGGGTTATGTCCGAGCGGAGTACCCCGATGGACATGTGCGCATCAGCATTGCGCTTGCTAGAGCCAGAGCCACACCACTGAAGAAAGTCACGATTCCGAAGCTGGAGCTCCGCGGTGCAGTGCTGGGTGTGCAAGTAAGTGCCGCCATCAGTGAGGCCCTCCACATCCCCATGTCCGAACACAACTTCTGGACTGATTCGATGAACGTCGTACACTGGGTGAGGAGTCCGGCTAAGAACTTTACTTCAGACGTCGCTAATCGAATAGCGGCAATACAGGAGTCGACAAAGCCGACGCAGTGGAGGCACGTGCCTGGAAAGATCAACCCAGCAGACTTGCCAACTCGGGGGGTGAAGGCCGAGGATCTACCCGGTAACGAGTGCTGGTGGCAAGGGCCTGCATTTCTCCGCAACACCAAGGAGTCCTGGCCGCAGACTGAGTTGACCAACAAACCGCAGCTTCCGGGCCAGGTGAAGAAGACGATCGAGCTGGCATTCACAGCGGTAGAGCCGGACAAGGGTCGTCTTGATGTTGAGAGGTACTCGCGTTGGACACGTCTGATTCGCGTCACGATCTGGTGCTGGTTATGGAAGATGGCATATCTCGTGGTCATTGGCCGCTTGGAAGAGTGGTGGGAGTACATCCGGGTCAGGATGGCCTGGTGAGAGTTGTGGACGTACGGCTGAGCAACAAGAAGGTGAAGCGACGTGCCATTCAGCGATTAGTGCCATTGACTGCAGACGGCGAATGAGAAAGAGACATATTCATTATTGACTCGGTCAGAATACTCTAGTACTGTGGTGTGATTGGTCACTTTCATATGTTTAGTCTTTGCATATTTAGCTACACGTATGTTTGTAGAGCACATCGTTCATCTTTTGTTCTTTTAGGCTCTGAGGGGGTTGCCTTTTTGGTTTCTTGTTTTGTTTCACCCTCGGAACTCCTCGTGTGAGAGGGGGAGAATGTTGCAGTTAGACTGGTGCAGCATGCTGGCTGTTAGAGTACAATCATTCATGCGTGATATGGATAGGCGAATGTGTTAGAGCTATGATCCATGTGTGCTTCTATTCATGCATTCCCATCAAGAAGGCCATGTGTCAGGTCTATTCAGTACTCTGGTGTCTAGACGTCTGCATTCTATTGTTGTATCACATTACATGGTCGAGTGTTGCCATAGGGTCTTTCTATACCATGTATGTGCGTGCACTGTTATTAGCTATTGCTATCTTTTGTTAGGCCAGAGTTGGTTTTAGCCTAGTTGTGGAGATGTTCAGGTTTTAGTTCTTGGAGAGTTGTGACTGTTTTCAGATCATGAGTCAGTGTAAACATTGTGTCCTGGAGATCTTTGTGTGTGGATAATCCCGGTTCCGGGGAGAAACGGAATAGAACCGGATGATCGAACACACATACTGTATATGTGCATGGCATATGCTGTAAATCGGTAACCAACGATTTTCTACCGGATGGCGAGGGATCCGGATAAACGAGGACCGGATAAGCGAGGTCTGACTGTATAACCATTGTATTGTACAATTATGTCATGTAGATCTACATGACACATGTACACGACGTTTACGGGAGTCGTATACCGGTATACCCCTGATCATAATCCTCGCTGAGAACCCTCTCCGCCTCGGCACTGGCACAGACTCAGTGAATGTTTCACTGGGTAGGCATGCATGTTTGGTTTACGGATAAAGAAATGGAGAGTAATTCAAGGAAGTGCATGCCACAATGTAGCCCTTTCCCAAAGATGCTCGCCACTTTTTTTCGCAACTTTTCGTTGTTTAGGAAGAAATCGCAACTTTAGCAACTTTCGCAACTTTCTTCATTTTCCGGAACTATTTCGCAACCTTTCCGCAACCTTGGCGCAATTGGCCCCATGGCATGGGGTCAAAAGGTCAAGTCACCGACTACATATCGGACAAATGCACACTCGTGCTCGCTCATTTCTCACCTACCTTCACTCTTCAGACTCGTTTCAGAGAAATAGTAGATCAACAGTAGTTACGATAATGTGGTTCCCTTTTCCGTGCACTGTACATGTAGGATACATGCAGCAGGCTACTTGCATTGTGTAAAGTGGTAGATCACAGCAGGAAGGGGTGTACGAGTTTGCTGTCGCTGCACTTCTGCTATTTCTGCTCCTTTTTGTAGGTTTTTGCACAAGAACTCTCCAATTTTGAGTTGCGATATTAGCAACTTTTGAGCTTTTTCTGAAAATATGGATGCGATTTCAGCAACTAGCACTTGTTTTAGCACGGTTGCGAAAAGCATAAGTTGCGAAAAATTATGGCATCTTTGGGAAAGGGCTACCACAATGTCGGTATGGTTCTGTTAATTTCACTGCTTTTCAAGCAGACTCTGCCAATTTTTTCCAGCATAATTACTTATTATTAATTATTATCACTCCCTTAATAGTATTGACTCCCAAAGATTTTTGCTATACCTAAGCAGTCAAATATTCCTGCATATTTCACTCCTTAGGGCTATATTGACCGCCTATATTTGACTCCTTTTTAGGGATTGAACACATGCTTTGGGTAGTCGTGATAAATCTAATAATATTGACTTCGTACTTGGCCAGTATAGGAAATAAAGACCTCGTAAAAGAACTTGGCTTCGCCTCGGTCTTTTACTCGGCTTTTATTTCCTATTGACCTCATACTCAGTCAATATCATTACTTATTCTTTTATTTAAATAATCGACGCGGAGACAACAATTTTATAATAGCTATAAAGAGAACAAATTCTGCTGTCATCGCCACACTACAACAAAGTCATGAAGGTTTACCAAAATCGATTTTCTTGTCACAATCATCAGTGGAAAGCCGTGACCGAAGAATAACCATGCTAAATCAATGATTTATATACATTCAATAATGTGTTACGAGAACAAAACAAAGTGCTAAAATAGAATGAGGGAAGGTGAGACAATAGCAGTGATGTGAGAGCTAAGTGCAACAGGGGTGAGGAACTAATTGCAACGCTAGAACTGTGCAGTGAGACAAACAATCATGCTGTGCACCTACGAAAACAATCTTAACGCAACTACATGTTTCTTCTGCTTACAAAGATCAGGCTTATGCAAACGAATGTAATAATAGCCTCAAGTACTTTCAACTGACTAGCGCACCGTGCACGACAAAGAACAGAAAAACTAAAATCATCATACACCTGCAGACACTTAGGGTGAGACAACAGATGAAGAAAAACGGCAGACTTCTTACTGTTGGGCAAATATGGATGAGGTAAGCACTGAACATGAACAAGAAGAAAGAAGGCTGAAGGGAACGGAATTCAACAGAGAAAACAACACGATCAACATTCAAAGACCTAGACGATCAACGGCTAATTATTCAATGAACTATTACAGTACTGGATGTCAAGCACCGGCGAAGACACTGGGAACAGAAGATTTAACAACAACAGGAACAACAACAATAACAACAACAACAACAACAACAATGGTAACAAATTACCATCAAGATCAAAGGAGGAGTCAACGAACAGAGGTTCAGCAACATGAGGCGAGCCTGGGACCGATCGGTGTTGATGAGGAGAATGACACGGAGGACGACACTGAGGACGAGTTGGAAGATGAGACGGAGGACGAGGTTGCGGTTGGTGGAGACGAGGAATCGGATGGTGATTGTGATCGTAAGAAGTCTTCCGTTTTTCTTCATCTGTTGTCTCACCCTAAGTGTCTGCAGGTGTATGACGATTTTAGTTTTTCTGTTCTTTGTCGTGCACGGTACGCTAGTCAGTTGAAAGTACTTGAGGCTGTTTGTATTCGTTTGCATAAGCCTGATCTTTGTAAGCAGAAGAAACATGTAGTTGCGTTAAGATGGTTTTCGTAGGTGCACAGCATGATTGTTTGTCTCACTACGCAGTTCCTCACCCCTGTTGCACTTAGCTCTCACTTCACTTCTATTGTCTCACCTTCCCTCATTCTATTTTAGCACTTTGTTTTGTTCTCGTAACACATTATTGAATAAAAATTGGTTGTGAGCAACACTGGCTCACACTCAAATCACTGCTTTTCACCAGAAAAATATTTTATTTCAACGTTTCGGTCATGAAATAACCATCATCAGGAATGAAGTGGGCACACCGGTTAGGATGGGTTAATAAATGAGGAGCGCTGCGAACTGATAACAAATCACACCTGAATGCACTATTACGAGAGAGAGAAAAAAAGGACAAAACATCACCAAAAAAACCTGGTATAGAAATAACGCAATACGCGACAACTCTAAATATGGCACAGGTACCGGCACCAAACAGAATATACATGTACACTAGGTGCGTGCATACATGTAATTGCAGGCGCTAGCAACAACAGTAGTAGTAACAGTGCATGGGGTGCAAAACCATCACTATCCAGGAAAAGCGAGTATCAGGGCCAGAAATATGTACAAGGCAGTACTTCACCAGAGACTTCACAGGAGGTCCCACCCTGCGGAGGTCCCACCTTGTTGTTTGAATTCTTTATTCTCACGATGGCACCATCGCCAATAAGAGTTGTTGTTGTTGTTGTTGTTGTTGTTGTTGTTGTTGTTGTTGTTGTTGTTGTTGTTGTTGTTGTTGTTGTTGTTGTTGTTGTTGTTGTTGTTGTTGTTGTTGTTGTTGTTGTTGTTGTTGTTGTTGTTGTTGTTGTTGTTCTTGTTGTTGTTCTTGTTGTTGTTCTTGTTGTTGTTCTTGTTGTTGTTCTTGTTGTTGTTCTTGTTGTTGTTCTTGTTGTTGTTCTTGTTGTTGTTCTTGTTGTTGTTCTTGTTGTTGTTCTTGTTGTTGTTCTTGTTGTTGTTCTTGTTGTTGTTCTTGTTGTTGTTCTTGTTGTTGTTCTTGTTGTTGTTCTTGTTGTTGTTCTTGTTGTTGTTCTTGTTGTTGTTCTTGTTGTTGTTCTTGTTGTTGTTCTTGTTGTTGTTCTTGTTGTTGTTCTTGTTGTTGTTCTTGTTGTTGTTCTTGTTGTTGTTCTTGTTGTTGTTCTTGTTGTTGTTCTTGTTGTTGTTCTTGTTGTTGTTCTTGTTGTTGTTCTTGTTGTTGTTCTTGTTGTTGTTCTTGTTGTTGTTCTTGTTGTTGTTCTTGTTGTTGTTCTTGTTGTTGTTCTTGTTGTTGTTCTTGTTGTTGTTCTTGTTGTTGTTCTTGTTGTTGTTCTTGTTGTTGTTCTTGTTGTTGTTCTTGTTGTTGTTCTTGTTGTTGTTCTTGTTGTTGTTCTTGTTGTTGTTCTTGTTGTTGTTCTTGTTGTTGTTCTTGTTGTTGTTCTTGTTGTTGTTCTTGTTGTTGTTCTTGTTGTTGTTCTTGTTGTTGTTCTTGTTGTTGTTCTTGTTGTTGTTCTTGTTGTTGTTCTTGTTGTTGTTCTTGTTGTTGTTCTTGTTGTTGTTCTTGTTGTTGTTCTTGTTGTTGTTCTTGTTGTTGTTCTTGTTGTTGTTCTTGTTGTTGTTCTTGTTGTTGTTCTTGTTGTTGTTCTTGTTGTTGTTCTTGTTGTTGTTCTTGTTGTTGTTCTTGTTGTTGTTCTTGTTGTTGTTCTTGTTGTTCTTGTTGTTCTTGTTGTTCTTGTTGTTCTTGTTGTTCTTGTTGTTCTTGTTGTTGTTGTTGTTGTTGTTGTTGTTGTTGTTGTTGTTGTTGTTGTTGTTGTTGTTGTTGTTGTTGTTGTTGTTGTTGTTGTTGTTGTTGTTGTTGTTGTTGTTGTTGTTGTTGTTGTTGTTGTTGTTGTTGTTGTTGTTGTTGTTGTTGTTGTTGTTGTTGTTGTTGTCTCTACGGACATAGTGTCTTATTGCATTGGTCGGCTTGTAAATGCAGGGTTCACTGTGTGGTGTTTCAGTGTCTGGCTGCTGTCTTGCTCCTGACTCCTGTTCTATTAGTACTACATTACATGACCTACTCACCGACTCACCTAGCACCCTCCACTCACCTAGCACCCTCCACTCACCTAGCACCCTCCACTCACCTAGCACCCTCCACTCACCTAGCACCCTCCACTCACCTAGCCCCCTCCACTCACCTAGCACCCTCCACTCACCTAGCACCCTCCACTCACCTAGCACCCTCCACTCACCTAGCACCCTCCACTCACCTAGCACCCTCCACTCACCTAGCACCCTCCACTCACCTAGCACCCTCCACTCACCTAGCACCCTCCACTCACCTAGCACCCTCCACTCACCTAGCACCCTTCACTCACCTAGCACCCTCCATACTAGCCAAGCTCACAGCCATCCAACGCTGGGCACTCCCCGTCATCGGCGATAGCTGCTACCTGCCCAGCCTGGACATCCGTCGCTCTGTTGCTGCCCTCTGCTATCTGTTCAAGCTCCACTACCTGACTCAG